TGTCGAGAGTTTGTGCAAGCTGCTCAAGACTATTGGTTTCCAATTGGATGCATCAGATAAGAGCAAAGGCATGATGGACATGTACTTTGCTAGGATTGGCCGCATGTCGGAAGACAAGGAGCTCAATAGCCGTATGAGATTCATGCTTATGGTAAGTTTAATTGGTTATTCCTATATATGAAACTATGAACTGACATTGTCTAGGATATCATTGATCTTCGACGCAAGCACTGGGAAACAAAGGAAGCCGATAAAGGTCCTAAGACGATACAAGAGGTTAGAGAAGATGCTCTCAAGGCACAACAAGAAAAGGAAGCTGCGTCGCGCGCCAACCAACGCAGACCTGGTGGCGGTGGTGGCGGCGGACGTGGTGGCGATGGCCGCTCCTTCTCTGGCTATGGCAACCAGATGCATCCCCCAGACCAGAGCCGTGGCGGCCAGGTCAATGCTGAGGACCTCAAGAAGTTGAAATCAAGACAAGTCAGTTCTGGTTTTGGTGGCCTTGGCGGTCCTGGCGGCATGTTGGGATCTCGCAGTTCCAGCAGTGGTGGTAGCAGGAGAGGAGCAGGTTTTGGAGCCGGCCCGACCAGAATGGATGATTCCAACTCACGAACAGCCAACCCGCCTGCAAAGGCTTCTACATCCCACGCCAACCCTTTCAGGTTCGTAAACCCAATCTGATCTTCCTAAAAGTATGTTTCGGTTAACTGAATCTTTACAGTGCATTGCAAGATGGTGGCTCAGCACATCATGAATCCAACGAGCATAACGATGCTACGTCCCCTCCAGCTTCGTCCCCACCGACGGCTGCATCGGCATTTGGACGATCGCGCTCCCCACTTCCCACCGCAGAATCTAAATAGTTTTATCACAAAAAAAAAAATGGGTGTGCGGGCGCAGGCTTTAGATCGTTTAGATTGGCGTCTATCTAGTGGGCTTGCTTTATAGTATTTTTTTTTTCCCTTGTAAATCAACCTATATTGTTGATTAATTGGCTTTTTTCTTCTTTTTTACCTTTTTCTATTTTTTTTTGGATTTGAAAGTTTTTTTTCCCCGTGATGTTCCACGATTTTTCATGTAAGGGAGGGTTTATCACTTGCGGGGAAGCTCATAGTGCTTTGGGATTGAGAAACGGATTCGCTGCTGATAGAGGAGGAGTGGGTAAAAAAATATCGGGGAGCAGCAGGGTATGTGTACGAGGATCGACTTCTTACGCAACTATTGTAGGGGAAAAATTGGGGCGGGGGCGGTTTGGTTGTTGGGAGTCATTGATGATACAAAAGTTTGTCTTTTTCATTACGGTTCTGAATAGTTTAATGGGTCACCGCTTCTATGTCTCTTTTTCTTTTCTTTTCTTATTAACTAATGTCTGGGAGGATCGGTTTCCTTTTTCTTTTTTCTTCCTTCAAAATTTACTCATTGCTTCACTGAACTGCTTTTTTCCTCTCTGGGAGGCTGCTATGAGTTGCGGGGATCTTATTCTTGTTCATATCTTACTATCAATTGATTGGAGCTTAAGCACATCTTCGAATGGCATAACTATTGCTACGACTGAAAGTATAGGTATTTTTAATGAGCTCTAGATCTCATGGCGTTCAATGAGGTGGTTTGCTGGGAGTTCGTTTGGGGTGGGGTGTGGTTGACTGATTAGAGCATTACCAAATACACATGGGGACATAACCAAAAAGACCGTTCCACATGGTTCCGATCAGACCAACAAAGAACATCCACTCCTCTAGTCATATCATACTGACCAATAATACCGAATTCTTTTTCTCCGCGAAACCTCGCCACCGGAGGGGAGTTTGCATTATGCAGCTGGATGCGTTATTCAACCAGCCGGACTTTCCAATGGAATGGGTATGTGCATGAGATGGTGGCGTTTGTGTCTACAGGAACAATCTACTTGACGGGCAAGAGATCGGATTGGTGGAGGAAGGGATTGAGACGGTCAATCATGAAATATCACTCGATATATTTCAAATAATAAATTACACCCACTTTACCGACTGATATTCATTGCAATAGTTATATATATCCAGTAGTCCAGTAGTTGGGCGGTCGAGTCAGTAAGCTTATATCACTCGGACACTCAAACACAAGCTTGCAATGATAGTTTGGAAGTTTTGACTTCTGAGGTATTCTACACGGCAATTGTCACCATTTTCTTGGTGTATATATCTACACTCGGGGAATCGCCTGGATCAATGTTTTGGCCTTGGATATAGTTATTTAATATCTCGGACAATATAGAATAGGGCTTTATCAATAAAGTGTTAACGTAGTTGAAAAATTTACATGTATATGTACTTGCGGCGAGAATAAGTTTCCGCCAAATTTGTACGTGAAAATGCGGTTGCAACACAAAAGTGGTGGCGGAAACTTATTCTCGTAAGTAGCTATAGTAGAAAATTCACTAATAAACTAGGAGAGAACCAAGTGAGACGCCCGTAGACATTGCCTCGTTTAGTGTCCGATTCACAGTGAGAAGGTCCAATGGTTTTGAAGGTATGTAAACGATAAATTTCCAGTGTCCCCAACCCAATCCCGTAAGCATCCCAATGATTAAAGAAGAAAGAAAAGATAGAAAAAACATCCAAGAAAAACATGCGATTAGGAAAGGCCAAATAAGGAGAAGGAAAAATAATAAGTGATAAAGTCTCTATCAATCGATGATTAATCAACAGGTTGATGAAAGAGCTAAGATTTATACCTTAGGAAGAAGGCCATATGAGAGAAAGATAGCTATCATACAAAGACAACCCCAGACCAACGCAAGCAAGCAAGGAAGGGGTCTAACCTATTCTGCCTGAAAACAGGTACATAGATAAGAGATAAGAGACCCTCCGCCCTTGCAGCAGCAGACTCTGGGACCGACCAGGTCAAAGCTGATTTTCACTCATTTTTTTCACTTAATCCCTCCCTCACTTAATAGCATCTCTTAATAGAATATAGAAATTAGAGAGCAAATATTTCCCCGTTTATCGACTGCTATTAAACCCCCGCCCCCTCTGAACAAGGGCATCGGAATACAGTGGTGGTGGCCTAACACCGTAGCTTCCGTCTTGGTAGCTAATGTTGGTCAACCTACGTTGACGATCGGCTTCCTCGCGAGCCACGTTCGGGTCTGTCTGTCTAGGAGGTGGTCTTGGAGCGGCTCCGCCATGATGCATGAGCCTGCTGACTGGTGGGCCAGGCTTAAGCGTAAGGTGAAGAAGGCGGCCTTCTTTTCGTGTCAGTAAGAGCAACTTCGCGGGGGAGAGATAAAGAAGAAAATAATTTACCATCAGCAAGCTGGTTGTTGTATTGTAGAATGCACTGATCTGCAGCTTCTTTCTTTTCGAAAACGATCTCACATATGACCGTAGGGTTTGCAGAGAGGATGATGCAGCTGAGAATCTTTCCCAGTGGCAACATCGCCATCTTGATGTCTTCCGCTGTGGTCCCAGGTGCAAAATTCGACGCTTGGACCACGAACGGCCCCGCAAAACCTTTGATCGAGAAGCCAGAGGCTTGACCGCGGATGTTTGCGCCACGATTTTTTCTCGGGCCGCTAGGAATCACATCTGCCGACGGGCCGGTAGGTGTCTGTGCCCCATGTAGGGCTGCAAAAAGTCTATTGCCCTGGAGGGAGCGGGCAATGGCGGGAGAAAGTGTCGTAGGGAGCTTTGACACTCGCGATGCGTTGTTATGCTGATGTAGGTCGTGTGTCCACTTTCCGTTGAGGCCGGTGGCCGGGGCCAAGTTCCCGATGCCACTGCCAGAGGCCGCGGCGCGCTGTGATTAAAAGCTTGCCGTTAGGTTTCAGATCCCGAGGACGATAAGAAGAATGAGGTAGCGTAGTTTTCCCTGCTGCATTACCACCTCCTCTCCCCTATATCCCTTTCCCCTCCTCTTTCATTTATTCGTGGCTGGAAGGGAGAGATGGGTAGATTGCAGGCAGAAGATGGAGGAGGAGTACGATGACGGGGTTTTTCTGCTTTGTTGATCAAGGGCGTACCTTTCCAATACTCCCTCGTCCGTTTAGTTTCGCGGGTCCCGTAGGTACGTTTGAGCCTTGACTGCGGAGTCTGCCCATGGTCGCGCTGGCGATTTCAGAAGCTCTTGCGCGACGATCTGCAAGGGTGAATGTAAGCAGCTGCCACTGGTGGACACGCGTGGAGTGCGGAACAGCTTACTTTCGGCGATCATATCGTCTAGGGAGATGGCTTTCGCGTTCGACATATCTGAGATTAGGCTGTAAACTATGGGTGGGGAGAAGCTTCGATGTTGACGATGGTTGATCAGGGAGTGTCGGGCTTTTGGGGGGTGGGGGTGGTGTTGTGGTTGATTTAAGAAATTCCGCAACCGTCGTTGGCTATTAACTTGGGGAGGAATGGGAGCCGCCAGAATGGCTCACTCTGGAAGTTTAAGGCCCACTAAGTTAGAAGTCTTGGCACATGTTACCCGGCTTTATAGTAGAGTGATAAGAGGTGAAGCAAGGGTGTAGTCTAGTAGTCTAGCTTGATTCCAATTGCTGTAGATAGCCTACGCTCCCTCTCACCATATTCATTCATCCTGGCATCCATTAGCACTTTCAATCAAATCTTTTTCTTAGCAACCATTATTGCAATCAATCAAGCGAACATGAATGACTCGCTGAATATCCAGATACAGCGTTTCTGTATACCATATCCAAGTCTTTTGACAGGATTCCTGGCTTCATTTCTAGTTTTGTTTGTCTTCTGTAGTCTATTGCTACTATTATCTGGGTACGTCCTCATGAGTTCTTTCTCTAGGGCCATTATCTAAACCTTGTGAAGGCTTCTCGCAATAACTATCGTCTGTGCCTGGCTTATCTACGATTCTGCTCATGATGGCCTAGATATATTCTCTCTTCGAGATGTCTTGCAATCTGTAGCGGAAAATCTTGCCGCCTTTATTAATATAGAGCAAAAACCAGATCTTATTTTCTCTGACTGGTTAGTATTCTCTTCTCTATAGTTCAAACTATTAATCATATGAGTAGTGAGAATAACGATTACCGCTGCGTGCCTCCCGGGACAAAGATCTTGAATTTTCGTCGACAAAGCTTCATCTCTGATTTCAGTGACGATGTAGGCTTGAATCGTGGCCATCCAAGGGAAAAATACCACTTATCATCTCCAGGGATAAATCCTGATGTTTCTAGGACTACTATGAACATCCTACACCATTCTGGAGGATATTCAAATATTTCTGTTGGGGCGTCTCGGGATAGTTCTCTGAAATACAACACGAGTGGCTCATCCTCTCCGAGCTATCGCTCAGCAGGAAGTATGATTTCCGTCGACGGATTTCTGAAGACACCAGAACATAAAATCTTTGATTTATCAAGGAGAAGGATTTCCCCACACTGGTCAGTTGGGAAGCAGGTGAAGAGCAATACTCCAAGTCCATTTGAACTTTCTCCTGGTGAAATGGAATACCCCGACGAATATGTGCCATCTCCCAAACGCTGGCCTTCTCCTGTGTCTGATACGGCCTGGGTCTCCAACAAGAATGATTCTCTTCGAATAAGGGTGCAAAAAGCGAATTTTTCAGATTATATGGCATCCTCTGACAGAATGTTTGTTACCGATGATACAGGGAACACCCTAATCATGGGAATCACTGAATCAACTCAGGCAAAAACAAACAATGTTCAACACGTTGGCTGTCAAGCTGAAGATTGTATTTCAGCACTTTCTCAAAAACTCGAGAGGAAACTGTTTGCTTCTGACCTTCGGGATAAATTATCTGCCGATTTGAGAACAATATCGATGTCTGATCATGGTGCTGCCCAAAAACCGGACAATCTATTGCCTGCTGAATTTAACAAAGAGACATCCATGACAATTGGGTGGAATCGTAAATACAAGGATTTAATTGCTGAAATGAAACTGAAAGGGTCAATTGGAAAAAAAGAAGGCGAAGACCAATCGAAATCTGAGAACTTTAGACCCGTGATGGTTAATGATCCGCACTGGATGGATAGTCCACGCCTTGAACCGCTCGAACGGCCGCGCCTTAATAAGTTACAGAGATGGGGACTGGCACATCGTACATCAAGAGCTAATCTTCTTGACCCAAGCCCAGAAGTGGTCGGACCACGAAGCATAACGCCCACACCGAACGAGTTTCAGCTCCTTCAAGGATCGTCTGCCACTTTAAAACAGGATTGCAATTTTGGCAATCTTGAGATGTCGCCAGGGAAGGGAGAAGTCCCATCTGACTCTGAGGATAGTGATTGCTGTAAACATTGGGAAGGATTTGATGACGCTTACGATATCTCTGACCCTATAAGCCCACAACAAACAGGTGATGAAGAGGATAAATGGAAGCTTTCTATGGGGAAATGGGCCGAAAAAGGTGTAGAGGTTATGAAGCCAGTGAACGAAGAAGGGCGGGATGATGGTAGCATGCTGTCGTCGCCTTGTTCAACGAGAGCTGTCCGCTGGGTATACCATGATCTTCATTCCTCCTCTTATTCGATTTTGCTGACCTTATATACAAAGCCCTCCCCCATATCTCAATCCTCTGATAGAGAATATCTTCTCCGGGATTCTCCCGTTTCTGAGAATGATAGTGCGGACTATCCCTACCATCTAGGCGCAGAAGATACAGGACCAAGGACACCGTCTCCATTGCTTCCCTTGCTAACATCAGAGAAAACTGATATTTTGGAGGATAGCAAGAAGGACAATGTCCCGTTTGAAGAGACTTCGAATCGGCTTTTCCCTCGCCGCATGGCTAGAGCCTCCAGAAATCCTATCACTTCTCCAGGTGTAGCCTCTCCACCACGCCCCCTGCCTGTGAAACTTATCAGGATGTTTGAAGACTTGAGCAAGCCATTGCCTATTAGTCCTCGATCTAGTTCTATCAACTACTCACCGGAGAGAGGTTATTCTTCCCCGGAAAAATGCGAGGGTAGCCGTGTGCAAGAGCCTAAAGTGTCAACCCCCGAGATTGGTAACGCTATTGGAGCTGTTAGCTCTAAGGAAATGGGGAAGTCCCTCTCATCAACTCCCAAAGCTTCTGATGATGGGCTCAATGAATGCTTTTAACTATAAACGCGCTTGAGTGCGTGGTGATATCATACGGAAGGTCAGCATTAGTTGTTTTGAAATTGGAAGAAAGCACGAAGCGGTTGCTTTTATAAGCTCATAGCCTATGGTCAAGGTTAATTGAAAATAAAAGTCAATATTGCATTGCATTACTAGTGAAACCACCGCTGGATCATCATCATAATTATGCTTACGTCAATCTATTCGTGTTATCCGCTTTTTGACGAGAACGTAAGCACAGTAGAGCTCGAAAATAATGTGGTTACATACTGTCTTACAAGGGCCCTTCACATAAACCTCTTGCACGCTATGGATTGTAATTCAAAGTCAGTACCTACATACATGTATGTCTCAAAGGCCTTTGAGGCGCTTAACTTGGTGTACAGATGTTACATGGTGTATAGGCGCGCGGTATGTACGTAGTGTGTATAAATACTCGATCATGAACCATCACTCGGTCTGGGTAATAAAACACGACTGCCGGATAAGTCTGTTTGTTGACCGTGACCGTAGTTGCAACAGTTCTCACCGTCGACAAACCTACTCCGTTAGGCGTAATACTACCATTAACATTATTCCCCCACATTCCATATTACCATTTTCTTAAGGCTACCGAAAATAGTCGATCACTATCTACGTACGGCAGGCCCGCGATTGTCTGCTGTCCGGCCATGGCTCTAGTGGATATTCTTTCTTCGGGGTTGAATTGATTCGATTGGTTCCTCCTCCAAGTTACATGTAGTTACTAAGGTCTCCTCCAGGTCAGTCACGAAGGGCTCCTCCATATATTATCATCGAGGATCTGAGGTCGAAGGTCGTGACTTTAGGGTTGCCATTATGGCCTTTGCCATCGGTCTGCTGTGATTGTGGTATAGCATATCCACCACGTCCCAGCGGCCCTGTAGATAGGTGGCTTCTCATAGGTAGATGTTCTCTATGAATCATGCCAGATCTCAATTCACTCCCCACCCCCGGGTTTGGCGGCGAGGTCATTGCATCTTCTTTCTGGGCACTTGATTGGCGTGGCATTTATGATCTGTGGTGTCCATGGGTTACATGTAGGTCTTAGGCCTGTATCTTGGTTAGTATTTCGATGGTGCCGTCCAGGGAGAGTGTGGTTATCTATATACACCAAGGAAATAGTGCGGAGGAAAAGGTGTAGAGTACCCCCAGCAGGTGGTATTATAGTGTATATACCATACCATCTCTATAGGGGACCAGAGTTCCCTTACCGTTGAAGATATACATATACAGCTTAGAGCCCGAGGTGAAAGTTTAGGTGTCAAAAGTGCAAAAATAGTACTGTGGGCCGATCGGGTCGCCGAGCTTAGTAGTGGTATTGATGCGTACACACATCTAAATGCATGCAGTATACTCCTCCGTCGTTATTAGGAAGCTCAACCCAACCGGTTTATACTGTCATAGTTGAGATTGACAAAGGAACTTTCGTTTATCATCGTCGAAAAACCGTATCGTGTTCGGGTCTGGGTTACTCCCACCCCTGGGTTAAACCATGAACCATCTATAGCCTATAGATAGAGGATTTGGGAGGTATATTCTAGGTTAATCGGTATACATATAGTCCTTATGCATTTGCGCCAAGTAGATACATTTAACTATTTGAAATATTTGAGACATGCATGGTACATAGGTATCCGGGTGATATCGCATGATTCATGACAGTGGCCATTCGCAAAACAAAGTACATACATGTAGCTTGGAAGAAACAACGACCGTTATATTCGCCTATCGAATGTACACGCAAGAATCAATGAAAACCAAGAAAAATGAGGCCCCCTGAGCATCGATAAAAATGCACCCAATACTCTCTACGGCTCAATTTTTTTTCCTTACTGATATCCTGCACCAAGGTTTCCCACACAAAAAAAAAGAGAAAAATCAATCCAGAGACACCGCCGCCAACCATCCCGTTTTTTTTGGAGTCACTCCAACCGCATTAGTAACGTTCGAGCTTGATAAAGTATGATAGTAAATCTGACTTTATCAAACATCTAGTTTCCTTCTATGCCCCATTCCCGCACCTTCCAGTTTGAATTGTCTAGTAAGTTCTGGCAAGGTTCCTTAGGTACCAGTCTACAAGTTTTCGTCCAGTTTTAGCCTCGGAGATGTGGATCAAGTCCTAGCACAAGGCTCATGTTAGTATTCGTATTAAATATTGTATTTGTAACCAAACGGTAATATAGAAGCGTACCCCTTCAAGAGCAAAGTCCAGGTCAGAAGTATTGACGATGTCGCCTTCTAAAAGTCCACCTTCACTCCACCTGGTCTGCCTGCTCCTCTGCTTGTACACAAGCAACTGCCTCCTAAGGTCCTCCGGCTTGAGATCAATGAGACCCGCAAGCTTGTGCAAGTCCTGGGTTGTGTAAAGCTTGAGGAAGCTCTTCAGAGTTGGTCCAAGCATGGCATTCTTAACATCAGACATAAAGCACGCAAGATGGTGCTGCGCAGGGTCGATATTGTTCTCTGGCTTGTCGAAATCTGGGGGGATAGGAGAAATAAACTTGGGACAGGCGGAGTTGAAGAGCTGCTCGAAGATGGGAAGAGTATCAAGACCTCCACGTTGCATGCGCTGGAACTGATCGCCGTATTTCTCACGGAGAGTAGCGTGGATGGTGTCATCAAGACGAGTCGGGCAGAGAGCAACACAGATAGCAATTAGAGCATACATCTGATCGTTCTTCTTGGTAATCTATATGCCGAATCAATCAGTAATTGCCTTGGTACTTATTTATATGGGAGCTTTCAGGGAGCTAACAGAGTCGAATTGGGCATTCTTTCCCAGGTTTTTGGTTCGGGAAACATAGACAAGGATGTGAGAGAATGCCTTGATAGCGTCGGCATAGCGGCGCATCATCATGTAGCTGAAACCAACATAGTAGTATCTGTTTTCATTTTTAGTTACCGAGCTTATAAGAGATATTTTTAACACCTCAGAACTCACGTTGTGAAGTGAGCAGCCATAACTCTGGCGAAAACTGCTTTCTTGTTCAACTCGATATCATCCAAAGTCTTCAAGGCAAGTGTGAAGTCGCCAAGAAGACAGTGCACACGGAGAAGCCCGATGATACTGAAGTATCCCAACATCCTGTAAAGTTGGCGAGAACCATATTCGCCAGCGACTTCATTTGGATCCTCTCCTCTCTTGATAGCAGCGAGCTGCTCATTCATTTGGGAACGCTGGATTAGCGAGTAGAGAACGTTGAGAACACTGTAGCATCCCCATGTCTGTGGGTTGTCTCTTAACAGCTGTTTCTCCTCCTCATTCTGTCCCTTCCTTGCGACGTTGTTACGGTGGATACAGAAGCTGTTGAACTGGTAGATGAATTCATCGATAACATCCCAAGCCCAGTAGTACTATCCCCGCCATATCATTAGCTCTTACATCCTTCGATCCCTGCCAATTCACCCTCCTTGAACAAAATCCGCTAACCCAAAGCCCGCCTGGGCTAAAAAATGCGCAACAAAGATCCCAAGATCAACTCACAGTTGGAAGCTCGAGATCCACCGGTCCATCAGAGTTTAGAATGAAGTGGAAGAGGCTGCAGTAGTTGTCATAGCTTGCAAATCGGGCACCTAGCGTCGCCTGAAATTCCAAAGGTTGAGCGGCAGATGCTAGCCGCTGTTGAATATCGTCCCCCGAAAGCTGAAGGCTGCCAGACCGGCTTGGTTCTATATCATCATATTCGCCATCGTCCTGAAGGGCTTCAGCCATGGTTGAAGCGAGAACTTCGTCGTCTTCATCATCGTAATCGTGCATATTGCCGCCGTTTGTTCTTTGACCCGACAGCATATTGGCGAGCAGGAGATAATGGGGGTGTCGTGATTGAGGGGGAAATCTGACGTTCTGTATCGATTTATTTTTTCCCGCTATTGCTAGATCTGCGCCTGCGTGGAACCCCTCGCCAAGAAGCCTGTGGGGCAATTAGGGCTTACCCTGCGTTCGCTCGACAACAGCCGATTACATCATAGGCTAGGTACAGTAACTACCTGTCTCGTGCCCAGCCTTCTTCTGATTGGCCAAGAGTATTTGGCTGGGCACAAGACAGGGTAACTACTACATGTACCCAAGGCCTAGCTAGCTACATGTACATGTACTTATAACGTTAAGCATTTTAATACGGATCTTTAGATACCTCTAATTCCATACGTCCTCTAGAATGACTGCTAAAAAGTTTAAATGCGCTGTGATTCAATTGCATCCAGAGCCTATGCAGATGGAGGCGAATTTCCAACGCGCCAGAGCCTTCATACAGCAAGCTGCAACAGAAGGAGCAGAGCTAGCCGTACTTCCAGAATATTGTTTAACAAGCTGGGTACCGCTCGACCCGCGCTTTGCAGATGCTGCTGATGACAGGACATATTTGACCAAATTCTGCGTGAGACGCCCTTTTCGTGCCCGGCCTTGCTCTTCCGCCTGCTGAAGTTTTGGGCGGTAGGAATTGGCAAAAAAATGCAATATCAATATTGTTCCCGGAACCTTTGTGGAAAAACACGTCTCCCCAGATGAGGAGGGCGGCAAGAAAATGCTCTACAACGTTGCCTATTTCATATCGAATACAGGCGAGGTACTGGGCTCTTATACAAAAAAGAACTTGTGGTGAATACCTAGCTTGACCCACCAATCCGTCAGCTCCAGCTGACATATTCCTACTTTATTTGCGTATGAATGCTGAGAAATACAAGGCATACGGAAAGAGCTCACCTTGAGGCCGCTGGACATAATCCTCATTCCGTCATAGATACCCCACTAGGAAAGGTGGGACTTCTGATATGCTGGGACCTTGCATGTAAATATTCCACTACCAGTCAGCCGAAATTACTCCGGTATCTTACATAAATCTATAGTCCCCGAGGCATTCAGAGCCCTTGTAACCCAAGGCGCAAATATCATCATTATTCCAACATTTTGTAAAGGCCCTTATAGCTATCCTCTCCAGAACCACTGCCCGAGCAGCGTTTTTAATGCTGACTATATTGATTCAAAGGGACACTGGAGGGTCTTAGCGAAGCTGCCCTCAGTTTTAATCCGAACTCGGAAACCATATTTTTACAATCCACAGTAGTTTCAAGAGCCTATGAGAATATTGCTGCTATCATCTTCTCTAGTGCTGGTGGCCGCGAGGGGAGTAGATTCGCTGGGCTATCGCAAATTACCATGCCGTTGATGGGGCCTATAGCTAAGGCTGAGGGGACTCATGAACAGATGGTGATTGGGGAAATCGACCTTCAGATTTTGGAGGACGCAGAGGACAGTTATAAAATCAGAGCTGACCTCGCCCAGCCTGATTATCACTATGCTGTAAGGCCAAAGATTTAAATGTAGCCTAATTTTCAGTTTAAACGTCTGATAGTTTTACAATATATCAATGAGGGGAATTTCTGGGTATATCTAGTCTTTTACCCCCAGACAGCCTTATCTTACAGTAGTTAAAAAAAAAAAAAAGAAAGAAAGAAAGAAAGAAAACAGAACTGCCTGAACTCAGAAGGACAAGCCTAATCACCTCTTAATACCCAACAGCCTTATACGGGTATTCCAACATATCTCCCTTCTTGACCCACAACTTCTTTTTCTTCTTGGTCAACTGGTGCTCCCCAAATTTCTCATCGCAATACTTCTTCTTGAAATTCCTGATCCAACGAGGATCCCATAGCTCACTGGCAATACCGAGATCTTTGCAACATCGCATAAGTGCATTAGACTTGCATCCTTCGGTCGCTGTTGGGATTCCGCTAGGGTCAAAGTAGTCCTGCTCGCCACGCGCAACTGATACTAGTCTATCTCACGAATTAATTAAGTCCCGAGAGCTCATTGTGCGAACAAAATCGTACCTTCCATTACAGACGAGAGCATATTCTCTTGTAACAGCCTTATCGGTCACGATTGTCTCCCCTCGAGGTGCTAGGCCCCAAGCACCTGGGCCAAAAGCCTTGTTAAGGATTCTGCGGTACTTGATTTCGGGCAGGTAAATGATTCCGTCTACCAACAATCACAGAGCTGTTAATTATCCGCTTCAATTGTAGTGAGTTTAAAGGCCAAGGAGTTGAATACCAGGCTTGACTTCTACATCCTCTGGATCTAGAGGAGCAAGTAGTACATCTGCAGTCTCTTTGCTGAATGGTTCTACCGACAATCCATGGAACGATTTTGACCAATTAATTTTTTCGGGGCCAAGACCTTCGTCAATGATAAGTTCAGGAGAGTCTTTGAGACCTGAACTCAAAATCTTTTCGGTCTTGGAGTTTGCCGCAGGACCATTACTGGTAGCAGCAGCATTGGTAACGAATCGCGGGAGTAGGAAGGCAACAGAGGTGCGGGGTTGGAAGGCTGAATTGATTGAGTTTACTGAGCCAAGGCGGCGCCCAATAGTTCTGCGTGTAATCAAACTCATGGTGAGGATGTTCTTGAGGTTTGATGTTAAGTGCGCTCCTATGAAAACTTGGGATAGTGGAAAAACTGCGAGTCGCTCATCTTGCAACTGCTGACTGGGTAATCAAAGCACGTGACCAATTACGTCTTAGTAAGTTAAAACCACCTCTTAAGCAGATTCACGTGACTATACAGGCATATGAACGCGAGTGATATCATATGCAGTTACGCACACACTTATTTTTTGTTCATTCGTGACGGCGTATGCAGAAATAATTGCTGAGTTGTTGAATACTAAAGGTACATGTAGTCTAGCATAAAAGAAGCACGTACAACATTTATCGGGTCTAAAGATTAAGGGGCCCGGGGATAGCAAAAGGAAACATGTAGTAACAGAAAACCGAGAAGAAAAGTGGGCGGATATTACTTAAAAATATTTAATAGAGAATGATATGTGCCGGTCACGATCATTACTACATTCGCACATTCAACCACCACTTAGTAGCAGATGTGTTTGGTATCATTTCTAGAGTAACATAGAAGGTTTGGAGATCATACTAAGCTCTCCTCCCTACTTAGATTTACATACGGTATCTGCATTTTCAAGAAACAACCCTTTACCCATGGATGATTTAAAAAGCACTCTGGAAATCTAAGAAAAACAGCCACCCACGACGTCAACCAAATACCCATAAATCACTTCTCAATCGAAGGACCAATCTCATCACATTTATCCACAAACGCACTTTCAACCTTCAGGTTTTCACCTCTTCTCAGCCCTCTTAAAACACTCACTTCCGCCTTCTCCCTTACCATCTGCCGCAGTGCACTTAACAAGAAACCAGACAGCGTTTCAACGCTCCAATTTTCAGGCACAACTTCTAAAACATGCACCAGATCCAACCATCCGCCGAATCTTTCTAACAACATCCTCGTTTGTTCTAATCGGTCGTCATAGTCTTCCAGCTTCAAAAACTCCCCTAGAAGTACTGCAAACAGTGCTTTTTGCTCCTCACGATCGGTGATTATTTTACGTGTTTGAAAGATGCTGAGTCCACCAAAGAGACAGTAGTTGATAGCTGTATCAAAGTCTTCTAATCCATGTGTGAGTAACCGGATAGCGTCTTCGTGACGGGCTTCTTTTCCATAGAGGATAACCATCTCAGGGACAAGCACATCTCTGAATTTGCTCAGGCGTGCAAGGACTTTGGGGATATCATAGCTCCCCTCGCCTCCTAAAAGTTCGAGAAAACGTAATCGATCCCTCCACCAATCATTTTGCCCACCACTTTCGAATGATGGCGTTGAGTTGTCAACAATGAACTCGCGGTATGTAGGTTTCGGTGAAGTAAGAGCCCTGTAAGACTCATAAGAGACCTGAAGTCGCTCACAGGCAGAAGGCGAGGTGTCGAGGACATTTATTAAATCATCAAGGTACAAGAATATCAGCTCATCTGCGTATTCTGTGTTCCCCTTTTCAACAAGGGATTCGACATAGCCTCTTACAGCTGTGGGCGAATACTCTTTCAGGATTTCCAGAACTTTTGCAGGTTCAAATTTGACCTTGGCCTTCTCGTCCGAAAAAACTTGAATACCCAACCTTGGATTTCGGGCTGCCAGCCATTTACCAAACTCTTCAACCAGTACCCTATCCTTCAGACCTAGTAGATACTTTTTGACTCTTTCTTCACCGTCGCCAAACTCTCCTGTAGCGTCCCCCTCTTCTAAAAGTCTCTTCCACGTTCCCAGGACCTCTCGAAAAAGTTTCCTGCTTTGGAGAAGTATACTGAGGACATAAAGTCTTCCGAAATCATTTAGAAGTTTTGCTGTCCCATCAAAGTCTTCTACGTCCTTCTCAACCAATGTATAAAGTTCCGCCCTAACGTTTCCTTCGGGAACCAAAGTAGTACCCCTTTGAGGAAGATATTCTGGAGAATCGAGCATGAGTATTACTCGGATCAAGGAAATGTCGACAGTCGCAAAGATCTCTTTTTCGTCTGCTATACTTCCAAACCCCTTCTTTCTTTTCCAAACAGCCAGGTAGCGCTTTAGAAGTAGTAACGTATCTCTCCTGAACGCTCCCTCAGATCGAGTCTCAGAAATAGCGTTAAAAACCTGTTTGACACCTCCATAAACCCAAATACCACCATTACTCATCACGATATCATTCTTAAAGTCCGCGCCAAAAAGCGCCAGGACAAGTCTTGGGTCCAGGGCACTCTCAATGAGCGCCTCCTCGGTCATAATAACTTCCTGTTGCTCGATCTCGGTGCCTTCAAACGTCTGGAGCCGGAGGAACTCTCCTAGTAGCAGTAGGCCTCCTTTCTGCCGTATATAAGCGACCTCATGGAACTCCCTCTCGGTGCTTGGTTCGATTGCGTCAACCTTTCGAAGCGTCTTTAGAATGTTTTGGACTCTTGTTTTAGGCGTCTCGTCGAGTGTTTCTGCTGTGACCATTGGCAGCTTAGAGTCCAATCTTAGCGCCAATGGGCTTTGTACCAAAACCCATATTTTCTTTCCCTTGAAAACAACAGCCCTACTGTCCACGGTTGAAATTCGTCCCGCAATAACCTTCTCCTCCATCTCTCTTCTTTTCAATTCCTCACCACCACCATCGCTCTCGGCCTCCGGCTTCAAAGATATTCGCTCTAGTCTCAGCTTTGCCACGACCCCACCAACTACACTTCCATCAAGGCCATTTACTTCCTTGATACCCAGTCTCGACCCATCCAAATTCATTTCCAAAATTCCCTTTCTATCCTCTTCCTCGGCATCTCCACCCTCGAGATCCCAGCGTTGAACTTCTATTCCTCGGCCTGGAATAATGGCAATGACCCAGCTTCCCTGAATCAGAATATCTTCCGGATACCTTTCAAAGCTGATCGTTCCTCTTGTAACATCACCTTCATCGCTCACAAACAACCCCACTCCAGGGTCTTCCCATCGTGTCCCTGTTGTTAAAAGAAACTCACAAGGGTTTGGCGAGGCAATATGTGGTAGCAACGGCCTGTTTGAAACAGTTGGTACTGGAGTTGAGGTTCTCGACCTCGATGGGCCAAGGCTAGGGCTTTGCACAGCCGAAGAGGCATTCGAAGCTCTCCTACTCCCACTTGAAGGCCCTGGGGCGTGAGTAGTAGGGGAGCTCGACTGAGGCGAATTCGGCGAGACTGGAGCAGGCGACGTTGGCCTCGATGTAGAGGCACCTGGAACTGATAATCGGGATGGTGTTTTCCCACGAGTGCCACTAGCCCTCGAACCAGGTCGCCCAAGGCCAATATTACTTGCGCTACTAGATCTAATATGTGGAGCACCGGTGCTTGGTTCTCGGGTCATTGCAGCAGAACTGTTTCTTCTCTCCCGGTTTCCACTTAGTGATGATGTTCGCGGAGGATGGGACCCTGAAGGCGTTCTTGACATAGGCGCTGAAGAGCTAGACGCAGATCGTTCCATAACTGGCGCTGGCGCTGGAGCAGGTGGAGGCGGGGGCGGAGGAGGAGGAGGTGGGGGAGGCGGAGGTGGAGAAGGCTCATCTCTAAAATTTGAAGATATTGGAAAAAGTGGAATCTGGCGAATTTGATCGGTATCTATTAACGCATAGTTCTCTGTGTTTGCGATACAAGCTATCACACCTCTTCGCACGGCTTTTATTGGAGCTGTGGGTAGATCTATAGGCTTGATCTGTCGTACGGAGCTCCCGACACGGATTATCCGTAAGCACTGTTTAGCTAGAACTATCACTTGTTTCCCTCGCTCATCACTGATTTCGCCGCCTCGTCTCTCATACTCCTCCTCATCCAGGTCCAGAGCTCCAATGAAAGAGGCCTCCTTTAGCTTTGCGCCAGACACTGGCGAAAATTCCGGCAAGGTATAAAATGACAGGAACCCTGTGGAGGAAAGCACACACGCTCTTGAAACATTTGGGATTATGACAATCTGCTTGATATGCATAGAAGGCTCCGTTCTAGTTGAAGGAGGCTGCAGACGAGATGCAAGTATATAAATGGGCTTTGGAGGCTCACTTGATGAGATAGGAGCTGGGGTAGGTGGGATAGAGACGAAATGCAAGATTTCGTGTGCGGAGGTGCCGACATAGAGGTTCTGCTCCCATGCCTCTAGGCATGTTATATCTACATGGTCGTTTTCGGGGGTGTTGAGTGGCAGATCCTCGACGAGTTCCTGCAGCATGTACGGCCCCACCACGGGGGTATTGAGCAGATGCTCCATATCTGATTGTAGTGGTTGTGGTGTAGTGGTTGTGGTGGTGGTGGTGGTGGTGGTGGTGCAGTGCAGTGCAGCGGTTGTGGTTGTGGTGGGGAACTCGAGTGATACCGATCGATACCTGCATGAAGGTACCGACCGCATGCCCACGCGGCAGCTAAGTAAGGTCAGTGCCTCCCCCCCCCAGCACTGCTGAGCTCTCGCTTAATTGGTTACCCTGCCATTGTTGTTACGACCTCCACTCCTGAGTCCCTATCCAACCATGCAACAGCTCTCCCTGCTTGAACCATCTACAAAGAACTCACAGGACCACCGACCACAACCACCATGGACAAAGAGAGATCCAAGGGGCTTTCGCTCCGTAAGAAGAGCGGAAAGGGTGGGAAGTCTACGAAGCCCATTATTGGGCCTCCAAGGTAACTAGAGCTCCCCAAAGTATACTCAAGTCACTATTGACGTGCCTTGTAGACAGGTCCCTATGCCCCCGATGCCCGGAGCGAAGCTCGACACGACCCCGTCAATCCCGCTACAGGTCCGGTCCAGAGATAAGGAAAAGGTGAACTCTAGAGACTGGGAGCTGTCAATTGCGAACTTGAAACTGATCTAGGGCGCTCTCAGGTTGCCGACTTGGTCAAACGACGGATGTCTACACGTTTTCCATTGCCCGTGGAAGGTGTGGGAAAGCTGCCGCCAATGCCTACGATTCCGGCTATGCCTTCTATCAATGCCGGAGCAGGTGCTAAGCTACCGGTCAAATCTACGGTCCGGAACGACGTGGACCTGGACCTGAATATGTTTCGGGATCCGGCGTTTAACCCAGATACATGTATGCGCCCGGTACACATGGTAATTGGAGGTCGGTATGCTAATTGGTGTGAGAATCAGTTGTTACCACTGTCCTAGCGAACGCCTCGGACGAGGAGATCAAAGACTACCAGCGCCGCCTCAAAGAAATCCGAAACCGCACTTCCTCAGATCTCCAGAAGAACGTCTTTGTCAACCGTACCCAGTTTATATTGATTTCCAAAGAAATCGACAAACTCAAGACAGAAATGAGAGCACTCCGCAGTCTTCTAACAGATCTCCACAACACCACCAGCTCTCTCAAAACAGACTCCGAAAACTCCATGTCAAACAGCGACATCAAGTCGCGCAAGGCCGCAAACAGGAGCAGTGTAGCAGATCTAACGGCGCTGCACATGAGCCATCTCCAGGCGCTCTGGAAACAGGTCGAGGGAGCGCAGAAATTCCTGCCGTCGGTGCCGGGGCGACACATCATCCTCGAATCGCGGCACTGGATCGAGCTGAACGCAGCCACATGGAAGCCCCGGAGGATTGTGCACATGGTTCTGCTGAACGACCATCTCCTGATCGCAACGGTCAAGAAGAAGCGGCAGGAAAACGGCAACAGCGCCTCGCCGCAGATCAAGAACGTCGCGGAGCGGTGCTGGCCACTCGCAGAGATAGAAATGGTCGATCTCTCGCCCAGCGACTCCAAGAAGGGCCAAGTCCTCAACGCCGTCAACCTACGAGTCGGCAAGGAGTCCTTCGTCTACCAAAACGAGGAAATCACCAAAAAGGTCGAGCTCCTCCGCCAATTCAAGAAGTCCGCCGACGAGCTGCGCAAGGCCCTGCGCGCCGAGAGCGAAGACAACCTCCGCCGCCGCGACAGCATGACCTTCCTCGCCGGGCGCGACCCAAAGCTGCTCGAGAAGGGCGACCTCCTCAACTCGCTCAGCGCCCACGGCTCCACAAGCGCGCTCTTCACCGTCGAGGGCCAGACGCGCAACCTGCGCTGGGTCGAGACGCAGATGGACGAGCTCGACGAGAAGATTGCGCACCGCGAGTTTGAGGAGGCCGTCACGAGCGTCGAGAAGCTGCGCCAGCTCGCGCAGACGCTCGCAAAGAACAACGCCCTCGTCGCGGAGCTCATCAACTTTAAGCTGGACGAGCGCGCGTCACGCCTCGCGGGTATCATCACGACGGACCTGACGGAGAACCCGGCGAAGAAGAGTACGGTGAAGGGGAATGTGCAGTGGCTCATACGCTTGGATTTTGAGGACCGGGCGCGGGAGGCGTTCTTGGAGGCCAAGTCGGCGGTGATACAGAAGCGGACTAGGTATGTTGCTTATATTTTAGCCCAAATATTGAAGAAATCAGGCTGACGGTGGTTTAGACAAGTCCGGTTCGAGGGTGATGTCCCACTCTACATCTCACAGGTCGCACTAGTGCAGTTCACACTCATCAAGAACACGGTCGAGATCTACAACAGCTGCTTCGAGTACCGTCTCGCGAGTGCGCTGGTCAAGTGGGCAAAGGACCGGGTCGAGGACTACATGGAGCTCTTTGACCGCCAGCTCGAGGCGGTCGCGGAGGAGAACAAGGTGTTTGAGGACTGCATGGAGATCACGAGGCAGCACTCCGCGATGCTGGTCGACTGCGGGCTCGACTTTAAGGAGTTGAAGGATCCGACGCTCAGGGCGAAGAGGGTTGCGGAGGCGGCGGCGGCGGCGGCGGAGAGCGCGGGGTTGGGGCTTAACCCGTAATTAATTGGCTGTTGTACTTAGGAGTTTGGTGCGTGGGGATTGTTGTAGTATATCAGGGAATATACGGGGGTGAGAGAGAGATGGGGATAGTGGGACTTAATTATTGAGATGCAAACGACAAAAACTTTTATTCTACCAGGAAAGCTAAAGAAGAAACCCCAAGATACCTAACTACATAAAACTTGTAATAAAGGGAAAATATACACTAGTTATCCTACCTAAAAAGCCATCAAAAAAAGAAATCGTGAAAAGAAAGTAAAGAAAGAAAAAAACCAATAGATGCAAAAAAGAGGGAAATCAAGTAATATATATATACCAATCAATGCTTATTCCTCCCCCCTTGCCTCTCATTCGGATTCTTCCTCCCGTACCCAATCTTCGGCATCGGGCCGCCCGCATCCCTCCTCTCCCCCGTCAAGATGCCCGGCAAATAATCCGGATCCAACAAATCCCTCTCCTTCTGCCTCGCCCTCGTCCTCACCTCCCTCTGATACTCGACCTGGTCCTCCCTCAGCACCAAGTTTTTCTTCACGCCCTTGCCCGACGCCGACCCATGCTGCGTCTTCGGGATCGAATACACGGCGCCGCGGTTATTCCACTGCATATTGCGCTTGAGATGCACCTGGAAGCCGCCCTTTGCGTCCGTCGAGCAGCTCGTCTTGAGCAGCGTCGCGCCCCCGCACACTGGGCAGAACTGCTTCGTCATGTCGCGGCACAGCTTGAAGCAGGCGTGGCAGCGCAGGATCCAGGTCTTGATGGTGCGGATGCGGTGCAGGCCGTGCGGGGAGACGAGGTGCAGGTTCATCTGCAGGAGCACGTTCTGCATGGCGTAGTCGGTGGTGGCGAGGGCGGCGGCGATGGGCCATTGCTTCTTTGTGGCCGTGCTGTGCACGGGTGTGTGTGAGTCGCTGTGCTTGTAGGAGTGTAGGTTGGTGGCTGTGATCCAGCCGGAGTCGGAGTCGGGGTCCGAGTCGCAGTCGGAGGCGGCGGAGTCGTCGGTGGAGGGCGGGGTGGGGAGCGTGGTGGCTGCGGGCTCTTGGGCAGTTTCCTGGGGTGCTACTTCGGCGGCGTCGGCCTTGGGTGCCTCAGTTGCCGGAGCTTCCTTGAGCTCCTCTTTAGCTTCCGCTGCGGGAGCTTCAAGCTTAGCAGCAGCTTCCCCGGATGCCTCCTCTGCAGCTTCCTTGACCTCTTCTCCGGCTTCTGCTGCAGCGCCATCTTGGGCGGGAGTGCCCCTCTTGCCCTTGCGCTTATTGCGCTTCTTTCCCTCTGCCTGTGCCTGTGCCTGTGCCTGTGCCTGTGCCTGTGCCTGTGCCTCTGCCTCTCCGGTCTTCTCGGCGGTCTCGTTTCCCTCGCCGGCTTCTTGCCGCTCGGCCCGCTTCTTTGCCGCCATTCGGGCCTTCTTGCTTTTCCGCCTTGGCTTCCCAGTTTCTCCTGCTTGGGGCGCATCTGTAGCCTCTGTCTCTTTGCTGTCTGCTGTTTCTTCCTCCTGCTTCTCCTGTACCCCAGCTTCCCCCTTCACCTCCTCATCCTTCACATCCCCCTCCTGCTTCTTCCCCCTCCCCGGCACGGGCCCATTCACGCCCCTCTGCCCCGGCGTCCTCCTGAGCCTCCAGTCACCGCCATTCCCCTCACACTCAAGCTCATACGTCAGCGCGAGCAACTGCAGATCCGTCACGCTGAGGGCGGGAAAGTCGCCCGTCTTCTTCGCAAACTCTGCCACGATCCGCACGCTCTCTGCCCGCGGCGTGCGCTGCTGCAGGAACGGCAGCCAGGTGGTCTCGAGGCGCGAGCGGGTTGCAGCGTCTCGAATCTCCGCGATCACGGAGGGGGTGGTGTAGATGCGCTGGGCGCGCGAGAGGAGGGCGGTGGTTGAGGTGCTGGCGATGAGGGGGCCGGCGTCGATGATGAGGGCGTGGATGGGGGGGTCGGTGGGGGTGGGGGTGGGGGTGGCCATGGTGGGTGGGCTAGTTTGGTGGGTTTGTGTGATTGCTGTGGGTTGGGTGAGTTTGTGTGAATTGCTGTGAATTGGGGAATTTTTAATTTTTGAAGTTTTGACGATTTTCAATGTCGTGGGGAAGTGGGGTTGCTTGTGTGTGTGCGATAAGGAAAAAAAAAAAAAAGTTTCGATAGCGGTTGCGGATGCTTGGCGCTGCCAAAGCTTGCATCATCAAATGTCACCAGCGCCCGCCACAGAAATGATACTTTCGACGGGATATCTGGTATTTTATTTCAGAAGAGAAAGAACGCCGTAGCAATAGTAATAATACACCAACCAGCCAATCTAGTATATAGAGAGTCGCACAAAAAAAAGCAAGAGAAACAGAAAGAGCTGAGATTAGCAAAAATAAAAAAGGCCCCCCCCATAAACTCATAAACTATCCACAACCATCTACCCCCACCACTTATACTTTTCCCTCACATCTTGATATCAAAGCTCGTCCCACACCCACAGCTACTCGTCGCCTTCGGGTTATCCACAATCTTGAACTGCGACCCAATCAGCTCCATCGTGTAGTCGATCTTGCTGCCCTTCAGCAGCTCCAGCGACGGTTCGTCCATCACGACCTTGGCGCCGTCGTCGCCAAACACCCTGTTCCATTCATCAGCACTCCCGTCACCAAGTCTACTGGCATATAACTCAGAAAGGGGGGACGGACGTATCCTCAACAGCATCAAACTTGTCCGACAGCGACATGAGATACTGGAAGCCGTGGCAGCCGCCGGCCTCGACCGTGATGCGCAGCGCCAGGTTCGGGTTGGCTTCTTTGGCTTGGATCTCTTTCAGCCTCTGCTCCCCGTCTGATTAGCAGTCTCTCCTCCCTACTCTCCTCTCCTCTGTTCTCCTCTCCTCTACCTCTACTCTTTCTACTCTACTCCGGAGGTGGAAGGTGGGGTGGTGAAAATACCTTCGTAGCGCGCGGCGTCAAATCAATCATCATCTCCTTGCCCTCCTCATCCTTCCTCGGGTTCTGGAGCACCGCGGCAGCGGGTCGGGGGGCGGTCGTCGTGATGCGGCGGCTGCTGCTGCGGAGAAGTGGCGTGCGGAGGAGGGGGCGGAGGCGGTGGAGAGACATTGTGCGCTGTTGGGGGGGGGGGGGGTGTTTCAGTGAGCGTGGGTGGGTGAGATGTGGGTGGGATGAGGTTGTGGCGGTTGTCAGTCAGTTGATGCCCGTGGATAGCCGGGTTGCGGGTGAGCGAGCGATGGGTAACGTCACCACAAAGCAACGAGTCGGTGCGGTGGTGCAGAAATGATTAAAACACCGCAATCGTCTCATCTCGACATCTGTGCGACTTTATTTTCTATACCGTAGAGTACAAGTGCAATTATCTACAACACATTATCTACAGCAACTCCATTACCGCAATTCTTCAACATGGACGCAAAGCAGCTCAAGTCCTTCGTCAACGGCCACCGCATCAGCTTCACCGAGTCAAAGTCCAGCAACCGCGAATACGCCCAGCACCTCGACAGCACCGACCCGCTCGCGCGCTTCCGGGACGAGTTCCTCATCCCGTCAAAGGCGGACCTGCGCGACCCGCACCCCGAGGCCAAGCCCGCCGCTGAGCAGAACGGTATTCCCCCCCTCAACCTCCCCCAGTAATCACTATCTATCTATCCACATATACAGTAGTAGTCCTCACAGTAATTGATTAATTGCATAACTGACCCCTCCCCCGCGCACCCCACAGACCCCGCAGACCCCTGCATCTACCTCTGCGGCAACTCGCTCGGCCTGCAGCCCAAAGCGACCCGCGCCCTGCTCAACGAAGAGCTCACCATCTGGGCCACGCGCGGCGTCCAGGGCCACTTCAAGCACCCGCTCTCGCGCCCATGGGTCAGCGCCGACGAGGAGGTAACCCGGCACATGGCCAACGTTGTCGGCGCCCTGTCCACCGAGGTCGCCGTCATGGGCACGCTCACAAACAACATCCACAACCTCCTCGCCAGCTTCTACCGCCCCGACCGCTCGGGGAAGGGGCGGAGGAAGATCATCATTGAGGGGAAGGCGTTCCCGAGTGACCATGTATGCCCCTGTGTTGCTGTTGGTGGTGGAAGGGCTGCTGTTAACGGGAGTGTGTGGGTGGCGTAGTATGCGGTCGAGTCGCAGATCCGATGGCATGGCCTCGACCCGGCCGATGCGCTGGTTACAATCTTCCCCGAGGCCGAGCGCGCGGTGTTGACGACGCAGCAGATCTGCAAGGTCATTGACCGCAATGCGGACGACACGGCGCTGCTGTTCCTCTCGGGCGTGCAGTTCTACACGGGCCAGGCGTTCGACATCAAGGCCATCACGCAGCACGCGCAGGCCAAGGGCATTGTGGTGGGCTGGGACCTGGCCCATGCGGTGGGCAATATCGCGCTGGATCTGCACGAATGGGGGGTTGATTTTGTATGTCTTCTTCTTGGTGTTGTTTAGGTGGGCCGGTACTGACTGGAGAGCACAGGCGGTCTGGTGCAGCTACAAATACCTGTGCAGCGGCCCCGGCGGTATCGCCGGCATCTTCGTGCACGAAAAACACGCCTCCCCCGACCGCCACCGCCTCGCCGGCTGGTGGGGCCACGACCGCCTCTCCCGCTTCAACATGGACAACGGTAACTACCACACCTCCCCCAATCTACCCCAATTGACACCCAACTAACCTTCACCCCAGTCTTCAACGCGATCCCCGGCGCCGCCGGCTACCAACTCTCCAACCCCTCCATCCTAGACATCACCTCCCTCCTCTCCTCCCTGCAGCTCTTCAGCGCCGCCAGCATGCCCGCAATCCGCACCAAGTCCGTCCAGCTCACCTCCTACCTCGAGCACCTGCTGCACACGCAGTTCCCGGGCAAGAAGCCCGTCTTCGAGATCCTCACGCCCTCGGACCCCGCCGCGCGCGGCGCGCAGCTCTCGCTGCTGTTCCGCGAGGGCCTCATGATGCCCGTGTTTGACGAGCTGCTGGAGCGCGGCGTCGTGGTCGACGAGCGCAAGCCCGACGTCATCAGGGTCGCGCCGTGCCCGCTGTATAACGGCTTTGAGGAGGTGTGGGTATTTGTGCAGGAGCTCAAGAGGGCGGTGGGGGTGGTTGTGGGGAGGGCGGCGAATGGGGCGGGAGCGGGGAATGGGACGAGCGAGAGCGAGGGGGCAAAGATGGAGGCGGATTTGAGGGAGAACGGGCCGACGAGTCCGTAGTGTAGTGATGTAGCTGTAGAAGTAGTTAGGGTCAAGGGATGGTGGGAGTTTTGGGAAGGGAGTTTTGAGGGAATATACTTTTGTCTTTTTTTTGGTATGAATCGCAACTACTCACCTTTATATGTGCCAATTGGTTATCGTCGATGGTGTTGAGATAGCTGGCTGTGTAGTGGGGGAGGAGGGGAGAGGAGGGGAGAGGAGGGGTGTGGTGTTCTCGCTGCACGGCCTGGGCGATGTATGGAGATGAATACGTATACCTGGCACTGCATGGCCCGCAATGGTTCTCACCGGTTTTGTGTTTGTGGACTGTATGTAGCACAGAAACAGAGTGGTCGTAACACAGACTGCGCTGGGCGGTGCGAGTGATATTCTGTGATGTAAACTGGTTGGGCTGTTTTCAGGCTGTTCGTGATCTTGGTTGACCTTGACTCGATAGGTTATGGTTATGGTAGGATGAGATGATGATGATTGATTGACGACGAGACAACGCCTGGTTTTAAGCAGGTTACGCTACGAGACAGGTATGCCTGACCCGGTCCAGCCACGCAGCCGCTGAACCGTGTCCGAACACAGTTTCGCCAAGACTGCACGACACCGTGTCGTTGTAAAACGAGATTTTTATGGATGAGAGCAGTTGTTGCTTTTAAATCATAGGGCTTGGTATACATGTAATCCTCTATTGTGTGTACTTGTACGCATTCCACTTCCAATCATCAAGTATTTACATAATATCAGATCTAGACCGAGGGGAAAAAGAGAGTTGATACTCTTTGTATAAACATCACTTTTCTCCTCCCATTAGTATCATTATTGATTAGCACTAACTACATACTTACGTTGACGAGCATATATATCTCTAAGGTAAATCTACTAACTTGAACACATCTACTACTGCCAGATCGTCAAACTTCACTAATTAATCGAACAGAAACATAATAACGAAAAAAAAAACACTCAACCGAACCCATCATCTCCTTTCCCTTTATTAAAAAGTTTCTCTACTCCACCTCTTCCTCTGCCGGTAATCTATCTCTCAGCCACTCCATGATACCCTCCGTTCCCTTCTCCAGCACCTGCCACCTTGGTACCCTGAACAAGTTTCCCGTAACCCTCAGCTCTCTCAACGATGCCACGGTCCCAAGCTGGGGCGGCAAGTGTTTGATAGAATTGCTGTTCAGGTCCAAGATTCTGACACCATCCACAGAGTCAACCGGGATCTCCTCGATCCGGTTATCTCTTGCGTAGAACGCCGTCAAGTGAGGGAATGTAGGCCTAATACCCTCGATCGACTCGATCCGGTTGACCGATACGTCCAGAGACTCCAGTTTGGGCGCATCGAGATTGTCAAGCAGTGGCTTGAGCGACGTGATCCCGTTCGATTGCAAGGTGAATGTTGTGAGTGTTCGAAGCGAGATCTTGGTGGGGAGGTATGCATCACCAGAGAGCTTGTTGTGGCTGATATCGATAATTGTCAGCGACGCGCAAAATGTCTCTATGCTGGCTGGGATGGTGGTGAGTTTGTTGTGGAGAAGCACAATACTGCTAGGGCTGCCAACAACAGACTCTAAAAGATCCGTGGGGATTTCTTCGTAGTTTTTAGAAGCCAAATCCAGAACCCCGCCTCTGCCAATTTCTAGTGCCTTTTTATGCGCCATCGCATCTTCCTCTTCTTCTTCAACGCCCTCGGCGTCTACAAACCCTGGTCCTGCATCTGAGGCTTGGACATTATCATCGGCCTCCGCAATGACAATTTCAGGCGGTGCTAGCCGGGCTTTCAGGGTTCGTTTCAGATCCAAAATTCCCATATTTAGAAGATTTCTTTCCCGCAATGGGTTCCCATCGAACTTGAGAATTTCCAACCCCTCCATCATACCGAGACGGGGATCCAGACTCTTGATATTATTTGATGAAAAGTCGAGCGTTCTCAATCTCTGAAGATTAAGCAATCCCTCGGGCAGGGCTTCCAAGCGGTTTGAATCCACAGTGAAAACCAAAAGTTCGTTCCAACCTTCCACAGAAGGAAATAAAGACAGTTCGTTGTTGGTGGCGTATAGCTGCTGTAGGGTTGGCAGAAGAACAGTGCCTTCACTAAATTTCGATATACGATTGTTCCTGACATCGAGCAAATGGAGAGAGTTAAGACTCTCGACATCCAGGGAAAATAGAGTACCCCCTAGTTTGTTGCTGGAGGCCGTCAACTCCTGTAGCTGACAGTTTTTGAGGACCTGCAATGGAATCTCTTGCAAGCGATTCGCATGAACATTGAGAATATGTAATCTAGAAAGATCCCCAAGGGACGAAGGCAGGGAATCTAGTTTGTTTTCCTGGAGCTCCAGAATTTCTAGATTCCCAAGCTTGTAAATTGATGAAGGTAGCTCTCCTTCAAGCCCGTTCTTTGCGAGTTTCAAATCTACCAGCGTTTTGATCTGGAAGATAATTTCTAGGGCATCATGGTCGAGTTTGTTATTTGTCTTTAACCCTAATTGTTAGCTAAAGGGACCACATGGGGCTATGTTTCAACTCTACTTACCAGATTAAGGACTGTTAGCTCAGTTAAATCTGCAAAATTCTTTGGTAATGTGATCAACATATTATTATGCATCTAATTTCCGTATGTCAGCCAAAAATTTCACGTCTGATAAAGGTCCAAAATCAAGAGGAAGAATGTGCCGATTTTGCACTAGTAGGTTTCCACGTACATCAATGCTAGTCAATCCGCCGAACTGTTCCACCAATTCCTGACCGATCTCCTCAATCTCGTTATCTGCGCCCACAAAGCGAACTAGATCTACGCTCTCATACCACTTGGGCCCATCGCCCGCATCTGCGGCCTCTAGGTCCGCTACAGATGTTTCATACATCTTGTAAACCTCCACAGGTATTTCCTTCAGCTGCAGATTGGATATATTGAGGCGGCCTTCCACCCGAGCAGTCCTGATCCGCTGCTTCATGACCCTCTGAGAACTGCCTTCACCGAATATGGCTTGATTGAACGGATCATCGGTGCTGAAGTTGAAGCCATCCAAACCGTCGCTGACAGACCCTGCAACTGAGCCAGTGATCGACTGGGCAATGGATTCAGCACGCGCGCGGTGTGCAGCCCGGGCTTTAGCTATGGTATCGCGAAGCGACTGCGAAGCTTTGTTTGCAGCTGCCTTCCGTGACATGGGTGAATCCGGCGTTTCCGTGCGCTGTGGCTCTGGAGTCTTGTTCCGGGTGTTTGTCGGCGCTGGGCGCGGGGTTTTAAGGGATGGCTGGCGAAGCCCACTTTGTCCTGTTCGTGGTGGTGGCAGTTTGGTTGGGGTCATTGGGGATGGGAGGCCCGAGGAGATGCTTCGGCGCATTGGGGTGGGACTTTGAGACGCTGTGTCATGGCTGGGAAGATTGGATACTGAGACTTTGCGATTGAGATGGGAGTTTGACGCTCTCTTGTTCACTACCATTGACGAATTCGACAGCTTTCGCGTAAGCGGCGGTGCAGGTATGGATGGTCCAGAAGTTGAAGTCTTCCGAGCGGGTGTCGGAGCTTGGGTTTGGAGTTGGGAAGCTGAAACCTTCCGGGTCAATGAGGAAGTGGAAGGCTTCCTCGTCAAGGATGGAACTGATGCCCTCTTTGCAAGAGAGGTGGCAGTGTGTGATGTATGATCTCCTCTAATATTGCTTTCTATCACTCGAGGGCTCTTGAGGCCTAGGGATATGGACGGAGATTCAATAGGCGAAGAAACTGTTCGATGTCAGTTGCAAATGTTTCGAAACAAAGCCAATAGGGGATAGGGGTTTGAGGTTGAGATACTTACGTCCACCGCCATTATAGCTAGGGCCGCCAATTCTTGACTGCCTTTTAGCAACCGAAGGGAATCTTGGAGAGGCAGATTTCGGACCAGGGGAAACCAGAGATTCTCTTGACGAAGCCGTTCTTAAAGACCCATAAGGTTGTGGCACGTTTATTGGAGCCGGCGTAGGAACAGAGGATTTCTTGGGCACCGGAAGCCTAGACGATACCCTTCTTTTGAGTTGAATTGGACCTGGCGGAATAGTAGGGTTATTGTAGGAGATATGAGTAACAGTAGGGGGAGGAGAATGCTCGCGTGGTTCTCCCTGAACACTTGAAGGAGCACTACTACCAAAAGCACTACCATCAATAGTACTACTATCGACTGTATCGATAGTAGGGCTATCCATATTAGTATCACTGGAGTCTGCCATGGTGATGGTGATGGTCGCAGCCGCAGTTATGGTCGTTTAGCCAAATTGAAGCCGAGTGTTGAGAGCTCTTCTCGAGTTAGGGGATATGAGACGTGAAGATACCAAAGGTTGAAAACCCGCAGCATGCAGGGCATGCAGTAGGATACCTGGGAAGACATGGCAAATTTGAAAATTGATAGGGGGCGGGAGTTGCCGTGGCAGCAGAGCCAAAGGCAGAAGCAGGTCAAAGCGTGGGACCAGTGCAGGTGAGACATGGACCCTGGTTCGCCATTAACCCAGAAATACTCTATTGGTACGAAGCCTGATTGGACAACAGTTGAAAGTAGTTTAGTCAGCTACCACATTTACAGAGATGCCATAGCCCTAACCCTGCGACACAACCAATCCAAACAAAAGGTCCCGCGGCTTTAATTTGGGAAATTCAGACTGAAAGGCCCCATAGAGGCTCAAAGAGGTTTAATTGGGGGGACTGAACCAAAGTCTCCTATGAACCCCTAATAGACGGAGGAGAGATGAGTAGCTCGACTTATGTGCGAATGATAAAGCTCCCAACCCAATTAAGCAGCTACATACGCTACTCATGGTTTGCCCTCGATGTCCCAACTTGCAGAGCTATTGGCTGATTCAGGTTTAATCTACCTACCATTCAGATTTTATGGTTATAGCAGGTACATATACCTTTTACCACAAATAAGCTGTCGCCTTGTCCCCCTCCTTGTCATGAACCTGATATTTGCAATTTATATATAGCATTTAAAACTCACCGTCCCAGTTGGCCAGAAAAGATCGTGGTGGCCATGGACAGGTCTGAGATCACTAGACAAAGAGACACTTGTCTAGCGAACACTTCCTTCTTGATTGTCAGGCGGATGCAGATAGCAGGTACATGTACATGCAATTCTATGAGAAAGCTCTCCATAATGAATACCTAAAAAATATTACCTGAAAAGACACCTAACCCTCGGATCTGAAGGGTGGACTGAATTCAAGGATACCCTTCTCTCAATCCTTATCGGTCAAAAATAGATTAAACCTTAATGAAAACGTGGCTGCAGATGAGGTGGCTTGACTACATATGTACCACATAATATAACGACTCAAGCCACACCACTGCCTCTACTCCTTTACCCCGAGACCGTATTACATGACATTGTGTACCTACATATATTTGTAGGTACTCTATCTACTCTAGAGCCGGTATTCTACATGTATATACCTACATACATGTAGAGTACCTATGGCAATCTCATGGCTGGAATCTCCATAAGTGCGGGGAAACAATCATATTGTCTCTCCCTTCCTCCACATGCACATCCATGTTGTTTACCTCTGTTTCCCGCGTCATGATCCGATAAGCCTAAGGCGGCACCAACTTTACTCGATTCACCTCACCTACAGAAGTAAAAAGTGGTTCTTCTATCATTTCCACTTAATACCGCGCCCACTCGCTCGCCGTATCACTGACGTCACGGCGGGTGGGACTTCCGTCGTTCCCGATATCCATGCCCTCGCAAGAGGGCTCCCAGCAATCTGTTGTCCTGGAGACTCCCATCGCTTCATCCTCCCCGCTGTTATCACAAATGACTCCTTCTACACACCAGGACAGAGATCGCCCTATAATTCGCCTTATCCCTCCTCCGCCCTTCAGCTCTACAGCCGCACACTCTTTCGCACCTTCGTCCTCCACTTCCGCCTCCACCATGCCTACGCCCGTAGATCCCATGTCTGCTATATCACTAGCTGCACAACCTCACAGTCCTTCAATAGAGGGTTGGGAAGATCTTTCTTCGTCCGTAATTGATTCATTTGACCTGACAACACTGCGAGAAAAGCTTAAACTTGCGAATCAGCATATTAAAACCCTCTCGTCTTCGATCATTGCCTTGCGCACGAATTCCGCACACTACCTACTCCAACACAAAATTCTCGAGATGGAAACCACGGAAGCTGCAGCACGGCACCAGGTTGAATCGGAGATTACACGCCGGGAGGTTGAGGTCCTGCGACTAGACCAGAGCTCATTCAGTACAACCCAACAGCTAGCGCTCGCGGAGGAGAATGAGGCCTATAAGCGCAGACTACGAAAGGCAAAGCGGTCCATCAAGGACTACCGCGATGAATTGGGCGATTTCAAAGATGAGAATGAAAGATTGAAGAAAAGGATCCGCGATAATCGACAACATCAATTAGACGCATCACGTTCACCTGATGATCGTCATGTCACTGCTGGCGGTGGTAACGGGGATAAGGGTGGGGATTATAGCGGGGTGCATAACTCGACCTCTGCAGCAGAAAGAAATGCTCCGGCGAGAAGAGTAAGTGGTGCTGGGGGGAGAGGCACAGCCGAAGATGATGGATTAGAAGCTCTACGCTTCCTGGCGTCCCAGGTTTTGTCCCAAGAAATAGACGGGGATACATGCCATGTTGACGCGGGAAGAGTAACCACACCTCAACCAAAGCTTAAGAAATCCACTACGTCAGATTCTACACATCATTCTATCCGCCGGACCTTGATGAGCCCTGTTGCCTTCACATCCTCTTCTACCTCCCGAAGTAAAAAGCGTCGTCACTCCCGTGACTCCACAATATCTGCATCAGATATTGATGGTGATGTATCAGACATTAATGAAAGCGGAAAAAGACGAAGAACAGGAACCGCAACCAACACTTCGCACCATAGCATCACTCGACAACGACGATGTACGCACAGCCCTCACCCAACTCCAACCATGTCGCTGATCAACGAGCATAGAAATAATAGGAGACATCATGCAGATACTGGTGCTAATACGTCATCTCTGAGAACTATGCCACCAGGAACTCCTGAAAGCCCACTGGAAAGAGATGGTAAGGTAAGAGATGCAGAGTCAGGGTTAGGGTTGGGATTGAGACAAGGCTTGGGATTAGAAGCCCACCCTGAATCTATGGGGTCATCCTATTGATTTACTTTCTTTATAAACATACGGGAGAACAGCACGTTTACTTTGGCGTTTGAATTTTTGATGGCTGTGTAGGCTGTTTGGGTTTCTTATTTTTTGGTGGGGGAGGGGCGCACTTGTTTCACCGGGTTGATTGTAATCATATGAACTATGACCTACAACTCCTTTGAGGCCCCTTACGTCTAATATCCCGGTTTGTATTGAGTAGGCAGATTGTTTCTGGATTGAGTACGCATTTACACGGTCGGTAGAGTTAGGGGTAACTTCCGTACGGGATCAGATGGGTTTTATTGAAACCTAGGGAGTATAAGTCTCATATCAATCATGATCAAGTATAGTAATAAGGACATAGATAAAGCACGTGGCTTAAACACGAATGAGAATAAACCTCATATTACAGGCCGGGGGTGATTTACTTATAAGTATGTACATGTAGTTATGCATGTACTGTTGCCAGTACAATTACTCCGGATACACACAAATCTCGGAATAGAGCCTAGAGTACTCTGGTATCCATATACTAAAATTGTTTCCGGTGGAACCCAACTTTGACAGAATACATGTAGTTGGGCCATTGTCGTTAAAACGGGCTCCACTTGAGCCCTCATCGTCGCATATCGCGTTGTAATCTACTTTACTACATGTGTTGGTTGAATAAATTAAGTACAATATTGTAGTGCACATATATATGGATGCAAGTGATTTCCTATGATCGTGTTAAAGGATCAGCTGTCTAACCTCCCTCCCCCACATATGGCCAATACAAATGTAGAACTCCTAGAGAGGCAAAACCAAGACCATCCTTAAGGATTCATAATCAACTAAATCGGACTAGCTTTGTATACTTGAGATGCCATGTGAATCATGATGCTGACACGTGCATACAGGGGGCCAGTGTTGAATTCCCATCCGACATCATTTCCCCATCCCTTGTCCGGGATTCGCCGCCTACAGCTAGAATCCCACTATCCCATACATGTAGGTTTAAACCTCTTGTCTTCATCAATTTGTTTTTCATAGACATAAAGCCCTCTCTATCCCCCTACGTCGATAATGAGGACGGCCGCTCTTCTCAGTCGGCGGTTGCCTACGTCCTCTCTTTATTCAAGATTTTCCTGGGCATCAATACGTCATAGCCGAGTTCACCAGGCTTCGAAGTCGCTCTCCACTGTCACTGGCAACGTCTCCACCAGGTCCTCATCACAACATAAACGAAGCAAATGGTCTCGGTTTTACAACAATCGAGCTTTGTACATCGGTTCTGCCACACTTGCACTACTAGTAGTGGCTCCTCTGGGGCTCCCATCGACTGTGTGTGAAAAGGGGCCTCAGAATGCATCCCCGGATATTCCACCTGAGAAAACTATCGAGCAACTCATGCTTGAGGAATCAGACCTGGAACGGGAAGAGCTACAAGCGATCTCAAAAGATCAACACGTTGTCTTTCGTATTGCTAACCACATAAAAATTCTGACCGTCAACTGGTTAATAGAGCCGATCGCTACCGGCTTTCGGTTTGTCACTCTAGTAACAATATTTGTACCTTTAATTCTCGCGGTACCATTGGTATACCTGGGGAGACGACTACCAGAGAAAAGTAACGAGCGCCAGGGAACAATATGGTGGTACGCCTTCTTGATAAAGTCGATGGAGCAGGCTGGTCCAACATTCATAAAGGTGGGAATCTCGCTTAAGCCGCACCTTTGTGAGCGTTTCTTATGAAAGCAGTTAGGACAATGGGCCGCGTCTCGAACAGATATTTTTCCCACCGAGATGTGTGAAATGATGTCAAAACTACACTCTAATGCTCGTCCCCACTCGCTACATGAAACGAAGAGAATCATAAGTCATGCTTTCGGCGGCAGGTCCTTTGAAAATATATTCGAAGAGTTTGACGAAACCCCTCTAGGAATAGGAGCTATAGCCCAGGTTTATAAGGCGAAACTAAAACCTGACTTCATTCCGCATTTAAACGATGCAGTGGAAGACAGAGGGAGATATCGTAGAACTGTGGGCTTTCTTTCAGGATCGCCACTACCTCACGAAGTCCCTTCCTCCTACGTAGCTATCAAAGTTCTTCATCCGCGAGTGGAGAAGACTGTTCTCCGGGATTTAAGAATTATGGCTTTCTTTGCAGCATTATTGCACTCGGTCCCTACCCTCGAATGGCTGTCCTTCCCAGAGGAGGTTGCACAATTCAGTGGAATGATGAGACTGCAGATGGATTTACGAATTGAAGCTGCCAATCTCTCGAGATTTCGATCGAATTTCAGAGATAGGGCTACGATCATATTTCCAATGCCATATAGTCATTACACCACCCGAGAGGTATTGATAGAAGAGTTTGCTCATGGAATACCTCTCCGTGCATTTCTGGAGTGTGGGGCTGGAGTATTTGAGAGGGATATATCCGATATGGGATTGGATGGCTTTTTGGTTCGTGTCTTCGGGATGGTTTCGACCGCTGCAGCGTAGTTACTGACAATCCACGCCTCTCAGCATATGTTGATTATGGATAACTTCATCCATGCGGATCTTCATCCCGGAAACATTATGGTTCGCTTCCACAAACCCGAACCCCCCAGTCTTATATCCAGGTTCTCGATGCTCGTCCCCACTTCCGAGGGCGAAAGGAATGTAGACAACCACAAAGAAGTCACAGATGCTGTTCTCTCACGACTAAACCCCTATCATCGAACTCCAGAAAGGTGGGTAGAAGAATTGAACCGTCTTGATGCTGAAGGATACAGGCCTCAACTCGTGTTTATCGACACGGGTCTAGTAACCGAACTTAACGCCAAAAATCGGCATAATTTTCTTGATCTTTTCCGTGCCGTCGCCGAATTCGATGGATACCGTGCAGGCCATCTTATGATTGAGAGAAGCAGAGCTCCTTCTGCTGTTATTGACAAAGAGATATTCGCAATTAAGATGCAGCATCTCGTCCTTGCGGTCAAAACTCGTACACTATCTTTAGGAAACATCACGATCGGTGATATTCTTTCAGATGTACTCCAAATGGTTCGTGTGCATCATGTGCGTATGGAGGGTGATTTCATCAATGTCATATTATCGATCCTACTTCTCGAAGGGATTGGGCGTAGTCTAGATCCGGGAATGGACCTACTGAAAAGGTACGCCGATTCTAACCTGTGCCTCGAATTTTTGGCTGAGCTATGGACCACAGTTCTCTACCCATGTTGAGATCTATTGGGGCTGGGGGCGGCGCAGGCATCCTAGGGTGTAACGAGGAGGGAAGCAGAGGCGCCGATTTGAGCTTTTTGAAGGTTTGGTTGGGACTTGAAATGAGGCAATTTTTGAACAACTCGATAGAATCCGTGGAGAACTTGGTGAAGTATGACTTACTGAGTCCAAATATATAGTTTTAAGATGAGGTGTTAGGGGGCTGTTATCGTTGGCGTTTATTCTTTTCTTTCTTTCCTTCTTTCTTTGGATCTCCTCTCCTTAGAGACCTTTAAAGTACATTTGTTCGTTCAGGCCCATAGAGGACCTTGTATAGTACATGTACATGTAGTTTAGTAGAATCGTTTATCAGACGAAGAAATGTGGCGGAATTTAGAGAGGATAGAAATAATACAGCATAGCAAATATAGATAGAGCGAGGCGCGCTTGCCCGTTTCTTCTAAGTTCTAACAAACTAGACCCGTGCCAAATCCATGTATTTGAAGATTGTGTCGTTTTGTGTCGAGCATTTCCTGAACCCCACTACTCTATGTAAAATGAAACACTACATGTATGTAAGGTCCTGGGTTTGCCGACTTAATTTGAGTAATCACCCTTTTGTGCGGTTGTGGAGTACATGTACTCTAGTACACCTTGTAACGTAACCAAACCTCGTCATTGAAGATAGCCGGACAGTACTAACAGTATGACTACATGTACATATACTATATAGTGAAACCGAGAAAGGCAATGTACATGTACCTACAGACTTAGGCAAAGCAAAGCACATATTGTAATCACTTCATCTTCGTAGTGACTCAGACCGTGGCCTTACTGCCATGTTCTAGAATTAAACTTGATAGCGAGAATGACAATGATGGTACGTTCAGACTTAGGGTGAAGATAAATTTATATAATTATACTTATACACTCTACGATTGACTTTCAGTAATGATATATCGATACCGACAATATGTATTTGTGTTCAATACAATCCCCTCCGGTTTGTCATCTACCCGTATAAACATGCAGATCTAGAGCAGAGGAAATGATCTAGGCTACGTAGAGTACATGTATTTATGACTACATGTACCTATATGTACATCCGGTGATATATCCCTTGCTTGATCTCAACGCATATCAAAGCAGGGGATCCGATCCGATTGGATTTGGTTTAGCGCCGGGTAGTAAGTGAGTGATTTCCTATGACCGAAATTGACAGGGACTAAAACACCCCCACTACATGTAATTTTATGTAGCTCCAATCAGTGAATTGCACGGTGATAGGAACTTATGAAGCATGATAAATACCATGTCAGCACGATTCTTATTGTTGGGGTTATCGCAGGCGCATACTCTGCAATTGGGCCCCAGGGTTCACAAAGTTAGCCCCATACTTTAGACCTGATTGTCAAAACCAATGCGTATCCGATAAGTACATGTAGTAGATACGGCACATGTATCTATGCATCAACCCTTGCTACATTTTTACAAATCATCCAGCCCTAAACCTCCTTGCCAAGCCAATATACGCGTGAGAAAACCTCTCAACGCGCCCCTCGTTGGAAACACCCCTCTCCTCTCCTTCTCGCATCGCGTCCACTCAATACATATTGAGCCCTCATTTTGACTTGGTTCCATCCATCTGTTCTCTTTAATCGAAATTGAAAGGGTACAAGATACACCGGATTATACAGCTACGATTCAATCTTCATACCCCTCTTGAGCCTCAATTCTGAGACGTAGCTACCACACAGACTCCAACTAGTAGCACTTGACATCAAAGCACTGCAGATATGTATGTCTGGAAAAGAGGTAAGAAGTTACAACTTTATTTAAGTTTTGCCTTGCTTGAAATTGTTTTAGTAAGAGGAAGAAAGGCTAAAACATTTAATCAACAGATGGCCGTAAGGAACGAGTTCAGTTTGACAAGATTACTGCCCGTGTATCTCGTCTTTGCTATGGACTGGACAGTGAGCACGTAGATGCAGCGACCATTACTCAAAAAGTTATTTCGGGGGTTTACCAAGGAGTTACCACTGTTGAACTAGACAACTTGGTTTGTCCCCTTGACAACTATACGCTATATTGAAAATACAAACCGTACATTGAGAAATTGTGCTAATTGGTTCACAAAGGCCGCTGAAACTGCTGCCTACATGACTGTAACCCATCCTGACTATGCCATTCTTGCAGCCCGTATCGCTGTTAGCAACCTACATAAGCAAACCAAGAAGCAGTTCTCTCAAGTCGTAAGTGACTTGTATCACTACGTTAATCCTGTAAGTTGCTGGACTTCTTCAATCCTATTACTAGTAAACTTATCCTCGATAGAAAAATGGCCGTCCCTCGCCCATGATTTCGACACAAACCTACGAGACAGTTATGCGCCATGCCTCTGAGCTCAACTCTGCTATTGTCTATGACAAAGATTTCAACTATAACTACTTCGGTTTTAAAACTTTGGAGCGCTCATATCTGTTGCGCATAGATGGACAGGTTGCCGAGCGTCCGCAGCACATGTTAATGAGAGTAGCAGTCGGAATTCACGGCGAAGATGTTGAAAAGGCCATTGAGACCTACAACCTCATGTCTGCCAAGCATTTTACTCATGCTTCACCCACGCTTTTCAATGCTGGAACTCCTTCCCCACAGCTGTCATCTTGCTTCTTGGTTGCAATGAAAGACGACTCTATAGAGGGAATTTACGATACTCTGAAAATCTGTGCTATGATTTCGAAAACTGCTGGTGGTATTGGACTTAACATCCATAATATCCGTGCTACTGGTTCTTACATTGCTGGGACGAACGGCAGTTCCAATGGGATTGTGCCTATGCTCAGAGTTTATAACAATACCGCGAGGTACGTTGATCAAGGTGGAAACAAAAGACCTGGTGCTTTTGCCATTTATCTTGAGCCATGGCACGCCGACATTATGGAGTTTATTGACTTGAGGAAGAACCATGGGAAGGAAGAGGTAAGTAGCCCTTGCGTGATATTTTCTATACATGTAACTGATAAGGTGCCTGCCGATAGATTCGCGCTAGAGATCTTTTCTATGCCCTCTGGGTCCCTGACCTATTCATGAAGCGAGTTGAGAAAAACGGTGACTGGAGCTTGTTCTGCCCCAACGAGGCGCCTGGCTTGGCCGACGTCTGGGGTGATGAATTTGAGGCCCTTTACAATAAATACGAGAAAACTCCTGGCCTGCCTCGCCAGACCATGAAGGCACAGAAGCTTTGGTATGCCATCCTAGAAACCCAAACCGAGACAGGAAACCCTTTTATACTCTATAAGGACGCCTGCAACCGCAAATCGAATCAGCAGAATCTCGGAACTATCAAATCCTCCAATCTTTGCACAGAGATTGTGGAATATAGTTCTCCTGATGAGGTTGCTGTATGTAACTTGGCTTCCGTTGCTCTACCAACCTTCGTAGATGTTCAAAGGGGTGAGTATGATTTTGCAAGGCTACATGATGTTACGAAAGTTGTTGTCAGGAACTTGAACAAAATCATCGATGTGAACTTCTACCCTGTCGAGGAGGCGAAAAGAAGTAACATGAACCACAGGCCCATTGCTGTTGGTGTCCAAGGTTTGTGCTCACCTCCCGTGGTTTGTTTTGTGTGCCTTGTCTTAATTGAAGTGTTTTAGGCCTTGCCGATGCTTTCCTTGCTCTTCGCATGCCGTTCGAATCCCCACAGGCGAAACAACTCAATATTCAGATTTTTGAAACTATCTATCATGCGGCTGTTGAGGCCTCAACTGAATTGTCTGAAATTCACGGCCCATACTCAAGTTACGAAGGCTCTCCGGCCTCAAAGGGCCAGCTTCAGTATGACCTGTGGGGTGTCACCCCAACAGACTTGTGGGATTGGGACGAACTAAAAGCAAAAGTTAAGAAGCATGGACTTCGAAACTCCCTTCTTGTTGCACCCATGCCTACCGCATCCACTTCTCAGATCCTAGGATTCAATGAGTGTTTCGAACCTTATACTTCTAACATCTACTCTCGCCGTGTGTTAGCGGGAGAATTCCAGATTGTGAACCCTTGGTTGTTAAAGGACCTTGTGGACATGGGTTTGTGGAGTGATAACATGAAAAACAGAATTATCGCCAACAATGGTAGTATACAAGGTGTCCCGAATATCCCAGATGATATCAAAGCACTTTACAAGACTGTCTGGGAGATTTCACAAAAAAAGATTCTCGAAATGGCTGCCGATCGTGGTGCTTTTATCGATCAATCACAATCTCTCAACATCCATATTCAGAATCCTACCATGGGTAAATTGACATCCATGCACTTCTATGGGTGGAAGTTGGGCTTGAAGACTGGAATGTACTATCTCCGTACTCAGGCTGCAGCTGCAGCTATTGTAAGTTTCACCCTCAGCTGTTACAAGCTTTTATTTTAAGTTTTTTTAAAGAATAACATGCTGGGACTTGTACTTACCCTTTCTTTCTCAGCAATTCACCGTCGATCAAGAAGCCCTAAAGGTGGAAGATACCAATGTTGCTCGTGTCCTTCCCGGGAAAAAACGTATTCCGAATACCAGCTACTCTTCCCAGGCTGCAATGCCTCAGCCAATGATGGCTACCAAACCTGCTCCACGTGTTGTCTCCGTTGGCGGACCTCCACCTCCTGCTCCTCGCTCTGAGAACTCTGAGAAATCAGAGCCGTCTCCGACGCTTCTGGCGACGGAGCCACTCACCGATCCAACTACAATTGATGGATTGGAAGAATTGGAGAACAAGAGGGGCCAAGCAGAGGATGCAAAAAGCCTCAGTGATGAAAGGGAGGTAGACATCTATGCCGATGCAGTGCTGGCTTGCAGTATTGAGAACAAGGAGGAGTGCATGATGTGCTCTGCTTAGATTCGACCATAACAAATATTGGGTTGGCCTGGTTCGGTTGGGCTAGGAAGGTTTAATAGGGATGGGAATGGGATGGTGTTTTTCTTTTTCTTTTTTCTTTATGGGCCTTTATGGATATCCTCTTATTATTACCTGCGATCGATGACATTATCTTCTATACCATATGGCGACCAATGAGATAACCGGTAAACATATTTCAATAACTTATGACAAGAAATGTTTTATAACAAAGTTTGACCAAATCAGTTCATTTGTTCCCCATCAGACTCGGAGCTTACATGTGTTACTCTAACTCCTGATTCTTCTTAAAAATTCTGATAGATTTGGGTTTGTATCGTAGTTACAAGGTATTGTATTGGCCCAGGTATGTAAGTGTGTATGCTGGAAATACAATACAAGCCTAAAATTCATCCTATCAACTGACAGCCAAAGAATTAATCTACCTGTAGAATATGAAATAAATTTAGGTGTAGTCAAGTGCTATGAGAGTTACTACTCCTTTATTCTAGTTGTTATGAAGTGAGGGGTGTGTGTGGTATGGAAGCGTCTATTCAGCCCTGGCTACATCAGTTACTGGACGTATCCCAGAGCTACAAAACAGATAAACACCCACATCTCCATAGTTTTCCGTCTTCCCACCCTCAAAACCCCCGCCTCAAGAAGACGAAACTAAACCCTTATGCGCGTGCCAGTTCCCCCGGAAGAAGAAGTAGAAGCAGAAGCCAGCATGCAGAGTACCCGCCCTTTCTCCGTACTCACCCAGATGTCGCCAGTGCCCCCTCATGCCCCCGAAGTCGTAGCTACAGCTACAGCTACAGCTACACCCACATCCAAGCGGCCCCAAAAAGAATGGCGGATTCCCAAGCTCCTCTTCAAGTGCAAAGACGTAACCCATCCAGGCGCCGCCATCTACTTTGCGCACTCAAACACCGCAACCCTCCTGCGGGATGCCGTCGTCGGTGTCCTAGAGTCTCTCTACACCTTTGACACCGCGCCCAATACGTATCTATGCCCGCACCGTAGTAGTGATAGTAGTGAACCCATTAATAACCGTCTCCCCTCTAAAAAAACAGCCAGCGCTCCGTAACCCTGATTCTGCGCGAGATGGACGGCATCGCCTATACCACGTCCTCGGACCTGGACGTCGATCATAAGGAGATCCACGTCTCGCTCAAGTACCTCAGCACGCTCTCGCCCACCATCGCGGCATCGGAGATCCTCGGCGTGATCCGACACGAGATGGTGCACTGCTTTCAGTATAATGCGCACAACACGTGTCCGGGCGGGTTGATTGAGGGGATCGCCGACTGGGTAAGGCTGCAGGCGGGCTTCACGCCGCCGCACTGGCGCAGGGGAGGGAAGCACTGGGATGATGGGTATCAGAATACGGCGTATTTTCTTGAGTGGCTGGAGCAGAGGTTTGGTAAAGGAACAGTGGCGAGTGTGAATGGACTGCTGGGGAAGGGGAAGTATAAAGTGGGCATGTGGGAGGATATGTTTAACGGGTGTGGGGTGGAGGAGCTATGGGAAGAGTATAGGAAGCTGTATGGGATTGGGGGGCTGTAGATCCGTAGATTTCTTTTTGTTTCTTTCTTGGAGTGAGGTTTCTGTTCGGGTGTAGCCCATGCCTCGATCCATGATGATAATGAGAATTGGATAAAAACCTATTGTTTTCAACGAGTGGAACCGAGAAGAGCTATAATAGCGTTCTCTTGATATTATAGTAAACTCGGGCTTTATAAATATCTTAGACCGCGGTATTACTACCAGCAGGGACCTAGACGAAACAGCAGCATCGATTATTACACAGTATTCGTTAGATAAGCAGAAAGACAAACCAGAAGGCTCCATCCAGGCTACCAAATAGTTATAAAGCCCATATTAGCATCTTCACTCATTCCATCTAAGCTGTGACATGTATCCCATGAACCTTGTTGTCTATATACGATCATGGAATCCACCTTGCCTTATCTTAATCACACGATATCACTCGATGATGAAACTGGATGAATACGAGCGCCTGCCCAGCTATCGGCAAGGAAAATGGAAGCCTCAATCTGTCTCTATTGGTCCAGTTTTGATCTTCAATGCGTAGGAATGTTCTGTAGACGAGCCATAAACACGACTAATTAACCAGTGACTCCATGCCAGTGTTGTCCACGAGGCGCATCGAGGCGAGGAAGATGGAGTGTATCGAGAGGCCTCTGCCCCTGAGGAGATCTACTCTGGGTTGCCTCGAGCTGCCCCGATGCTCCTCGAGACAGATCTTGGCAGCGGGTTCTCAATAGTTCTTGTCTGGCTCGATCCCCCGGGATGTAAATTTACACGATTATCTCCGTTTTGGAAGCCTAAAGAGTATATCTTGTGTCGACTCGAGTCGACTCAAGTCGAGAAATCTACCATGTATCGAGGTACATCGGCTTCATTGAAGGGTATACCTCGTGCTAACTCGAGGCAAGAAGTGCTTCGTCCTCGTGGACCACACTGCTCCATGCTCGTTGAGCCGTAGTTTTGGTAAGCAGTGACCATGGCGGGTTCTTATTACAGTTCGGTGGCAATCCAGTGCGCCGTGAGATAGTACGCCTTGAGCGTGGTTAGCGATCGTTTTCCAGGAATCGGTGATTGGTTGTAGGGTGAATGGGATTCCCTTCCATGCCTTGACGAAGGCTGCTTGGAGAGTGTCTTTCTCTGTGATGAATGTAGTCTCTTTTCATAATGTTGATGTGTCTCCATATCTGCGTGTTGCGCGCGAATTTATGTACGACATACCTTTGTGCCGCACGAGTGAGATCTTGTGATCCACAGTTGCAGGACCGGGCACCTACATAACCTCTTACTAGCTTTGCACCACCATGAAACTAAGTTCAAGTTACACATAATTAGAGCTCCACGGAGCGGGGAAAGGGATGGCTTAAGAGCTTTCGATTACTATTTACATGTGCAATGGGGCTACTTCGACCTGTGGGGAATGGGGGGTATGCCGGCGTAGATATGGTCACTTCTTATACATTGGTCACGATTAAAGCATCACATTGAATCATTATTTCCAATACGAGCTTTACACAGATGATGAAAGTGAATTGTGTAGATATCAATATCTATCTGTGCTTTCATGTACAGACAAGGTATCCATCCTCCACCGCCTCGAAACACTCTACTGGAAGACCAAGCACCCATTGTCGTTGACGATACGCTCCGAAAGGTTGACGTCCCTATCGTGGGTGTTCCCCTCGCTATCCCTCAACTGGGCTCTGAGGATAGGGAGCTGCTCTGGGCCCTCGATGGACAAGTGGATGTTCTCCGCCGATCCGGTGAAGCCTTCGCCGCTCCAGTTGAAGGAACCTGTTTTTGTTGCTTAGCTATACTTCCCCTCTAAAGTTACCGGTGACTATACGATATTCACTAACCTTCGTTGTTGCCGAGACATTCGTCCAAGTTCAACTGTGTTCCGTTTTCATTGCCATCCTCATCTCTGGCATCGGCGTGGAGATAGGTGTGGCCATCACGCTCCTCGATGCGGACGTTGCTGCTTGAGATTGCGAAGGACATGATTGAGTATTTGTGGTTTGGATTTTTGGTTTTAAAAGATTGATGGGTGGGTGAGGTGGTAGTGGTAGTGGTGGTAGCTTAGCTTTGGTGGATAATGGTTTGCTTGGGTTTCGGGAGAGGACGAGGAAGCATCCAGTCCTTTATATACACGCCCCAACACCCTGTTGGGTACACATACATGTATGTATACTTTAGGTATTAGGTACATCCTACACACAATAGAGTACAGGTATGTCGTGCGTTACGCACACCTCATGTAGCCCACACCTAATCGGACGACTCCTACCGTAGGCGTGGGGCACGGACCTAAGAATCTCTTGGGTGCTGACGAGTAACCTCTTGGACGACAGACGGTAATCATAATTAAACAATTTCAAACAGGGCCAATCGTATGTAAATGGAAAGGTCTCTTTCTCTTTGTGTCTTCATCCATCTCTCTCTAGCACCAAGAATTCGAGGCCGGGGCCCTCAAGGCTTGGTTTGTGCCGTTTACGTGCGGAATGTTGTCAGGTTTAGCTCTATATAAAAGCCTGTGCAGGCATCGGACCATATCCCAGAAAGCTTCCATCAACTTCTGTACTGATCTCAATGGATATCTCTGTCTATAACGTGGAGTGCTTGTATCAGTACTATACTATCTATATCTATACACTTAGACATATATGCTAAAACAGACCTCAAGATGCTTTACAATTTGGAACTCCATGAAGCTGAAAGTACATACATCTAGTACTATTTGCACTAACTGATTCCACGGCACATCTGGCTCCGCCACATGATTTAAACAACGGAGGTTAAAGCAAAACATGCATTTTTCAGGGCCCGCACTGCATGTTAAGGCGGGGTTTTGTACAACCTTGTACCTACGCCTACCGCACCACGCAAGAATGGATGGCAAGGCTTTATTTTGCTGACACTGTGTATGCAGTGTTCCTGCACGCGGTAAACATATCGATGGGTATTGCTTGGATCAGGAAAGTGGCAGCTCTAGCAGTTGTTGATCCTACCACCATCTTGGTATCTAGAGCACAGTAGGGTAGTCAAGATACAGCACTGTATTTAGCTAGCAACTTACTCTAAGTGTGGGTTTCCCTTGATAAAACGGGAAATACCAAGGAAACAATGGCCATGTAGGTCATCTTAAATTCCGCTGCGGCCAGTCCCGCTACTGCCATTCCGGCCCACACGTTCTGCTCATCCTGGTGCTGAACGTTTCGTGCCGTTAAAACTAAAACCTACACCGACTGGGTACCTACCGGGCCGAATCATCGACAGGGTCCATGATGTAATGGCCGGGGTAAATGCTAACTAATACACATCTAGATAGAGTGGGGGTCCATGCAACCACCATGTGATTGATTGGGCGCATCAACCTAATCCATCTGCTGCAGTCGTACGTAGACCACTTTAACCAAGGCTGGGCGAGCGAAGGATCAGAGAGGTTTATGAGATCAGTAAGCCACCTGTGCCCCAGCTGAGGACCATGTACCTGTCGTGATCCAGTGGAAGTCAGTAATTCGCCTTGTGTGGTACAGTGGACCGGTCAAATCCTAGGGTGCTAAGACTACGGTACTGTACATGTATCTTGAAGTAATAACGTTATTTGTCGTGGTGGCAATCGACTTCGGCCTGTGCCGTGAAGGCCGGGGGGGATTTAAACTAGGTAATTAACCTACCTGTGCTACTACAAGTAATGAACTATGTAGGTAGTAACTTGATTTACAACTGTCTTTAAGACGTTTACACAAGGCAGCAGCAAGATTCTCGTATGGGATGGGTACGAGACTAGGCAGGGCGCAGTATTTAGGAGGAAAGTTTTCAAGGATCGTACACCTGGTATATTCTCCTTTAGCTATAGGTAATAGTTTGAGGTATAAGGAGGTCCATAGTCAATGTATCTTGGTTTTCGCTTTCAGGCTTTGAAAATATGAATCCGTAGTCTGTCCATAATTGGCCTGCTTGCTCATTTGCGGATTATATATTTGATTTGTGATGCCAAGAACGAGTGATTCTGTAAGATGGCCTCTCGGACAATAGGCTTGTCCTAGTGCTAAAAATAACTGGCTCGTACCAAAATAACGTTACCATGAAGTGCAGTGGTAACGTCGCTCTTCCTTCTGCTACCATGTTGAAGGTGAGTGTTAATAAAGCTAGGCAATGGTTGAAAGCGAATTGATATCTAAATTAAAACAAGGCAATAATGAAAACAGCCTGCAAGCGCCTCTAAAGAGCTAGAAAGGAAAAAAAGAGGAAAACGCGGAAGGAATAGTTTGCTACACCCCGCCCTTTCTCTCCTGACCACTCCATCTTCTAATCAGGATGAAACATCGACTTTTCTGCACACAAACCCCAGAACTCCGCTCCTCAAACCAATTCAATAAAGTAGGCGTGTCATAATTTTGGCTAGTTTTAAGTCAGTATAAGACCTCTAGATGGAAATGGGCAGGGTAGCTTACAAGTTAGACTCTCCAGATTGTCGTAAAGACACTTGATCTCTTCCTCTTTCACGCAGCTAATGTCCGCCATCAGATACGCCACTTCGCCCCTACTATCACTCATCTGTTTATCCACATTATGGTCCTTCAATATTCCATTGACCTGTCTGAGCACACCAGGACGGTTCCAATGAATGAAGATAACCTATTCGAATATTAGTATGACTATGATACCCCCTTATGAGGGAAGTTACTTACTCTCACACTGCCCTCTTCTCCAACCTTCATTCCCCTCAGTGCAACCTCTGGCAAATTGACAGCACCAACAGTGCTTCCACTATTGACAAACCTTACTAAGGCCTCCGCTACCTCATTCCCAATAAACCTCTGAGCTTCCTCTGTGGCTCCTCCTATATGAGGTGTGAGAACGACGTTCGGCAACCCAGAAAGCTCTTCATACCCCTCGAAGGTATTCCCATTTACTCCCGGTTCAGCGGGAAACACATCTAATGCCGCACCATCGAGATGTTTGCTACGGAGAGCAGATATCAGAGACGGGATGTCAAGAACACTTCCGCGAGAAGCGTTGAGAATGTAAGAACCACTCTTCATCTTGGCCAACTGTGCTGCGCCTATCAACCCATTGGTCTCTGGAACCTCGGGAACATGTAGCGTAAGAAAATCGGCTTTAACAAGCAACTCATCGAGTGTTGCAACCTGTTTTGCTTTTCCTAGAGCCATCACTGGAATAGTGTCGTAAAAGATCACCACCATACCCATTGCCTCCGCCAGCACACTCAGCTGGCTACCAATGTGGCCATATCCCACAATACCGAGGGTCTTCCCACGTACTTCCCAGCAATGGGCTGATACTTTATTCCACTGCCCGTTATGGAGTTCAGCATTTCTGTCAAGGAGCTGACGCGCGAGAATGATAATGTTGGCAATTGTGAGCTCAGCGACCGATCTGGAGGAGGAGAATGGGGAGTTGAAAACAGGTATTCCAAGGCGTGCAAGAGGAAGGAGTGAGGCGGTTGGGGTGCCGATACAAAACGTGCCAATTGCCAAAAGATTTGGGAAGTTGGCACGTTTAAGTATAGATAGAGGAAGGGCAGTATGAGAACGGATTCCAAGTACGTGAATATCTCTAGATAGGTATTAGCGCGTTTATATCCCGATTTGAGACTGTTTGTTGTTGCTTCAACACCCAAAAGAGTAGGACAAACTTAAGCTTATCAATCAACTCATCTTCCGTGAGAGCATGATTGTAGAATTCAACTTGATAACCTTCTTTCTCGAGGACCGTACGAGCAGACTCATTTATGTTTTCGAGGAGGAGGATTTTAATGTCCTCTGTAGCGAATGGTTTCAGCTGTTTCTCGATAGGCTGATGATATGGGAAGTAGCTATTGTGTGACAGCTTGGGGAATGAACTATTCGAAGAGTGAAAGGAGAGAGATCTGAAGGTCGTGGCAGGGGATGTAGACACCGAAGTTGGAGGACTACGAGATACAGTGGCCTTGATATCGCGAGCAACGGTGATGGAAGTAGCCATTTCAAAAAACAGATCAAAATCAGAAAAAAAAGGGTTGGTGGGATTAAGCTCTGGTGGTAGGCCGGTGTTCGATGGTTATACAGTACTTGTATCCTCGGAGCATGACGGAGTCGAGAGCTACTTGTAGATATGGGTAAAAGGGGATCTGTGGGGGCTTGATCCCCTCAGAAGAATATGATTCGGAAGTGGCAGCTGTCTATACATGTACCTACATGCCCACTCCAGATAAGATGATAAGCATCATGATATTGCCTTCCGAGTGATGTTCCGTGAATCTTTGTTATCGTGCAGCTTCACAATCGGGCATCACCGGCTGCTGGGTTGGGTGGCTAAGCGAATGAGCGCCACTGCAGGGCGGGTAGCTATCATACGACGCTAACTACGAGCTTCAGGTTCACGTGATCCGTAGACTTTCGGTACCACAAGCAGAGTACTCCACTGATCTAGTACCGCCATAACTCGAAAAATTGGCTAGATCAAAATTACTTGTACGGGAAACTTCTGGTGCAGATCGATGACATTCAACCAATCACTCAAGTGGCAATCCCTGGACGGAGATAGCCAATTTTTCGAGTTTTGGCGGTATTCCCAGTACAACCAGTCACAGCTTGGGGATTTACGCCTAATCTCAGTGCTGGGATTAGGGTTGGAATGCTGCATAAGCACAGATGCACAGAATGAAGAGATGACGCAGGCAACCTGGAGAGGCGAAGAAAAACACGCGCCGGAGTAAAGACCTTGCCTTGAGATTGAGGGACCACAGTAAGCATGTAGGTACGGTAAAGGCCAGAGAAACCAGCTTTCCCTGTCTTGTTTTCTGGATTTCACATGCTTAGAACAAGATATGGTAGCCCTAACTGCTAAAAGCTGTTTCCCCGCTGGGACTGGCTTTCAGTCTGGCAGTGCCCCGAACAGCCATTGTATGTGATGCACTTTACGTACACACATGTATTATATGTTCCTCTGACCATAATCAAGCCCAGTTTACATCATTCGTACCTCTTTGATCGCCCTAGATTTCCCACCCCTTCATGACTTAAACACCTGATTATCTTCCTCTCCAGTCACTTGCTTTTTTCTCCACCCCTCTCTCCTCCTTTCATAAACCCACTGCACACAGAAACCTTTCTTCCATTTTCTTGTTGTAAAAGTACTTTCCCAGTCAACACCGAAGCTTCGTCTACATAGCTATCGATAACCCCACTTGTGGCGACATTTTCACTCCCCCTCACATTACTCACTTGAATTTGGTACCAAACTCGTTTAAAGAATACCAGCTGAAGAACTGAACAAGTAAATAAAACTACCTCAATAAACATGTCTGAACTCCGTCGAAAGGCCCTCGGTAGCGGTAAAACGGTATCTCGAAAAGCTCAGTCTCGCGCTTCATCAGCCGCCTCTTCTCGTGCAAATTCACGCACAACTTCTCGCGCGGGTTCTCGGGCCGCCTCTAGAGCTGGCACCGATGATGAAGGCGGCGACCTAAGTGACGAAACAAATTTCAGGTATGATATGTCTCGACTTCAGTGCAGATTACTTACAATCGCAAAGAAAAAAATCCAAAAAGAATTATCCTAACTCGAAGAAATTCGTTCCCAGTCTCGGATCTGTCGACGAACTTGCCGCCCTCGATGACGACGATGAAACCTCAAAAGGCTGGCAGGAGGAGCTAGGTGACCGAATGATGGAGATTACAGAGAGAAAAAAGAGTAGCTTTGCAGGCAGAGAGGAGGCGTTCGCTGCTTATATCCAGATTCTGTCGGCAAAGTATGCGAAGGAGGAGATTTACTCCAAGAAGGCCGATCTTATCGACTCCATGGCGAGGAGTATCAAGAACGGGCGAACAGAGAAGGAGGGGATTTTGGCTACAAAGGGTCGGTTTCAGTGCCTGCATAAACTACCAAATAATCTAAAAGAATCCGCTAATAAATATTCTTAGCTCTTGCGATTACAATAATCACCGACCCAACCGAAGATCTTTTTCACAAACTTCAAACTACTTTATGCAGACAAATAACAGACAACGCCTCCCTTCCTCTCAAATCTCTCTTGATTCATACTCTTGGCGCAGCAACCTTCTACGGTGGGGCCGCTCTCTCTGAGACTGAAGAAATAATGAATTTCCTCCTTGAGATAATCGAATCTGATGGCCACAATGTTGGCGCTGGGGACGATGAAGGCGTTGTAACTGCGGCGCTTGAGGAATGGGGGAGTTTATGTACCCAACTCGAAGACGCCGAGGCAATTACCAGCTTATCTATTGATACTTTAGTGGACCAACTTGATTCAAGTGAAATATCGGTACAGATTGCCGCCGGCGAGAATATTGCGTTGTTATATGAGAAGAGTTATACTTTGGCCGAAGAGGACGAACTTGACGACCCCAACGAACATAAGAAATTTATCCAGCGATATGTCCCATACCCGCGTCATGACAGCCTCCTCGAGAGCCTGCAAAGATTATCTTCAGGGTCCAAGAAACATCTTTCAAAGAGAAACAAAAAAACACAACACTCTGCCTTTGCGGACATTCTCCATTCCGTTGAGAACCCACTGAAGGGACCACGTTATAGCGAAGCACTCGACAAGAATGACCGTGTCCGTGGATCTCGCATGACAGTGCGAGTACATAGCAAGGGTGTATTGAGGGTAGATCGATGGTGGAAATTGCATAGGCTGCAGTTCTTGAGACGTGTGCTACAGGGTGGCTTCTTAAATCATTGGGTGGAAAATCCAGTTATCTTTGAGAGCTTGAGGTATGATGCTACTGAAACGGTGGTTGTGGTAGGGACAAGGGGGAGACTTTGGATCTCAACCTGGTCTTTTTTATTTGAAGGGAAGCTAATAATTCTGTGGTTTAGTTTATTTGTGGAAGAGTGTTAGTTTGTCTAGCGCATATGTGGAATCCATTCTGGCCTCTAAATTCTGGAACAGTTTTCCGATAGTATCGGTAGATATTAAAAGGTGCGTAAAGTGATAGAGAAGAGATTCATTCGTTTCGAAGGGGCTTTGCTCTTCAAGATAGAGCTTTATTTTCGATATTCGTTCTCTGGTTAGGTTTCCTAGGTTACAATCACTTACTTAACATACGGACCGTTGCTTGTACTTACAGTATTTCTGTTCTTTTTCATATTGGGATGGCGTTGTCTTTCTGCTTCTCTATTGGCTGGTGTGGTAGCATGAGTTCGATGCGCGTACATAAGGCATCGTGAGGAAGGAATTATATGCATTACTAGCATGAAGGGTCATAGTTCTTCTTATGAATCTTATAGAGGCAATTTGGTGGTCTTGAGTGTTCCTCTATGATCCGAAACATTGAGTGAAATATCGTGATCCCACTCTTCCTGACACCATTCTTCTGTTCACTTCCAGTGTTATCAACTGGATATGATCAAAACAATTTATCGGTTCTGATTCAAATAATTTTACTGGCAGAATATGGGAACTCATTGCTGGGAAGCTACTCAAAATGCTGGAGCGACATGCCAAAATTAATATTTGGTGATACCAACGCTCTCTTGCTATTTAGGAAACTGTTTAACTTCTTTTTTCTTTTATAGGGGGTTGTCTGTTTAGGAGATGCCGAATTTAGCTTTTGAGGGTTCTGCTTTCACAACCGTAGCCAAAAATCAGGATTATCATCATAAACTGCTATTCGATAGTTATTCTGAAATAAACATCTGGAGACAGAATAAGTCACCGAGTGATATCCTGTGCAGCTTGGCTACAAACAACACGTGGGCAGGACGTGAAATCAGTAATTTCATCCATTTCTCCCACTTACCATTTCGGTTGTGAAGTTTCCAATTTCCGAGGAGCCCATATAGAGCACAGAGTGTAACGTGCCCTTAGAAGGAAAAACTCAGAAATACACCATAAGACATTGGCTCGTACTCTGTGTGTCCAGGTAGCTATATATAGCTTCTTACAGCGGCGGAGGTGGCCACTCAGAAGTTTGCATTGTTTGACCACCAACGAAAGTAGTATAAACACGTGCTGTACTCCAGGTAATATTTGGACGGTGTAGTCTCGTACCCCAAGTATGCAGGTACTTGAATTGGTGTAATAGATGACTTATTTTTGTCAGCTCTAGCTCTCAGGTGCTAAAGCTTGGGGTTTGTATCGCTATGTTAGGCGGCGGCGGTCGTAGAAGAGTGGTACATTCACATCATCAGTCTCTTGCTAGATGTAATGCTACCCTGCAAACAGCTACTAAAGCTCGAGGCGGGCACGTCGACACCGTAAAGCTCCATTGGATAATTTCGATAGTAAGGCCAACATAAATGCCGCTAGGGAAGAGCATAGTGGCCTCACAGCCCTGAAAGCGGCTGCCGGAGGTGGACACTTCGGTATCACTAAATTCTTGATAAATAACAAGGTCAGAGTGACAGCATTAGAAGCTGTTGAGGTGAGCAGGTACATTGCTGAGCTTGTCAACCTCAGGGATAGAAACACAGCTTGGCGTCTATGACAGGTAAATTTTAAACTTGCCAGTGTGCGCTCAGTCCCGTCGAACTTGGCGCCGGTGCTGAACCTTAAACCAGAGGAAAAAAAACCTGTGGCTAATATTCTGCATAACGCCAATTAACAACACATATATATATACGTTACCATATGGTAGCCCCCTTCCAGATCTATATTTGAAATACAGTAGTTTGTATCTCCTACACTTGTGAATATATCGGATCTTCAGTGATGTACATACTGGTGTAGATGGGCATCAGTATTCTCATTCCAATATTATCTTCTGAATTTACTGTCTAGCACTCTCTTCTCCTCCTCATGATATCCCTATTCCTTATAATTCAATTTCCTTCTACAAAAATTTCCCCGGCCCCCATATGATAACAGTTTCTCCTAAAAAAGAAATTACATCTTCATAAAGTTGGTTTTGTGCACTTCAGACCCCCGCACATACTCCGGATCCGCCCATAGTGACCCCGCTCCATGCACGGATGTGTCTCGATATAAAATCATAGAATTATTCTTATCTCAACATCGAGACGTATCTTCCTCGAGTGATATTAACTACATGTACGAAGGATGTTGGGTAATTTCTATTTATCATCATGAACTATCACTCGATATGTGCATGCAACCGCTCGTCGTTATTGATTGATTGCCACATAATCTGTATCTGTCTTTGTTAAATAAAGGCTATGCGTAGTTGAGCCTTCTTAAACCATACTTTTAGCGCTTTTCCAAAACACAATTATATAAGGCTTTGGCAGTTTCCCTATGCAAGCCTCCCATCAGCCAGCTGGAAATATATATATACGCATGTTCCAAGGCCTCCGTAAATCTGGGGTAGCACTCTCGGTTCCGAGAAAGGGGTTTAGATATGCGGGAGAGAGTTATAGGCCTCTTGTCCACCCAGTAACCAGCATCCCGAGTAGAGCTTTTGCTCATGCCCAACCAGCTCGAGCGCACTCGTGGACCACACTAAAATCTGAGACTAACAAATTGATTGCGTAGTCTGATGAGGCGATCTATACTGATAACGCGCTGCTCGTTGTATCATGATAATCATACACCCTTTACCCATTCTCACAAAAGAGCATGCACCTAATAGAGTTGAAACTATTATATTCTGTGTTTTAAGATTTATATAACCTACATGCATACGCACTGATAAGTGTCGTTACTCAAGCCACAGACCACCGTCATACCTATGCCTATTTCTTCTTCTTCTCGATTGCATCTTCTCTTCCTCCCGTTCCAAACCCAATTTCATCCATTCCCTTCCCAATCTTCGCAACAGCAATCCTGATAAAGACCCACAAAAACCCGAGGACAACAATCACTGCTGTCCAGGTCTTTATAGTCTCACTGTTACCCCACCCCTTGTCTAATACCGGGACTTGAATTCTTCCCCAAGTACCCTCCTTTCCTTCGCCACCCTTTACGCCTACCATACCACTATCTGCACCCACTGGAGCAGGAGTAGGTGAGAGATGATAGTACATAACCTGCTCGGGGAACAAATCCTCCCATCCCAGGTTCGTGCGATCGAATGGGTTATTCCCCATCTTGACCCAGTTGTCACTCTTACATGCCCAGAAAACTGTTGGCCATGCAAAAACTACTTCCGCTGAGGAAGAATTCTCGCGTGGGTTAAGATATCTAAGATGAAGTGGCAGTTCCACCTTTAGTGGGCCTGCGCCCTTACTTTCGGTATCAATCTCGATCAAGACTCGACTTCCCCATTGCTGAGAGCTGTAGTCTGGTTTTTCGAGGTCTGTATTACCACTCACATCACGAACCCGCTTGATGTTAAGAGTATTGAGGAGGTTTGTGTTGGAGGGGCTGAGCTGATAGATATCGACGAAGAGTGCAGAAGGGATGTCAAAGTGGGCATTGAGAGTGCATTCTTCTTGAGGTGGTTGTAGGGAGCCTGGGAGAGAAATGTGGATACGAGGATGAAGACCAGTGGGCTGCGGGATGGTGAGGGTGAAGGTAGAAGGGTGTGTATGATGGCGGGAAGGGAATGAGAATAATGTTGGTTCTAAGAGATAACTTATTAGCTACGATTGGAGAAGGGAAAAAAAAGCTAGAATAGAGCTATAAGCCCAAGGTAACGTACCAAAATCATTACTCTCTCCAATTTCATAAATAAATCCCGCCAACTTCAACTCATCTTCTTCAATACCCTTCTCAACACCCATAACTCCAACCTCTACATCGCCATTTCCTTCAAGCGTCTCACTCCACACTTTTTCTCCTGGGCCCCAGAAGATACTCGCTTCGAATTTCTGCGAAATAGCATCGTATTTCAGATCTATATAATCTGCATCATCAAGCTTCTCCAATCGCGCCATCCAGTGGATACTGTCTTTGTTCAATATCCCATGATGCCACATCAACAGCTTCTGCAAAAATTCCCGAAAAGGTGCAATAGACTCGACAGGCGAGTAGAAGGTTTTGGGCCATTGACCTATTCCGAAAATACCAGCCGCAAGCCTCTCTTTGGGGAAGTGGTGAAGATCGAAAGCAGCGGAAAGGAAAGAGTCATCGAAGATTGAACTATATGCTCTATTTGTCAATATCTGAACAGCAACAGTATGAGGGATAACTTACTCCTTCGACTTCTCTCCTGGAAAAAGTGTGGTGGTATCAATCCACCCAGGCTTAGTCAATATATGTAGTCCTGCCGGGACCCTAGAGCTATATGGCGCGACTGCTTGATAAAATCTTCCTGAGGACCATCGTAAGTGAGCTTCTTTAATATCCTTGAAGAGCTGTTGTATCGGCTTTGGCAGAGAACGGATGTCGAAGGTAAGGCGGTCCTCTCGAGCGCTTTGGGGAAGAGCCTTTATGGTCAGACTGTTTTTCTTGAGCTCGAAGTTGTCGGGGTGAGTGTGGGAAGGGTGGGAAACTATGAAGGTAATGCGTTCTCTCATGGTGGAAATTCGTGGAGATATTGCTGTAAATGTTGTTTAGAGCTGTGAGGCTCTGGAAGAAAGGTGTCGACAACCAGAATGTCACGTTGCACAACAGCGATCAGGGGGGTTTCCAGAATATTAGACGATAGTCCCAGAAGATTTTAAAAATATAAATTGAAACCTATGGCGATAGGCTCGAATATGATATACATATTCAAGCTATTTGGGCACCTCCGTTTATTTACGCTACGTATTTACTCGCCCATTAATTAAGTCCTGAGAATTCTTGGTAGCAACGACCTCACAAAATTTCTCAGGACTTAATTAATGCGCGAGTAAATGTGTCCATAATGTAACCTAGGATATAATCTCGGTTATGAAACTAACGCTAGTAATTATTGTAGCAACTAAACCGGAAAATTAACCCGAGTGAGGAACTGTGAAGCAAGACTACGTAAGCACATTCATAAGGGGCGAACTCTAATCACGATAGAACTTGAGAAAGATGAAGCTACATGTAATTTTACTCACTCATCAATCTGCCTTGGTCATATATCGTAACTATAGGTCTTTGTATATAGTTCTGAAACCCTGTAGAAGTGTTCGGAAGCCGATGATACTACATGTACATGTACATGTATGTAGATGCTAAGTTGTAAAGGCTTCTTGCAAGACATGTAGTGATAATTTGTGAGTAATATATGCTTTCTAGAAGAGGCGTTGAGTCTTTGTTATAGCTAGAAATGAATACACATACATAGTACCTACATACCGTTGTATACATGTAGTCTCTTCGAACAGACTTTAACTTATAATTGCGGGTATGTAGGTATGTATCTCTGTTATGAGATTCAAATGTCAGTGTGTGTGCAGTGTATAAGTCATTATCAGAATGGTTTTTGGCTTTTATATTAAGACCACAAAATTTACCGCAATAACTACAGAGTACTATACAATAATTGTCCCTAAAATCCATCACACTCACTATCCTCCTTCCCTTCCAAATCGTCCTCTAATACCTATTCCACTTCCATCCCTCCTAAACAATCTCCCTAATGTCCTTAAATTCCCCTCCAAACCCTCTTCTCCATCGGTTTCGCCGGGAGTCTGTGTTTGTAACCTGTCGACGCCATCTCTTGCTGCATTCATAATTGCGCTCCCCAACCCGCTTGGATCAAACCTCGGCGGCACGAGCACACCAGCGCCTGGGAGTCCACTACTACCTACACCAGCAATCCCAAGACCACCAATGTTATTACTACCCCCGCCTGGGGCGGAACCAATATTGCCAGATGGCACGACAAGGGCTGTCAGGAAAGGATTTGACTCGACGAGGTTGTCGTGGGTTACCATATGTGCACGAAACAACTCAACAAAGCTAGATTGATCAGGTCTGCGAATTCCTTTAAGGTCAAGTACCTTGCGGAAGTTGGTATCTGAGCGGTCGGATATATGGATGAGATATGCTTGTACGAGACCCTCAGCTGGGCTACTCTGTACCTGAAGGGTTTTAAGAAGTGTATCGATCTTGGTGAGCGTCCTATTTACGAATTTTACGTAACTAACTGGGGGTGTTGTCCCGGCTTCTGCGCGGAGCGTGAGGAGTTCTTCAAATCCTTTTTTGAGAACATAGGCGTCAAGGAGCATTTGTTCAGCGCCTACGCCTCCAATGGGCCTACATCCCACCAAGCTTGCCAAGAACGCAGATGCCATGGCCTCGACGACTTTATCGCAGAAAGCACGCTGATACGCTTCTTTCCCAACCAAACCTAAAATCTCACCGACAGTAGACTTGACAGCCATAATAAGGACACCGACATAGCCGCTCTGATCGCCGGCTGTGTCCAGGCGGCTCCAGGGGGCATTTCGCATCTCGCGCCAGGCGGGTTCCGCTGCAATCTCGACTTTACGAACGAGAAGCCGGATTGCCGCACTCACAACACCAAGAAACGCATCTGACTGGCGTTCAAAGTCGACTTTATCTGCAACATCTGGATCGACGCGAGATTTCACCTTTTCTTGTAGCTGTGAGGTAGTAACATGACAGTAGTCGGCGGTGTTCAATACAACAACTACATCCTCTGCTGCTAGGGACATTGCTTTATCGGGGGAGAAATAGTGAAGGAGAACAACCTCGGCGTACTCATCAAGATATTTTGCGAAGGTTTTCGAGAGGTCAAGAAGTTTGGAACCCGTGGAGAGTTTAGCGCATTGGGCGAGGGTTATGCGATAGAAATGGAAAAGCTCAATGGATGATGGAAGGACAGTGACGTCTTCGTCGGGTGGACGGAGAGGAGCGGCACGATATGAAGGTATCATATTGGATAGTTGCCTAGTTAGGGGTTAGCTAGAGCCCAAGATTGCGGTGGGGCGAGTATACTTGTCTTGTGCATCCACCCAAAGAGAGAGGTAGGGCTCAAAGGCCTCTGATATTGCTTTACCAAATATTAATGGTCTTTCGTCTCGAGAACTCATAGTATCTATGGAGGCTCTCTGTCAAATATCAGTGATTATGTCCTCTATGTTGGATGAGATCACACTCACATCATTGCTAAATCTTCCTTCAAGAAAGTTCTCAAACTCTAGTGTCTCTTGTAAACACTTAAGCAATAAGTTTACGTCTAAAGTCTTTCCACCCTCCCTCCTCATTGCTCTCGTTAAAATTCCCTTGTAATCGTCCTTTGTTCCCTCACAAAATGTCTTTGCCAAAACCTCATTAACCTTCCAACTTAGTGGGAATATTCCGAGATGCTCTTCATCGTAAACCTTCAGAATTCGCTTCAACCATGCATATCTCCTGGCAATATTATCTAATGAGCCAGCCTCATCATTGCCTCTAAAGACCTGGCGGTACTCTCTTAATTGCGTGTTACAGTACCATGTTACCAAACGCCCTCGAGCGCCATCCCCAAGTGCATCCATGACGTTGCAGGCCTCCGCCAACATTCCTTTCCTAATTGCGACCTCCTGCTTCACAAACACCATCTCGAAATCCTCGCAGACCTGCTCCAATAGCTCTGCCTTGAGATCTGCAACATTGCGTGAGAGTGTAGCAATTTGGTCTATTGAGCGAAACGACTTAAAGTGGGCCATAAGTTCGAGAACTGCGGACATAAGGGATGCGCATTCACGGTATTGACGGTTTTTGGATTGAGTTTTGAGCTGTTCATAAGCAGTAGCTAAAGCTCAAGTCAATAAAGTATTTATGACAAAAAAAAAAAAAAAAAAACCACTTTAGAAAACGTACTCAACATCTGCAATCTTTTCAACACCGTCATAGATAATGTCAGATTTTTCTTCGTGGAATCCAGCTTCTTAATATCTGCTGTCATTGCCGCGATCGCATCCTCTGTCCTGACAGCCCTCTCCCGAACCGTATCTATATTCTCTAGTAGCTCTGCGAGCTCCGCCTTTGCCGCAGCGATCTGTGAAAGTGAGTCCGCATTCGTGGTAGATTGTGTTATGACAAGCTGTGAAATCTCCGTATCGAGGGATTTAAGGTGGTTGTGAAGTGCCTGTGAAGTTGCTGGAACACTCTGAAGCGTTGCAGGGTGGGGGAAGAGCGTATTGAGGTGGTGAATGGGATCGTAGTCGCCTACGATAATTGTCAGAAATAGAGTGGTGATAATGGCTGGAGGGGTTGTGGGGAGCTACCTACCAGAGTCCAACGGATCCACCGGCGGCCCTCCCCGCGAGGGCATTCCCCCGGAGCCGTTGATGCCGAACATGTTTAAGTTCTATTTGTTTGGGCAAGATAGTTCAAATGGAAGATGGCTATTGCGAGATGTTGATGGTTGGTAATAGAGTTACGATATGTACATGGAAAAATGAAGTAAACAACTTCCAGGAGCTCAGTCTCCCCTTCTCTTCAGCACACGTGTCTACTTACCTAATTATTGTCAAAGCGTAAGAAGGACAGTAAGAGGGAAATAGCAGAGGAGCTGAATTTTCGAAAGTCCGGCTTATGACAGAGAATCAATGGAATTTTGGATAGCTTCCCAGATTCCCAATCTGAGTTACTAGAAGTGTACCAAGGGCCTGGAAATCAAAGTGAGTGTGGCTTGAACGTCAAGCGCCACTCACTTTGTGGCACCGAGGCCGGGTAATTCCATGGAAGCTGTGCGTTACAAGGGTCCAAATCCTAGTGTCTAGGGCTGATATCTATGCCGTGTCTAGGTGTAAGCAACTCGGTCAACTCTACATGTGCGGAGCACGAAACATATATTCCCTAAACCCGGGATCAAATTCTTGGATAGATCAATGGAATGTTTTACAACCTTTCTGACCTCAGCTTTGCCATCAGAAGCCTCAATTGAAAAGCACAGGCACACATCTATGTATGTTGGTACTCTAGAGCAAATTAGAGTACTCTAACTACATGTACATGTAGGTACATGTATGTACCAGAGTATCTACATGTATGCACCGATACTCTGCTCTACTCGAGGATTGGGCTTGCAACTCTATCACATTCGGCACAAAAAAAAGCCTCTTTCCCCTGCAAGGATATCCTATGCGTGGGTCTCTGACCTTCATATCCCACCAACACCCAACCCGTGGTGGGGTTCCCCGTCCCGCACTGGCTCCTCACTCAATTGACTGACTACAAGCTTCCAAAAACAGATATGCACACCGCAGGGCCCCGCTCCCTCCCATACTTTCTCCAAGAGCCACGAAGCTCTGCGGGGTTTAGTTGTAAACCTTTGGTTTTTCTTGCTTGTAGATTAGCTTATCCGTCTTTAAATAAATACATCTTGCTCTGTCCTCGTTCTTGTTACTCCTTTCCCATCCATCTCTGTTACTACTCCCTGCTACTGCCTCATCAAGTGATACCACACACGAAATACCATCCATTCCTTAAGCCAATCCAGCTGATATACACACATATACATCATTATCTATAATACAATCATGGCAGCCGCAATCAAGTCCGGTCTTGAAAGTGCCCTCAACAAGCTCTCCCTCGGCGGAGATTCTGATATTAGAGCTCCTTCTCCGGAGGCTGTCAAAGAATTGAAGCAAAAGTTTGCAGAAGTCGGCCAAGAGCACGTTTTTGCATTTTTTGATGATTTGACTGTCACTGAGAAGGCTGCCCTTTTCCAGCAGTTGTCAAAGATGGACCCCAAGAGGATTTCTGTAAGTTATCGTCCACCCATTAGCTATAATTATGTTTGAGTTAGTTGTACTATTATTTAAAAACTATTTAATAGCTTTTTGATCACCGTAACCAGGATGCTAATTGTTCATAACATTGATAGATCATTACCAAAGAAGCACTCTCTCCACCTCCACCAGCTGAGACTCCGGTAGTCGAGCCCCTTCCTGAATCCGCAACAGCTTCCATCCTCGATAGCGCCTTATCTGATATCGAGTCATGGAATGAACATGGTCTCGAGCTGATTGGAAACAACAAGGTGGCAGTAGTCCTCATGGCTGGTAAGCTTCTTATACAAATGCCTTATTTTATGTTAAGTATCATTGACGCGTTGATGTAGGTGGCCAGGGGACCCGTCTCGGCTCCAGTGCCCCTAAGGGTTGTTTCGATGTCGGCCTACCCTCAAAGAAATCCCTTTTCCAGCTTCAGGCCGAGCGTATTCTTCGTGTACAAACCCTTGGCGCAAAGAAAGTCGGCAAGGACAAGGCTGTTGTGCCTTGGTACATCATGACATCAGGACCCACTCGTGGCCCTACAGAGAAATTCTTCCAAGAAAACGATTTCTTTGGGCTTGAGAAAGAGAATGTCGTCTTCTTTGAGCAGGGTGTCCTACCCTGCATTTCGAATGAGGGTAAAATCATCCTCGAATCAAAATCAAAGGTTGCTGTCGCTCCTGATGGCAACGGTGGGATCTACCAGGCCCTTATCACTTCATCCGTCCTTACCGACCTTCGTGCAAGGTCTATTGAGCATGTCCACGCATACTGTGTCGACAACAGTCTCGTCAAGGTGTGCGATCCAGTATTCATAGGATTCTCCGCATCAAAAGATGTCGACCTTGCCACTAAGGTGGTCCGCAAACGAAACGCTACCGAGTCTGTGGGTCTCATAATCCTGAAAAACGGAAAGCCCGATGTTGTTGAATATTCCGAAATCGATTCCGAGACTGCAGAAGCTCTCGACGAGAAGAACAAGAGTATCCTCAAATTCCGCGCTGCGAATATTGTCAACCATTACTACTCAACCCGCTTTTTGGAGACTATTCCTGAGTGGGTACATAGTCTGCCTCATCATATCGCAAGGAAGAAGATTCCTTATTGTGACACTACAACTGGAGAGCAGTTTAAGCCTGAAAAGCCAAACGGCATCAAGCTTGAACAGTTCGTATTTGATATCTTTCCAAGGATTCCACTGTCTCGTTTTGCCTGTCTTGAAGTGAAGCGTGAGGATGAATTTTCGCCCCTCAAGAACGCCAGGGGAACTGGAGAGGATGACCCAGACACCAGTAAGAGAGACGTTCTCAGGCAAGGAAAGAAGTGGATGGAAGCTGCCGGGGCGACTGTGACAAGCGAGACAAATGAAGAGGATACTGGCGTTGAGGTTTCTCCTCTGGTGTCATATGTAAGCCTTTTCCGAACGACTTTGTTGATGAATCCTTATACTAATCTGATCGAATAGGCTGGTGAGGGGCTAGAGCGTTTTGCGGGCAAAGAGATCAAGGCCCCAGCAGTTATCGAGAAGGAATAGGTCGATTTGGGCAGCTAGTTCTCAAATGGACTGTATTTAGCGAAATGATACCTACAATGAGTACATGCCTAATTTCCATTTACAAGTCTTAGACTTGAAAAACTATCTTTGGAATGGTAATACTATATGAAAAGCTGTGGCGGAAACTTATTCTCACAACAAGTATGCCATGGAGGTACATATATATCCATCAATCTACATTTAAAAGTACGCCAGCTTTTTTTCTACTCTAATGGAGCTAGCTGCATAAGTAACCAAACCACCCGTTTGGATCTATCGAAAAAGTTCTACGAGTGATATCACATGAACCAATCAACCTCTAATAATAACTCACAGTGCACAACTTTCTAGTAAAGGATATAGAACATTGGTGGGATTTTCAATGCAACAAAATTGATTTCCTAGATAAAACGTTTTTCCCCCAAGCCCAGCCAGCCATCTCCCAGATCCAAAAGCCAAAGAAAATATGATTGAACGCCTATCCACCCACCCGCATTCCCAGTGCCAGCCTCAATGATTTGTGGTAGCGACTGTCTTTTTACCTCTCTCCATGACTTCGGGTTCAACTAATCTGCACTCCTGTTAATCGCCTCGTACCATTTCAAGATCGACGGATCTTAAGTAACATACCATTCCAACAACTAACACCATTTTTCGGCTCCACCACAACTAAACCCTCTCCCACTAGGAGTGACGAACACCGCGCAAGCGCTGCCGCCATCCTAAGGACGCCCTCAGAACCTATGTCTGGAATGACGTCCTCGCTATAAACCGCGAGGTGTCCCCACCATCAATCATCATAGTATTCATCCTCATCATCAGCCTCGGCGAGCTGCTCAAAGTTGACTTTGTATCTAAGGAATGCACCAATCCCACCAAAGCCTTTGACAAATTGATTGCCCTCTCCAGAGCGGTCTGATACGAACTCGAGAGTTGCACCGAAATCCTTGTATTTTTCGGCCAACCACTCAAGGAAGGGGATAGACTCAATGACCTCCATTTCTTGGCCCGATTCTTTGTCCATGAACCTCTCCCGGTCCGCCTCCTGCTGTTTGGTGGTGTTGAGGATAATTTCCTCTCCGGTTGAGGATTTAAGGGTCCAGCGAGTTACATCAAGATTCTCAAAAACAACCAGAGCTACACCGTATTAGAATACAGAATAAAAGCGATATTGTCGAAAGGGAGCATACTCTCAGCAGCACCGAGTTCCATGGCTTTCAAGGTATCTTCAATACCATAACAGACTTTTCCAGTGTCCTGTGAAATCTCCTGGAAGTAATTGCCGATCAATTTCTTTTCCTGGACGAATTTTACGTTACCGAGAGTCTCGGCAGACAGCTCGATAGCTTGATTGAACCCATGCTCACCGCCATAGGACACGTCGACAACTTTGATAATCTTGACCTGAAGACGCTGATCGAACATGTCACTCTGAGCCAGCTCAGTCTTAAAGTCAGCTGAACCAGCCAAGATAAGCCCGGAAACGTTGACCTTGTCCGCAGTAATGAAATTCTGTACTGCCAATTCGGCAACCTTGCGAACATAGTTGTGGCGCTTTTCTTCTCGAAGACGGGCGAAACGCAATGCAGATTGACCACCACGACCGTGCTTCTTGGGCAGGTCAACTGAAAACTTATGAACAACCTCTCTGGTATTGCCACTGAGAGTGCCAAAAAGCGCACCATTACCATCCATGATGATGAACCCAAACTTGTTGTCCGATTCAAGGAGCTCAGAAAGCGCCTCGGTGTGGAATTTGTTATCACACAAGTAGAGTGAAGTGTTGATAGGCTTGAAAGGCTCGAAATCAATGTTAATCTTACGCTCCTTGCCTTCGCTGGTAATGATTTCACCACAATAGACAACGAGACCATTGGGTGGAACACGAGGATAGAGCTTAAGACGTTGCTGAGTAGAGGTAATCGCAGATAGAACAGAGAGACGATTGACACGCGATTTAATATTGGATGCAGTACCCTTCCATATTGTCAATATATTTCATGCGTCATACGACGACTCCGGTATAATAGAAGAGAGCACTAACGAATTCTTCAGCCAACATCTTTGCTGCTCGCGAGATTTGGTCTTTGGGTGGGATGATCAGCGAGATCATGCTAGTCCCGTTGCCCCGCGCCTCGGTGAGACGCTTAATGAGCTTCTTGACCTATTTACACAAGACGTAAAAAAAAAAAAAGCTTGTCAGCCTCCACGCGCCTCCAAAAATTCACCAAACTCAGCAGCCTATATAACAAGACTACATAGGCTTAGAATCAATATAAGGGAGAAATCCCACCTTCCATATCTCGATATTTTTTTCCACCTCATTTGGCTGTGCTTGCGACATCTTTGCTGCTTTGTATTCTCAACAAATCTGCTCCACCCAAAATGCTGTCAAAAAGACCGTTTTACGAAAAAAAGAAAAAAAAAAAAAGGAAAGGAAAGAAGGGAAGGAAGTGAAATATGCAATGTGGTCTTAACTAACCAGCAGAGATCAAAATATTGTGATGTGGTGAGTGAGATGGAGGAGAAAGAGAGGGGAATGGTAGGAAGCGAGGAGGAAAGGAGACTCTGGCTGCCCGGTCCAAGAATGATGTAAATTTAGGTAACTTGGACTCGTGGTTGGGTAAGTAATCAAGTGTGGTTGACGAAGGGCCTTTAATTTTTTCCCCTTCTATTCGCAGGCCAACCTGTAGCGGGGAACGGCGGGAATTTTCTCTACAAAGATGTATGCAGGACAGGGGTTCTTATTTTTCAACAGTGACGGTGCCAACGGAGGGGTAAACGGGAAGGGAGGGATACATTTTTATGTGAGGTAAACGGTCGATCCTCTCAGGGAACTAAGAACAGGAACTCTTTCCGTGAATGAGTCAGTGAAGGAGGCTCTGTGAGACCCCTCCCCCGCACACAAACTCCGCAGAGAACAATAAATATCATCAAAGAGCAACACATAGAGCCATTGCCCCCTTAGACATTACATAGGCACGTGTGTCCAGAGTCCGTAAGGTCACGAATGGATATAATATGTATGAAAAGCACAATCAAAACCCAAAATGCACTTCGCACAGGTTGTTGCAAGGCTCAGACTTATGTATTCTGTCAGTGAAAGCCAACCATTGCCTAGTCCACTCTACTCCACTTTTGTAATAAATCAGTTACTCTGTCCGGAGACGGTACTTGAGCTCTTCAACATCTTCCAGATACAAGCAGCGAACGGTCAAGATGGCATCAAAAGCTGACCCGTTGCCTTCAGTGGCATATCTAGGCCCACGAACATCATACTCTCATCAGGTATGCCTAACCAACCATCCTCATATATCACAAACCCTAATAAAACTCGTAGGCAGCGATTGAATGTTTTGACCCAAACACCCACGTCTTTGAGCCCAAGACCACAATCGAAGGTACCCAACTATACCACCCAAGCCACCATACAGCTCTAACTACTCGTAGACATATTCGTCGCCGTCGAGGACCGCACCGTCACCTATGGCGTGGTTCCCTTCGAGAACTCTACCAATGGCTCCGTAGTCTTTACACTCGACCTCTTCTGCGACCGCTCCGCGCAATACCGTTCTACGCGCGTATGTGGAGAGGCTTATCTGGATGTACACCACTGCCTTCTCTCCCCTGCCAAGGACCTCAAGTCAATAACGAAGATTTACTCGCATCCTCAGGCATTCGGCCAATGTGAGACTTGGCTGAACGCAAACCTGAAAGGTGTAGAGAGAGTGGACGTTTCTTCCACCTCAAAAGCCGCTCAGATCGCCGCAGACTTTGAGGACGCTGGTGCGATAGCTAGTAAGATTGCTAGTGATGTCAAGGGGCTCAAGATACTTGCCGAGAATATCGAGGATTCCCACGATAATACTACACGCTTCTTTGTGTTGTCGGCCATTAAGCGATCTGGTGTGAGCACAGGTGAATGGACGGTGGAGGAGGGGGGCGGGAAAAAGAAAGATAAATCCCTATTATCATTCACGATCGACCATAAGTTGCCAGGCGCACTTTGCGATTCCTTGAGGGTTTTCAAGGATTTCAATCTTAATCTCACCTCCATTGTGAGTAGGCCCACTCGAGTAATCAAGTGGAATTATATCTTCTTTGTTGAGTTTGAAGGACATGCCGAGACCGATAATGCCAAGCAGGCATTGGAGGAACTGAAGAAGTACTGCGTAGACTTGAGGGTTTTGGGTAGTTACGTAGACAAGCAAGGCAGGAAGGGGTCGAGGTATAAGGAGAGTTGAGACAAATAGAAGTACGTCTTTATAAAATATGGATCTTTGCAAAGCTGAAACCAGCGCAAGCCTTGGTTCGCATAATCACTTTGACTGAAACTGAACATCACTATGTTCATTCCGTGATAAAATCTGAATTCTCGCCGATAAATATAAAAAGAGGTAAAAGGTGATGCAGAACGCCCATTGGTAAAACAGATACATTACAAAGAAACGCGCCCATTACACGAAATCTCAGTTTCAGTGGTAACAGACTAAACCTGACTGTAACCCCCGAGTCATTCTCTAGGCTCTGTTGGGTGAATAGCAATAGACTGCACAGTGGTATTTCCCCCATTTGTTCTCCTGCTCCGGAATTTTCCATGCTATAGTTTCTGTAGAAAGAGGGGGGGTTGGTTTCCCTTAATTGACGAAAAGTAGTTGTTTATTTTCCGTACTTCTGGAACTCCCAGTCTCGGTTGTCAAGTGGGCAGACCTGACGTGTCTTCAACCAACGAGATATGCAGTGGAAGTGGAAAGCGTGCTGTTGGAAATAGATTAGCCCTGGAACTTATATGTACTCTGGGTATAACACAAAGTGCGACATACATTGCAGATGCCCCAAGCAACGGTGCACTCCTCGCTGACAGCGCTGGCTTGATTAGCTTGACACTCGATGCCTATGTCGAGTTAGCGAATAATTCTAAGGTGCGCTGGGAGATGGACGGCATACAAAGGTCCATAATATGGTTGCGACAGATGGCACAGTTCTCAACGACGATATCCCATGACCATAGGGCAACGGCATTCCACTGTTTCGTTCATCAGCATCTCTTGACGTTGTAGATCGCTTTAGAAATCATTGATGGAGATCTACTTTCTTAACCTCGAATCGGGGCTTTCCAGAATCACCGGAGGGTCCACTCTTGGAGACAGCTTTTCCCTCCTTTGCGGTGGCAGCAGCAGCAGCATCCTTCATGTCAACGTCGGCCATCGTGACTAGTTGCTTCTCAGATAATTGCCTGATAGGATGAGGAAGGTAAGGGGATGATATTGTGTGGTTATGGGGATACTAGCGATGTGTACCTTGTTGGAGGATGGGCAGTGTAGTGGTGGTGGGCAGTGGTGGTGGAGGGTTGATAGCTATGGATAATGACCTATGTGATTTGGTTGCTCCTCCTTTGGTGGGGCCTAGTGGTAACATGTTCTAATAGTAGGCACATGTATTTAGGCAGCAATGATCAGACAATCAGATAGGCAGATTAGATAAGTGCGACTATCAGCAAGCTCCAGGTCGTGTCTCCTGCCCATCCCACTAATTGATTTTTTATCACATAACCTAAATTCCACTCTCCGATCACAATGGATGGACATCCTCCTAAATACCGGTCAACAAAGCCTGTCCCCTATAATCTTAATGAACGCATTCGTGGCGCCCTCGAAGAATCCTTATGTTTGCCTTCTCCTCCACCACCTTCCTCTGCTATAACTGACAAATCTCAGATGCCCAGGCGATTGAATGTCTCGGGGGTGTCATAAGCCCTGGCGTATCCACTCCCTCGCCCTCCGCAGCTCTCATCCCTCCTCACACTCACATTCGGCTCATAACAACCCTCGTTTCCCATCCATACCTCACCAGTCAGCTACCCAAGAATGAACCCACTCCCACAGCACCTATCGATGCCTTTCTTCTGCTCCGTCGGGTGCTGAAGCTGATCGGACCTCTCAATTCCGACTTTGCGGCTGCATGGGTGTTTGAAGATACCAGAGTCCGTGGACGAAGGACTAAAAAGGAAAGGGATAGAGATAACTCGCCGGCCGCCAATACTACTACTGATGATCATCTTGCCGGTGAACTTGCTGAAGGCGAATCACTATTCGCAGTGGCAGAGGATGTGTGGGCGATCGTTGGGTGGGGATTCACATGTTCAGTCCTACATCCTACACGGTGGAAATGGTGGAAACTGCAATTAGAGATCTTGCTGGATGTATTGGAAGAGGACTGGGAAGATAGACAAACAACGTGTGCGCAAACAAGTACCTCTGGTGCGTTGAAGAACGCACTGGTTGTCAAAATGCTCCCAGATACCAAAGGGAGTGCGGGTTATAAAAAAGTAATCCGCGCAATTCTTGCCAACGGAACTGGGTCAAACTTAGATCGGTGCAATCCGATTTATAAGGATGAGCTTTCTACAAAACGTCCGAAGAAGAACAATATGGGAAGCCTCAATAGTTCCTTTATCGGCGATGATCAAAACGAACCCGAAACTATTCCAGCAACATCTAAATCTCCATCGGAGGATATTGAAATGGGCGATGGTCCTTCAGATATAGAGGATGATGATACTGGCGTGGCGTGTGAATGGGGTGGAATGGAAGCCCTCATTTTACGACAACGATTTCTATCACTACTCTCATCTGTATCTTATCACCGCTGTTACATCGACATTGATGATCTCTATCGCGAGTATAAAGATATCATATTACGTTTTCCGCCGTCGAGCTTTATGCTTTTTACGTCAACATTCATTTCTGCAGAACCCAGTTATCGGGCAGCATTGAATCAGCTCATTCTCGATACTATCATCTCATCGAAGGCTCCTATGCCCAAGAGGAATGAAACAGATGATTTGACTATTGAAAAGCTCATGAATCGATATCTTCCTTGGCCTGCCAATACGACCTCTGTCAGCGATAATGCTAAAGTTGCGATGCTACTTGAGAGTATGATACGATTACTCGTAACAGAGGCAGAATTGGTCTGGAGCACAGAGCTTGAGCTAGCAGTTGAAAAGGGAATCGAGGAGAGAAGGAGAAAGGCTACAGGCGATCGAAGGATAAACAAGGAGAAGGAGAAAGAGGCGCGACTTGCGCTTGAAGATGCGGAGGGGAGGCTGAGAGCAATGATTGCATTTTTGAAGAAGAGAGCTGATACATAAATCCTATTCCCATAAGTACTTGTATTTTATTTATGTTTTTTTTGGGGGGGGGGAGTTTTTTTGCTGTTACCATAAGTACGATAGTTTCTGGGAATTTTATTTTTATTCACTAACCGTCGTTATAAGTTAATTATTTATCACGATATACCGCTCTCAGGGTTGCCACTGGTACACTAAGAATAGTTAATTACCACAATGATTGTTTGGTTCGATATTGGTACTCATGCTGTATGCACTCCAGTGCTGTTGAGAAATACGCAGTACGATCACTGCATGCTCTCAATCCCGGCAAGGAGACGCCCCGCATATGTATGGAGATATTTATTATAGGTGTTGATAGCATTTTGGCCAATCCAAAGATAATAATTATTACTTCAGTAGTGATCATCGATCGTTGGCAAGGGTCCAGGAGGCTCATTTATAGGGTTAGGGGTTCCTATAAGTAACATCGCCTAGCAACGTGCGATAAACTCCTAAGCTCAGCTCAGCTCTCTTAACTATAAGACGCCATGGCAGACACACCGGAAGATCCTGGAGTTATACGATGGGTTATTGGCTTCATCATGGTCGGAATGGCCTGGTATGTGCTCTCACCTTCCCTATTTTTATCAAAATAAGCCAGCCAGGACGGTCAAAGCTAACAATATGGACATAGGGGTTTTACCAACCCGTGAGTTGTTATCCAATTGTAATTACGATGACTGGACATAACGAGAGCTGATTATAGTCGCGAGGTGAAGATTCATCCGCAAGGCAGCAGTAAACTATAGTCCGCCTAAAAGGGATGTTCTGGAGGATCCAAATACCGGGATGGTCAAGAAATTTATCTTGAAGTTAGTTATTTAGCATATTCTATTTCTGTCCTGGGGTTTCTTATTAGTCTGTTGGTTTCTGTTCCGGGTGCTGACAGACGTGTACGTGGGCACTATAGGGCTGCATTTGCGGCTTTCGATATGTTGAAGAGGCCGAGTTATGCAATCCCGCTACGTACGTTACAGCTTATAACTTATCCATCCCCCGGCCGTGTGTTGTTTTTTAATGCATAACTCCGTATACAGTTATAAATCTCACTGGCTCCGTATGGTTTTTCCTGTTGATCGGGAAAGCTGGTATATAATTTCCTGCCCCCCCCCCTCTTTTTGGCAGCGCGCATCGATTACTTGTTTACTAACTGTAGTATAGAACTATCTCTTACTGTTCCCATCGTGAATTCGCTTGCGTTCTTATTTACTGTTTTGGGGGAGTGGTTTGCCGAGCGAAAGGTCATTAGCAAAGGTTTGTTGACCCTATAATCATGCTTCTCCCTCTTTCCTTTTTTTGCAGTGGCCTGTATCCTGACTGGTATGATATGAGCAGAGACGTGGATTGGAATGGCACTTGTTTTGGCTGGGATCGGACTTTGCGTGCATAGTAAGACTTAAGTATAGAGAAGGGCTTGTGGTTTTTAGCCATCGACTGGATTATATATATATCAAAATACATTGACATTGGGGTTGCTCGGTTTTAAGGATATAGTACTGTATATCGCACTTCATGGGTAACCTCAAGTTATCTACATAGAGCTAATTATGCTTAGCTTCAAATTAAGAAGAAGAAGAAAACGCTCTTGTACAAGCTGAGTTTTAAGCATTCTATTGACATATGTCCTCAGAAACAAATATCACCCTTGCTGCATTAAAATATCTTTTTATGAGTTTGTAGATTTAGCCCATCACTATGTCATGTAGTTAAGGCCCAAGTACAACCGGAACGAGTATCCAAGGGGCTCTATATTATATATTCATCAATTTGTTAGGTTGCGTTCGGGGTTCCGCCAATATCTTTATTTCGCCTTTAAACCTCATATGATGTCGTTGTAGCTACGGCTAATATCATGATCGTATGTATATCTTCGACCGGCCCTAAATTATAAAGGAAGATACGGGTACGTACATACCGAAACAACACGCAATAAATGAAATATCAATCAATCATCAATCACACATAGCTTTGAAACATTACCATACTAGTATTAAAATACACATATCTCAGCACCACAATATACCAAATTAACCCTTGGCTTATGATAGGGTAATTGCATGTATCTTTAATAACCCGGCCGCTAGATCATCGATCTCCATCTTTCCTACATGCACTAGTACATGTAGTTGAAGAAATCAAAATCGCAGATACGTTTGTTAACGACTACTAAATAAGCCGAGAGAGTCATGAACTACATGTAGTAGAATATGAGGCCTTTTAACTATCGTACTGTAATATAACCATTGCTTGGCGGCGACCTAATCAATCAACCAACCATTGCTTAATCATTTTATTAGATTTGCGGTCATAGATTATCACTCGGAGATCGGAATGTGTCGTTCATAGCATACTTCTCCTTTCCAAAATAGATGAGGAGTTTAATGCAAAGATTATTATTCTTATTTTATACCTGCATGTTTCCCCAAGTTTAGTGATAGTCTATTATCAGAGCCCAACTAACCAGGATTCATGAATGTCTTTATTGCCCGCAAACTTGCTTATATCTAGTCAATTATTAGCTGGGATGGCCATGGGGCAAAGAGATATTCGTGTAACATTTGTATGTAACCCCCTTGCTGGATCGATTGAGCTGTAACTTGGACTAAAGGGTACATTTGGCGACCGTTGGTTACTATACGAGATGTGTGATGTCCAAAATGTATGAGGATGTATACATAAATGATGTTGCGTGAGTAGCATATGTGATCGTGGAAATAAAGTCGTGCTGATGAATGAATTTTTGAGGGTCGTTTGATGTTGATGAGAAGAACAGGCGGTACCCGGGTTTGTTCTTTGAGAGACACTGGTGTCATCATGTGGAGTGTTGTATTTTGCGAGTCTCATCATATATCCATTGTCAGATGCTTCGTTTCCGAGTGACTTGTTATGATGAGCATAGTACCATAAGAAGCCACTAGCACTTTTTCTCTTGCTTTATCGCCACCCCCACCGTAAACAGCTGCACCCCAGATCACGCGATATCACTCGACTACCGCTGCAGCATGACGCCACGCACCTAGCCTAACATCAATCCCATTCGTCTGCTAATCCAGTTGCATCCCATAAATCCCCTTACCAAGAAAATTGGTGTAAATGCATATTTGTGGTAGTCCACCCCGGAAGAGAATACGCCCGTTTTTCCCGGCAGGAATCTTCCATGAGCTGATAAGGCAGATGGAAAAGATAGCCTGAGAAATATATCGATTTTCTTTTCATTTGACCAATAAAAAATGCAGGTTCGTAAAATACTTCACCAAACCCTGTATTCAAGACTTGACTGACTGACTAGTACGACTGACATTCACTAGAATCATCCAGTCTTTGGGATCCGCGGAAGCGGATCTTTGAGATGATATGCGAAGCAATGCCGTAGGACCCGAAGTTGAGCCTAATGAATAATTAGACATCGTAAGTGAATTTTTGTTTCGAATCATTGCACATAGGAACAACGGCGCCATCAGTAGCAGATAACCCGTCCGATCTTCGGAATGCGACAGTGGTGATTGGTTACATGTACCCTATCTGCAGGGAGAGAAGCAGCATGCCGAAAATATCGAATGAAGACGCAAAGGCATATATATCTCCTATCCAGAGACTAATGTTTAGTGGAGTACGAGTACATAGAGCACACAAGCAAAGAACAAAGGTGGTGACGATGTCGACGATGGATGCCCAGGACCTTAGCGAAGTCCTCAAAGCTCAGATAGCGTCAGATGGTGAAACATGCTTCAGTTTGACATCGGAATTTCGGTAGGTGCCGTTCCCGGTTTCGCGGGGGGATGTAGCGAAGAAAGTTCTTGGGTTGAAAATTGAAATGCTTGATAGAGCCGCATGTAAGGAAAGGGAAAGGCGTGGAATGAGCCGCGTTCGACTTTATTCGTGTGTTGACCACCCGCCATTCATAGCTCTAGCCTCTAGGGAACTACAGATTGTGGTAGAATTAATGCGAAAGTGGGTTTTCCGTGACCCGATAGTCCCATTGGCCCTCAAAGGAATTTTTGCAGTGAGCACGGGCCAAGAAACCCACCCTTTTAGTTCTGACTTTCGCAATAATTCTACCGGACACTGTACATCCAAAGATGTATCGTATTTTCTGCCTCGAAGCGGATGTGATGTCTGGATGTGGAAGTGGGGGAGAGGAAAGGACCCCGGTAGGCACATCTCTACATGTAGGTACTGTAGAGTAGAGTACCTACATGTACCTACATCCTACGGTTCTCTACCTAAATCATTTACATGTACCTACTCTATGAGTGTAGAGTAGTTACATGTATGCATCTTTTCCACATAGCTACATGTACTTCTCAACACCTGTATGTATTGTTAATTGATGCTAAAAGGCCGGTCAGATATCAATTTCATACAGGAGTAAGTTTTTCGGGATTTCAGCTTTCTTTTTTGCCGGCAAATTTATTAGGGAGGGGATGACGATGGTGGTGGGTTGAAAATCAATTATTAAGGGGCACCGCTGTTGGATAGAAATGACAAGAAAAAAACCGACTATGGCGCGAGAAGGCATAGGGGGTGGGTGTGTCAACTTCAGAGAACCTTTTTTGTATGGGAATTAGAGAAAATTCCACCGTTAGGCTAGGCGCTAGTACCATTGTGTGAGTAGATCTCCCAATTTCTATAGATTGATTGGCTGCAAACGCCGAAGTTTACACACCTACCCACCATAGCTTCTCGAGCCATAGACGATTGGAAGTAATGGGGTCAAGGACTATCGGATGTATGACATAGCTAATATCTAGGCGCTGCCGCATGGTGTGTTGATAAAAGAGTACCTGGTTGTGTTTCAATATTTGAATCTCGCGTGAACCCTCATTGCCATAGAAACGGTCAGGGATAATAAGGCTCGGCGTACGTGCTACCACTGAGCACTCGACATCATGATCAGAGATAAAATTCTGATGCAGACGGAGACAACTCATCCCTCCACCAAGAATTTTCTCTGCTTTCCTTTCCTTTCTTTTTTCTGCTAAGGGAAACCCCAAGAGCATGTACCGTACCTACATAGACCTTTTTGGTGGTCTCCGAAAAAATTACATGCAGCGCGCGCGGGAGCGGTTGCTTAGAGTACTTACGCCTAAGGAACTTCCTGCATACATGTAGTATCATCGTGTATCTACACTGCTCTACTCTACTCGTAGAGTATCATCGTGGAGATAGCTCAAGGCACAAGTACATGTAGGTACTCGTACCTACTCTAAAGTAGAGTGTTAATATTGAGGGGGCTTATGCGCGTCGTATCGATGAGATAGATCTCTTTCCAAACCTAGACCACTCAAGTGTCAGAAGTGTGGCTTGCAATTAATATTCCCTCGTTCGGAAATACGTGATACCCCGTTGAGACCAAGATCAGCTCTAGACAGAGCAACAAGAGTAGAGTATGCAAGGAAGCTCCAATCGTGAGGTACTTACCGCAGTCGGTCTCAGCCGCGGACAAAAGGTAAAAAGGGCAGGCACACATAACAAACGGGGGGCTAGGAAAAGTCGACCCAGGAATTGCGCTTGCTTGCACAGGCAAAGCACCGCCGCCACCATATTATTTGTGTCACTGAGATTTGTTTACACCCACCCAGCCGCCATTTATCGCTCTGCCTCTGAGAAGAAGCGAAAGTAGGCTGTTGTTGGTTGGATGTGTTTTTTTTGTTGTTGTTGCTGCTCGAATTCTGGTTCGTCTGCTCAGGCTGTGTGATCAGTTTATCCATCATCGAGAGACAGGAGCCTACAGAATCCCCCTTGGGTCTTCTACCTAATTTTTATACCTTAGGCGCCTGTAGGTACTTACTGCACTGCAACTGCTGCACTGCTATTCTCAGCCTGCTGTGTCGCCATTCGAGTTTTCTTCTCGCATCCTCTTGCGCATTTGGACAGAGATAGAGAGACAAACACAAACAGAGTGACATACTAGGCTAGTAGCTCTTTAATCAGCTAAAGCAGCCAGACTACCCAACCAAGCAGTAGCAGGCAGCAAAACCTCCCGTAAACAATAATCACCGTCCACAACTAGAATACAACCACTCGGATCGAAAGCGTCGCGGAAGAGGAGTAGGAAGAAAAACAGCTCCCACCCCCATTCACTCCCCGCCGCTCGCCTCGGTTGCCCGCCTCCAACCAACTGGAGTACCATCACCTGCCAGGCCCTCCCGTCGCTCATTCCAGCGTCTCATCCGCTACTCTTCCTTCCTTATCCTCCCACACCCAACCCCCAACCCCCCAACCCCCTCCATCATCATCATCATCATCATCACCATTACTACCTCCCTCTCCACTGTCAGCAATCAACATCACAACTAAACAATACATTCATTGGAATAGCTTTCGCCTCTATCATCTCTCTCGCTATTCTTGCTCCTCAGACGGAGCTCTACCCTGTAACCAAGTTATTTTCTTCTTCCTCCGTTGGCATTATTGGTGTATCCGCCTGCCTTGCGGCTGGTTGATTCACAGCGACAGTTTCAGCAACGTGGGTATCAATAAAAAGGTACCCGATAATTCAATTCTCCACGAAATCCCTATTAGACTGTTTCTAATTTGTCTCTTCTTTTTTTGGCGCCTAGACCGCACGCGGTCATAGTTGGTAAACTCAACAAAAATGGGAGGGAATAATGCACAGGAGCAGTCCGTACTCAGCTCTCAGGGGAGCTACACTGCAACCGACCTGTCACGCAGGACAGATCACACCAGCTTCTCTATTCCCGAAGACGGTCGTCCAATTACTATTCAAACGAACCGAAGAAGAAAAAAGGATGCTGATGCAAGCACCACGTTGAGCGGAACCAACACTTCGCTGCTGATAGAGTATTTCGAAAATGGCAAGCCGAATGGCGGATCCCCCAACCGTCGTCCGAGCGTTCGGGTCAAAGTAACCCCATCGGCTCAAAGGCGCCACCAAGTTAAATCTTCTTCTGACGGGAATGGTCTACATATCTCGGACGCTGGCACCAGTCCTCGAAGACCATCCCATACCCAAAGAATATCGCTGTCGCCGCACATAGGAGAGGACAGATTAGTTATGGGTGATAACCGGTCAACTTCTGGAGACCATTCATCGATCACATCGTATAATTCTGCCGATCAACCATACGTTAGCATCACTCGAGAAGCAGCTAGCCCTGAATCTGTCAATAGCTCTCCTAGGGACAAAAGTGAATCTTACAATCGTCGTGCCGCTCGACGGAATAGGTCTGCGTCAAGGAGCAAACAACCCGAAGGCTACTTTGAGAAGGATTCAATCAAGTCGCAGAAAGGAGTAAGGAGTAGGAGTATGAGTAGGGAGTACGATATCCAGGAAGAAGCTGGGCTTAAAGCACCGAAATTAGGCCGCAGAAGGAGCAGAAGCCTTAGTCGGGAACGCATATCGAATCGGGAATCAATAGCTCTAAGCCAACACGAGAAGCAATCAATCGAGCAGAGTGTGATGGAAGGATTTGAAAAGTTGGGCAAAGGACGTAATGCTAAATCACGAAAAGGATCGCAAAGCCGGGGTGGGAGCACCATGGCTGGTGACTACCTAACGGCGCCTCGTGCGAGAAGCCGTAGCCGGAGTCGTGATCGAGAAGTTGATGACATCACAGCTGAGAAAAATCGACAACGCCGTAAAGCGTCTCAAATGGAGGAGTCCCAATTGCAAAGAACCGCTTCAATCAATAACCCGGCGCTTCTTGATCTTGTAGAAGATGCCATAAAACGACTCATCCTCCCACAACTCAATGAAATCAAGACCAATAATAATCAAACGAAGCTTTCAAAGTTCGACCCAACGGTTGCATCGGCCCTGCTTGAACGCCAGGGTAGTAAGAGGCTCGACAAGAGTTTAAGCATGCCTAACGTTGCACAGCCGATGGTAGTTCTAACTCCAGACATGGAAAAAGGAAATGGCCAGGGTATGGTAATCGCTGGCGGTGCTGATTCTCAAGTTTCAGAGAACAACCGAGAGGTAGTTTCACAAGTCATGGCGGAATTAAATGATGCGATTGACAACGGGTTCGCTGACGCTACACCTGAGAAGTCCGAAATGTCGTATCCTAAAGCGCCAGGCCTTGGACTTGGCCCTCCTCAATCCCCGATCCTGTCCGAGGCCGGAGAGGGAGTATCGCTTGTGGGTGCGATTCCTAACGGCGAGAGACTTGAGATGCCAGATGGACCAAATAGGCTAGATACTCCCGAGACATACGCGGAAACCAGGGCATCTATTCTATCAGCAAGATCAGGCCTCCCATATCCAAAAGAGAACGGGATGACTACTGGGCATACACCTCCGCCACCAGATTCAGAGTTTCCGGTGTTTAGTGAGCTGAATTTACCGCACCGAGCATCGAGAAGCAACCTATCGGAGCGCGATGGCACTGATAGTAAATCATTAGCTAACAAGCGTTCACATCTCAATATTAATAGCAACGGTTATGATAACGATGGTGTGAGTTCAGTTTCTTCCGGACGTAGCATCGGAGAAGGCGAGCGAGCGCTATCGATTGCCTCTCTCAGTTCAACACAGAGCACCAAGTTGGCGAAGCAGCGAAGGGGCCAGTACAAAGGCAAAGGAAAAGAGAACGCGGACATGTCAAATATTCACGAAAACGAGTACTGGAACGGAGATGTTTCCAAGAGGAATGGTGCAGTAGACGCATACTTTGCAAAAGTACGGGAGGAAGCGCAGGAGAATGCGCTCATGGATGCTAGAATTCAGGGTACATCTATTGAAGCAAGACACTTGAATACAGAAACCCAGCATAACTTCGACCCCGCAGACATGGAGAAAGACGGCCAGCGAGTTTTCATGTTGGGGGGCAATCCCTCGATGAGATCCACACCGGTTGTCCCACATTCTCACCAAGCGTCTGTACTCGATGCCCCATCCAACCATGGCATGTCCGACGTGTCTTATAGAACAGGCTCTGCCCCTGCACTGGGTCCAAGTGCTCTACCTAGGGCTGGTGATAATGTGCCAGAGACTCATATGAATCTGGGAGAGGACGACGAAGAGATCAATACCAATCCCTCTATAATCCAAGGACCCATTGGTCATGGTCCAGATGATTGGCAATTCAACCCTGCCAATGATCATCAATACAATGATGAAGAATCCAACGGAATGCCGCCATCTCTCCGGTCACTGTCACCAGCGATTCAGACAAAAGATGAAGGTTATATTTCTGCTGCTAATCCTGGTATGCAATCACCAGGTCCTATGACGCCTATTCAGCAAATGGGGAGCCCATCTATGGGCATGGGAGCTATCCGTGGTATTGGTCTTGAAGATGATGATTACTATGGTGGACACAGAAGAATGGGTAGTGGCAATTCCCATGGCATGCCATCACCATTATATGACAGTGCAACTGGAAGAGGGGTTGATAGGATTCAGTCAAAAGATATTGTTGCACTAATGGATCACGTATGGGCTTTCTACCTACCTTGCAGGTTTGCATACTGACAATTTCTAGCTTACTGTCCGTGATGCTCAGCGTAATGCTCGAGACACCGAGATTCTAGTTACGTTGGTACGGAGTGCTGCGGAAATGAGGAACTCATTCGAGGATATGAAGAAGCAACTTGAGAGTCAGCAAAGGACTATTGTTGACGAAGTAGGAATAAATACCGAGAGAAGCGTGCAGAAGGTTATACAGGGCCCCCGACCATTGCCACCTTCGGCGCCTCGTGTCCCTAGATATAGACCTGAGGAAGAGGACGATGAGGGTCCGGCGAAGAAACGCAATGTTTTTAGAAGAGCGCTCAAGGGACTGAGTATGAAGAGCTCTAACGATCTTCAAAGAATAGAAGAGATGTGGGTTATCTTGAGATATATTTTCTTTTGCGAAGGCACTAACATTAAGGGAACAGGCTTTGCACCTTGTTGACTGAGGTCGAGGGTTTGAAGGGTGGCCAAGAGTTTTATCAGCAAAGTTTGGGACAGAGTCAAAGTTTGGGTACATTTGATGCTTTCAAGAGCCCCGGTAATACAGAAACTGCAGGAACTGAGACTGGTGGGCCCGCGAATTCTTCAGGTGCAAATTCGGGCTATTACAGCGGCGTTCCTAGCCAGCCCAGCGCCAGCAACAGGATTTATCAAGATGAGCGACCGCGGCAGTCAAATCGAATCACGCCTATTGAAGAAGACGCTGTGCTTCGAACTCCGCCACGTGAGGCCCCGCAAGAAGTCCCCCGTGAGGTTAGAGGTGGCTCGTTACCTCTTAATACGCCTCCCGAGACAAGGGCGCCTCCGGCTGTTTTCAGTAACGATAATACCCCAACAAAGTCGGCGGAAAAAAGTAAGCGTGAATCTGGTACTTCCTCCATTTTTCCTAAAATCTCACGATGGTCAGAAACTACGACTTCCACCGCCGTCAGAGGGTTTCTGAAAAAAGGAAAGAACCACGCAGCCGGTGAGGCTTCAGACGGTTCCCGATCAGATATCAACTTTTGGGAGCCCCCTGTTAAGAGCACCCAGGCCGAGCCTCTTTCACCATACTCGGAAGGGCAGCAAACGGAGAAAGCCATGTCGCCCGTTCCCCCTTCTTCAAGGGGCACAGATGCTCCAATCAACCACTCCAACCGCAGATCCTTGGAAGTGCATGCTCCACAACCCCGGATGCCCTACAACCACCAACTTGAGGCGCAAGCTCAGCAGCTTATGGCTTCAGGAATCGTCCCCAATTCTCCGAATGCTAATGCGTCGGTATCGAGTTTGGGAACATTCCCACCTCTAGGTCCTGGAGGATTTTCCGATGGAAAGCTGATGTCTCCTTTAGCACAGGATGCTTACAATCAACATCTACAACAGCAGGGGCTACTAATAAAAACCCCCATGAATGGTGGACCACCGCGACCACCAAAGGAGCCAGTCACTCCCGCCGCTACTGTCGAGGATAGCGAATATCCCTCATCAGAAAAGAGAAAATCTAGACACAGGGATGAAAATGGCGAAAAGATTAGGAAACCCAAGAAGGAGAGGACTGAGGAAGAAAAGCAGAGGCGTAAGGAAAGAAAGGAGAGAAAAGAACGCGAGAGAGAAGCAGGCGCTTCCTCATCTGCCTCAAGGAAGAAGTCTCGTGATTTGCTATCACCCGAGCAAGAAGGAGGAGTAAGTTACCATTTTCACATTTACCGCTTGGGAGTATACGCTAATAATATTGGTCTTAATTTAGCTCGGATCACCATTTTCAGCACGTTCCCCATCAACAGCATCTAGGTTGCAAGGACCTCGGCCATTGTCGAGTAACAGTAACAAAGAGAACGCTAGAAGACACAGGCATCAATCCTCCCAAGGTACCGCAGGTGAGCCCCAGCTCCCCAATCTTGAAAGCAATCAATATTGATTTTGCCCCATCTAGATACCTTTGGTAACACCCAAGAATATGAAACTTATGGTGGCAATTATCGATGATAATCTCATGTCGTAATGATACCGATTTCTTTTGGACTCTTTATGTTTTTATTCATTTACCACTGTCACCTTCATCCGAGTCATGGAATGTTTTTTTCTTTCAAGTTCAGTTGGGGCAATACTCTTGTTCATTTAGCTACATGAATTGTTTTAGGATTGTTGGATTTTCTTATCTATATTCTTGGGAAACCTTTATTTTCTTTTCATTGTAATTTCACCATACCAAGGGGGTTCATGCTTTCATTTCTGCTTCATTTGAAAAGGTAGCGGGTAGGTTTTTCTGGTGTTTCTCTCTCTCTCTATACTTCACTTCAATTTTATCTGGATCATTTATCAGCGTATTTCAATTTGGCTTTGGGAAGTTTTAAAAACCCTTTTAGATAAAAGGTTTTTTTGACTGGCCACGATAACATGATTTACTGGATTCTTGACTTTGTTCTTAAAGGCTTGTCTTTTTCTTTTGGTAGGCGGCCTTCTATTTCTTTACGATATGATTCGGATGTGTATGAATGCTTGTGTTACGTTGCAGTTGGCCTATGGATTGTTGGGGATGGGAGGCGCAGAAAATATTTAGTGGTTTGGTTGAATGATTTATAAAAGCTCAGATTTTCAAGTCGAGGAATTTATGGACTTATGAACTTATGAACTTATGAGGAGGTATTGCGTTCTATATCCACCTTAGCAGTGTTTTTTTATGTGAACGACAGGCATAAGGCGGATGCAGGCGGATGCACTATTCCTATTGCAGATAACACTATATTGAGCCTCACCGTCGCAAAAAAAAAAATTCCAAGGGTCCCTGATCTAGATAGAGTAGAATCCTCAATATTACTTTAGCTATATACATACATCTCCTACGATATAATCGCCTGCAGGCTGCACAAACGACAATTGACCTAACACTCCCCCACTACTACTACCATCTCCTCCGTATAATAATACTAATAAACACATAAACAACCTCTCGTAAGCTGCCCATTCATGACCAGCGAACAGACAGTGCAGTAATAACCAACTTTCTAGACAACTACACCACACAAATCGCACAATGGCGCCCTACCACGCACCACCTACCAAAGTCCTCTCATCGACACCTCTCTCGTCATCCCAGGCGCACGCCTTCCTCTCCACCTTTACGCTCGCCGCAAACGACGGGGGCGCGGGCCAGAACGAGATCGTCCTCACAAACTTGAAGCGCATCGAGCAGGCGCTGCTCGGAATCTATGTTCCACGACCGGTCAAGGAAGACATGATTCTCGAGGAGGGTATGACGGATATGGCTGCGCCGATTGCGGACGAGGAGGTGCCCGTCGAGGGCGTCGGCGAGGAGTATGTGGAGGGCGAGGAGAATGGCGAGGATGAGATGTACGCGCTGGAGGATAGAGAGGAGGAGAGGAATACGATGATCCCGGAGGTTACTACGGCTAAGAAGCCTAAGGTGGATAAGAAGGCTGATAAGAAGGCTAGGAGAAAGGAGGAGAAGAAGGCAAGAGCGGAGCAGAGGAAAAAGGAGAGGCACGATGAGGACGATGACGAGGATGATGATGAGTAGAGTTGTAAAAAATTGATGTAAATGGGTCTCTTTTTTTTCTTTCTCTCTTAGCATAATCATTATTTCTGGATCTTCTCCAAACTATGTAGGCGTTTTGGAAATCGCATGATTAGCATAATCTACTCTGGATACTCACGCGTTAATTAAGTCCTAAGAATTCTTAGTAGCAACGACCTCACAAATTGCGCAGGACCTAGTTAACGCACGAGTAATTGTTCATAAATAGTAGGGAAGGTGTTCGTTCGTATTCCGTTCTTAGATTATATTGGGTGGTGTCTTTGAAATATATAACTAGTTCTTACGCCTACATAACCATCTAAGACAGATAGTGATTCTTTAACTGTTAAAGGCATTTTCTAGATGGAGCGCGAGAAATATTAGTAGTTGAAGGCGGTATTTGTTTAAAACACAGCGGTAGAAAGAAAGGTGGTATCTAACAAAACTGCGGGGAGCGAGACGGACGCGACCCAGGCCCGAGTGATACTTCGTGCAGTAAAAACATGGACAAATCTGTTCATCCATATCCAATGATATAAAACGCACCTATTCAGGCTAAGAGCGACTTTGCGTATAGTTATAGGAATCTTCAATTACTAATTTAAGAGAAATCTCCCATAGCAATAACCAATCTGTCATGTTCACGACTAAAGGTGGCTGAGGCCGATCAGAGTAGCCCAAGGCTTTAACTGATCTGACATGTATATGAGTATATCTAACGTATCGAAACATCATATCAGATTATTTCACAGCCAGATACTTTGGCAACGTGGTATGTAATTGTAACATACTATCGAAAATCTGTTGTACTTAGGTTAGAATAGTTCCACATGTAGCCTATAATTGCAGGAATTATGACTGAAAGGCATAAATCCTATATTTTGATACACTTCGAGTGAGGCGTGTAGGCGCAGGGCTACATGTAATAAAGGGAATTCGAGTGAGTTATTATGACTGAGCTAGTGCACGTGGGTCACAATAGCTCATACGCTACCACGGAGGAGACCACATAGAATGGACAAAGTATCCGAAACGCCCCTACCGAGTATTAAGCACATGATCATGGCTTTCATATATGCTTAAGAGTCACTCTAATGTCCCTCCCAGACCTAAACAGAGGAGGAGGGGCGATTGTATAATACAGGATATCGTACACACATTATATACACCATTACAAAACTCCCTTCACCAAGATTGCGCACCTATGATATCTGGGTAGTCGTCATTTTCTCGAGCTCTTCTATTGTTGGTGGCACATCCTGGAATGCGTTCTCCAGCGGCGTCTTCCTGACTTTCCAGACATCCTCACTGCTGGCGCCCGTTTTGTATTTGGCTGCTCTTTCCTTATTACGTGCCATTATCATCGCCTGTATTTTTATTTTCTTTAGAAAAGCTCAACAAAGAATTAGATAGGGTAGAAGAGAGGTATTTGCCAACCTTTCTCGTCACAGGCCCATACATCTTCGCCCTCATGCAAAACCTCCAGTCCTGGCTCTTTTGCGAGCAATCCCTCAACTCACCATATCGATACACTACCATCACGTTTTAGCTCTCCTCCCCACAGCAGTCATAAGTAATAAAGAAAAAACCAACCGTTCAAGAACTGCCCTCCCACGGAATAGCAGTAATACATCTCGTCGAACGCCGTGATGCAGTTCATTTCGCCCGGAAACGAAGACCCCAGCGAGGCATCCTCCTCCTCAACCTCCCCACGGTCCCGGCCGTCCCTTTTTCGGGGGTCTTTGGAGCTGCCGCTGCTCTGCTCCTTGTCGAAGGCCGCTATGAACTCTGCGAGCTCGGCGTCAGCCTGCTCATCGCGGGTAGGTTTTTTTGCGGAGGGCTGGGGAGGTGGAGGAGGGGGAGGAAGCTTGGTTTCCTCCTCGGGTTCTTTATTATTATTATCGCTGCTCCAGAAACCCATTGTGAATTGAGTTGTATCGTTTTTTCTAGATTTGGGTAGCTGGTAGTATAATTGGGCTCGCAAAGGAAGTTGCGAAAAGCTACAGCCGGGTAAGAGCACAGGCCAATAACCGCATATTAAAGCTTCGAGTGATAGGTGATGACCTGTCTATCTTGGCACATGCTTGTGCTTTCTCACCTCCAACCTCGTCGACCGCTGCTACAGCAATCCAATCCAACCCAGCACACCTTGATGGACAACCGAATCAACTACGTGGCTATATACGAGCTCAGCGGATCTAGAACAAAATCTTGCCTTTTTTATTTCCATAAATTTAAATGGAAGTTCCTGGAGCACGGATAGAAAAGCTGAGTGATTCTTGATGATTTAGAGAACTGCGTGATTTTTCATGTTTCAAGTTTTTTCAGATTTGGTGCACCCTATCTGACTCTTCTGGACCTGACCCTGGCTTGGTCTTGCTCTTTTCTCCTCCACTCCCAGAACCAACAGCCAATATACCCACTTACTCCTCCTCATCCTCTATACCTCTATCAACTAGAGTCATCACCTTCGAAAAGACTTCATCTCCAAAGATCACAACACCCAAGCCAGTATGTGTCTTTCACAAAGCTCCTTGAACGGGCTCGCGCCCGATTCGGACCCTTCCTCTCCACAGATCGAGAACCATCCTGTAAATCAAGACCCCATTACAGAGGAACTCGAAAGTGAGAGCTCGATCCCCAACCTTTCGACAAGGGCAGAGGTATCCGAAGCCGTTTCTTCAAGTAACGATGCCGGGCCACCACAGGATAATCTCATCTCACTTGCCCATCTCCCCAGCGAGATCATCGTGATGATTGGCGGGTTCCTGCGGCTCAGGGACCTGCAGAAGTTTCTCCTAAGCTGCAACCGTTTCAGCCAGCTTCTGGGCCGCAGCCTGAATATGCTTGCCTGCAAAGACAAGAGACTTTCCACAAAGGCTCTTTTCTACGCTGCTGCCAACGGGAACTATGACCTCGTCAAGACCCTGCTCGAAAAGGGTACGGGAATAACCGTCATGGAATACACACGTGAGGCGGTTACTGCCCGCGGGGGTGGCAAGTGGGGATACGAAATCATCCACGAAACGCCCGACGACTGCTACGAGGAGCTCTTTGACTTTGTGCTTTCCGAGGGCGAAAACTTGGTCCTCATGTGGAACAAGAAGGCATACACTGCACTCCACTGGGCCATCAAGACGGAGGATAAACTGCTGACCTCGCTACTGCTCACCAAGGGTGCTACCGCCGTCTTCAGGACCGACTACCGCGAGGGCACTGGCCCGCTGCATATCGCGGCCTGTAAATACAGCTTCAACATGACGTATTTCCTCCTCTGCAAGGGGTTTCCGGTCGACCAGCGTGATGCGGAGAATCTCACGGCACTTCAGGCGGTCTTGAGACACCAGAAGGATACCATTTCTTGCAAGTCGACGGTTATGCTGCTGCTGGAAAAGGGGGCTTCGGTCACGGTTAGGAACAAGTGGTTGATGACCCCGCTGCACCACATCGTAAATTTTGAGAACTGGGCCTCGCTGATCCCGGTTATCGTGGCGTTGGGGGCGGACGTGAATGCGAGAAATCGTTGGGGAGCTACTCCGTTGCATATTGCGGCCAAGTTGGGGAACTTGCAGGTTGTCAACGAGCTATTGGTGGCGGGTGCGGATGTCAACATTGTCAACGACCAGGAGAGGACAGCGTGGGGACTCGCGATGGCGTACCGTAGGAGTGATGTGGCCTGTATCCTGAGTATGATCGGCGGCTCGGTCGAGGATTAAGGATACAAGTAACGAAGGATGGAAGAGGAGGATCGTAATATTTTAACCCTAATACCCCTCCCTCCCTCCCTCCCTCCATCCCCCCTTCCCTCTCTCTTTCCTATATAACTCTGGGTTTCTACGGTTGAATGGTTCGGACAGATTGACGGATTTACGGATTTACACGCAATACATCACATAAAGATGGAAATGGGATTTAGTTTCTGGCAGCCATTTTTTTACTTTGTCGTTTCGTTGATGATCGGTTTGAAATGTGTGTATTTTGCTAGTGATATACATAATGCAGATATCAAATGGCAGAGTTATGTGAGCTACACATGCGTCCGTTGCCGCGCAAGTGTTTAAGGTTGTTCTGTTCATTTGGAAGATGAATTCCGATCATTGACACCTGGTGGCAACCGATCACATCGCCGCTAGCAAATTAGTTGATTGATAATTCGTTTGTTTAGCCCCTAGCAAAACAACAGTCGATATTGCACCAGACCCCTTTGAACCTGATCTTTAGAAGTGGTTTTAGACGACTTGGCACTAGTATTGGGCGAAGCAGAGCATAGGGCTCCAGCTCTGTGCCTATGAGTCTATTTCTCCAATCACGGTCACTCACGCTGGCTGCAAATCACTCAAACAGGCCCATGTCCCATAGCGTACCCACATAGTTAATACACATCTATATACATTAAAGCAACAGCCAATCTACTAACTACAAGCTTTTTTCTCTTTTCCCCGCAAGCCCACGCCCAGCCCAAGCCAATGATAACTTTTTCTTGTCGAGAAAACTACAACTACAAAGACAAACTAAACTAATCCGACAGCATATCGGCATAGTCCTCCGCACTGGCAAACGTCGGCAGGTTCTTGAGCTTTCTGCGCTTCTTCCTGCGGTCGTTTCCAGGCTCCTTCTCGCCCTCTGCCTCCGCCTCCGCCTTCGTCTTGGCCTGCAGCTCGGCTTCAAACGCCTTGTCGAGTGCGTCGGGGACGTCGTCGTCGTCGCTCCACACATCGTCCTCGTCGTCGCCGCCAAAGTCCGGCACATCGCTGCCATCGTCTTCATCCACCGCGGCACCCCCTTCTTCTTCATCCTCATCCTCATCCTCATCCTCGTCCTCGATATCATCAAGGTCCATATCCTCATCGTCGTCAAAGTCAGCGCCCTCATCCCCACTATCCATCTCCGCGCCGCCCAACTCCGGCCGGCTCCCCACCATCGCCTTCCAGATCTCCTCCTCATTCGCCTCCTCCTCCTCCTCGCTGTCAACCGCAGCATCTTTCGCCGCCTTCTTCTCCGCGGCCGCCGTCTTCTTGGGCGCCGCCTGGTTGAAGTACTTGTGGAAGAAGACCTCGTCCACGGGCACGTCCTCGACGCGGCGGCGCCAGAAGGCGTCAGAGTTGACGGGCACCTGCGCCTTGCCGGCTGCGCGCGTGGAGAGCACCATCCCGCGCGTGTCGCCGCCGTCGAGCGGCTGCATGATTGATGCGCCGCGGGCGGCGGTGGACACGCTGGACTTGGCGGCGCGGTAGACGAAGCGGTCCAGGAAGTGGGTGAGCGTGTGCATGCCGAGGTCGGGCTTGCTGGGCATCTTGCGCTTGGAGAGGAGGCTGGTGGCGAAGAGGGCGACGGAGGGGTGGTAGTAGTTGAGGAAGGGGAGCTGTCCGGTGTGTTAGTATGGGGGTACGATCATTGATAGGAGAAAGGGGGGGGGCTTACAATCTCCCAAAGACAGCTGCGGTCTGCATTGGCGTGCGAGGGGTCCCTCTTCCGCCCATCATACTCAACACGCTTCTCCTCAGACTTCTCCTCAGCGGCGGGCTTCTCTTCGTCCTCCTCAGGCACGTCGCGGAACACCTCCTCCTCGTCCTCAAGCGTCTCCTGCGGCGTGTCCATGAGCTGGTGCAGCGACGGGATCGCCGTCTCGAGCTCGCTGAGCAGGAACAGGACACCGCAGATGAACGGCGGCTGGTGGAAGGTCGAGATCTGGATCAGACGCTTGACGAAGGCGCGCACGCGCTTGATCTGCGCGTCGGCTTTGAGCGCCTTGAAGAGCAGGTTCAGGTACATGGCCTGCTTCGAGGAGGTGACCAGGCGCTGGTCCAGCAGCGACTCGTAGAGCGTTCTGTAGAAACGGTCTGAGACAGCCTATTCACATATATCAGTATCAGAAGCTCACCCCCCCCCCCCCCCCCACCAAACACACATCCACACACAGAGAGAGAAAGAAGAGCACTATCATACCTGCTTACTATTCGCCACCTGAAAGATCAGCATCAGCGCCTGAATGCTCGTATTAAAATTGCCCGAATGCGTGATGCGGAACAGCGTATCCATATGCTTCTGGAACACCTCATCCTCCACCTGCGAGAACGGGAACGCACGATTAACCCCCGTCAGCACCGCCGAGATCAGCTTCGCATTCAGCTCCTCCGCAAACTGCTCCTTCTTCTCCTCCGCCTCCCTGCGCAGCTTCGCCTTCCTATTCAACTTACCCCCCCTCCGTGGCGGCGGCGCCCCCTTCCCGCCCTTCTTCTTCTTCTGGTCCTCGTCGTCGTCGGCAAACTTGGTATGCGATCCAAGCCCTGTTGCATTCACGCCGGTGGCAGCAGGCGTGTTGTTGTCCTTCTTGAGGATGCCCGTGAAGACGGCGAAATACAGGTTGAGTAGGCGGTTCGCCACGTCCACCTCGCGCGTCGACAGGATCGTCTGGTTGAGCGTGATGATGGCGTAGTACTTTGCGTGCACGCTGTTTCCGGGGCGGAAGACGACCTCGGACTCGATGCTGTTGATGATGATGCTCTTCATGGCCGGGTGCGTGCTCTGCAGCTTCAGCAGTAGGTACGAGACTTTCGAGGAGACCTTTTTGTCTGTGTCGCCCTGTGTAATTCCGTTGAGTGAGATTTCATGATCCTATATATGGGGAGAGAGGGGGCTTACGAGTTTGTTGACCAGGAGACGCAGCAGGTTTGCTTCCTGCTCCGGCTTCTCCTTCAGAAGCTCCCAGACATAGCCCACGGCGTGGGTGCGCGCGAACTCCAGCTGATCACTGCACAGCGCCTCGAGCGTCTTGAGGATCTCGAAATAGAACGTCTTGAGCCAGTCCTCATACGCCCACACGAGCATATGCAGATCCGACGCCTGCGGGCTGCCCAGTCCGGGCTGCTTATTAAAGAAGCGGAGCTTCCTCCCCGGCGGGAGCACCACGCCCGAGGCAAACAGGTCCTTGATGGCGCCCATTGCGGAGACGGCCTGCGAGCGCGACTTCTTGCGCGCGAGGCCGAGCAGCGTCTCGAGCGTCTTTGTGGTGTGCAGCGGCGACTCCTGGCAGATGAGGGTGAGCGCGGAGATCTTGTCGGTGAGTGTTCCTGAGGTCATGATTGTGGAGAGGAACTGGCGGTCGGAGGACTTGGTTAGGTGTGTGGTGGAGTAGGTTGTGTTTTCGCTGGTGAGGAGGTGCTTGCCGTGGCGGTGGAGGGCCTCGATCTGGGAGGGGGAGGGCGGGTGCGCGGGCGGGTCGAGCGCGGGGAGGGTGGCGGCGTGCCAGTCGGGGCGCGGCGTGAAGAGGAGCTTGCTGTTCTTGGAGGCGGGGTCGGTTGGCGCGGCGAAGGTTGTGACTGGGGGGGCGGCTTTCGCGGGGGCGGGGGGCTCGGGGGCTGAGGCTTCTTCCATTTCTTCGTCCTCTTCCTCTTCGTCCTCCTCTTCCTCTTCATCCTCCTCTTCCTCGTCTTCGTCATCCTCTTCATCCTCTTCGTCTTCCTCCTCCGACTCCACATCAGCAACGGCAAACTTCCCCTCAAGCCCAATCTCCTTCATGAACCCCGCCAGCGCCTCCGTCAGCCCCTTCTCCGCCTTCTCCGACTCCGCAAACCCGACCTCGTCGACCTCGGAGTCAGACTCAATGTCCTTGACGAGATCAAGGTCCTCCTGCGTCCCGCCCAGCTCGACAATCTCCTTGAGCAGCGCGGCCTTGTCGATGCCGCGCTTCTGGCCGGGCTTGGTGGGGAGCACTTGCGCTTGCGGCTTGGTCTCGCCGTCGAGGGAGCGCTTTTGGCCGCGGTCGGTGGGTTTGGACTGGGACTTGTCGGTGGTGGGGGTGGAGGCGGGCTTGCCGACGATGAGGTCTTTGGTATTGGTCTTGTCCTTCTTGTCCTTCTTGTCTTTTCCGTCCTTCTTGTCGGCGGTGTCTTTCTTGTCCTTCTTGTCGGCGGTGGTTTTGGGGTCTTTCTTGTCCTGTTTGGTATCTTTCTTGTCATGCTTGGCATCTTTCTTTTCGGCAGCGTCCACTTTATCTTTCTTGTCTTTTTTGCCCTTCTTGTCCTTCTTCTCATTGACACCGGCCTTCTTGTCGTCCTTCTTCTCACCGACATCCTGCTTGTCCTGCTTCTTCTCGTCCTCGTTCTTCTTCTTATCCTTCTTCTCCTTCTTCTCCTTCTTCTCCGGGCGCGCGCCTTTACCCTTCCCCTCCTGCTGCCTCGCCTTCTCAAACCCGCTCTGGATCGTCTGCGTGAGCTTGTTCAGTGCGTCCTCTGACAGCAGCGGTACTGCCTCGACCTCTGCTCCCCCAGTGCCATTGCCATTGTCAGTCTGGGCTGCCACCGGCCCGGCGGCGTCGACGGGCTTCTGTTTCGACTTCTTGCCCATGGTCTGTCTGTCTGTCTGTCTGTCTGTGTTGATTATATCTGTAGTCGTAGTCGTAGTCGTAGTTGTAGTTGGGCGACAATTGGCAGGCGGGCAGAAAATCCGAAATTTTCGGTAGCGTGTGCAGGCTGGGATGCGCTGAACACGGTGATCAATTAAGCATCCCTGTCTCCTCCCTTGTGTGGGCTCGGCGGGCCGCCCCACCACAACTCTGCAATTATCGCGGGTTCTGACATCACCCCACCCTACACGCACCAACAATGCTGCTACATCTACGAACCCTCACGCCGCTGCCGCCGCGGGCGTCACCGGCGCTCGCGAGATTGTTTACCGTATATCTCCCTCCATCCCTCTCTTTTTTTTCTCTTGGTTGGGGGGGGGGGCCTCGGGAGTCTAATTCTAACAAGCGTGGGTGATGTGATGTGAATGCGCAACAGACAGACCACCGAAACCGGCTCACCACGTTCTTCGCGCCCTCCGGCGGCATCGCGGGGTCCGCGTATGGCGTGAAAGGTTGGTTTTGGTTTTCTCACCGGGGAAGAAAAAAAAACATGCTGGGGCGGTCATTGACGGGATAGTGTGGCACGGTTAGAGGATACGCATTCGCTTCTTGTGCGGACTGGGTATTTGCGGCAGGTTTGTGTTTTCTAGCATTCTGATATTCTGATATTGTAGCCTTCTACGGGAGGAATGGGGATGGGGGATGCGGATCAGGGCTGATGTGTGTGTGTGTGTGTGTGCCAGGCCCACGCGGGAATCTTCCACTACCTCCCCCTCGGCCAGCGCGTGCACGAGAAGCTGGAGAAGCTGATCGACAAGCACATGCGCAGCATCGGTGAGCCCTCTCTCTGTGTCTCTCTCTCTCTCTCTCGCGGGGATGTCTAGTCTGTCTGGTCGGGCTGGCTGGCTGACGCCCAGTGAGGCGCCTCGAAGCTTGCGCTATCGACCATCTCGAGCGAGAAACTATGGGGGAAAACGGGGCGCCTTGAGAAGGGCGGGGCAGAGGTATTCTTCCTACTCCATTCTCCCCCCTTCTCTGCCTTTTTCTTCTGTTCTCTACAGGAGTCTAGTTTTCTGATAGCATTGCAGCTCTTCCGCATAAAAGACCGCAAAAGCACCCGCCTCCTCCTCTCCCCCACGCACGAAGAAGAAATCACCACCCTCGTCAGCTCCCTCGTCAGCTCCCACAAGCAGCTGCCCCTGCGGCTATACCAAACCACGCGCAAATTCCGCGACGAGCGCCGCCCGCGCGCGGGGCTCCTCCGCGGGCGCGAATTCACAATGAAGGACCTCTACACCTTCGACCTGACGCCCGAGGCCTCGCTCGAGACCTACGCCGCCGTCCAAGGCGCATATAGGAATCTGTTTGACGAGCTCAAGCTCCCGTACATGGTCGCCGAAGCCGACAGCGGCACCATCGGCGGCACCCTATCGCACGAGTACCACTACCCGTCGCTCTCGGGCGAGGACACAGTCTTCAGCTGCAACGAGTGCCCGTACAGCGCCAACGCCGAGGCCGCACGCACCCGCACGCCCGCGCCGCACCCGGCGCTCGAGGAGCCCGGCAACATCGCGGTCTTCCACGGCGTCAGCACCGACCGGGCCACGCTGATCAACGTCTTCCACCCGCGCGACGCCGTCGCCGGCCTGCCGAACGAGGTCAACATCTCCGTCGTGCGCGCGCTGATGCCGAGCCTCGACGCGGGCGTCGGGTCCGCCGAGGCGCTCGAGATGTGGCGCGTGTGCTTCCGCGAGTACAGCGACGGCGCCGCGGCCGGGAGCTACTCGCAGATCGTGAACCTGTTCGACACACGGCTACCGCACAGCGTGACCGAGGCCAGCTTCAGCAGCCACAGCGACCAGCCGCTGTTCCGCGAGTTCGTGGCGGATAAGCGGATCCCGACGACGGCGGTGACGCGGGGTGCGGCGGGGGAGCCGCTCAACCTGCTGAAGCTGAAGGAGGGCGAGGGGTGTCCGGCGTGCGAGACGGGCGTGCTGGTGGGCACGCCGGCGGTGGAGCTGGGCCACACGTTCCATCTGGGGACGCGGTACAGCGAGCCGTTGAAGGCCGTGGTCACGACCGGTGAGGGCAGGCAGGTGCCGATGGAGATGGGCTGCCATGGCATCGGACTGTCGCGGATGATCTCGGCGGTGGCGGAGGGGTACCGCGACGATGCGGGGCTGTGCTGGCCGCGGGTGGCGGCGCCGTTTGAGGTTGTGGTTGTGGGCAAGGACGCGGCGGCGGGGGGGGATGCGGAGGGCGTGTATGATGAGCTGACGGGCGCCGGGCTGGACGTGCTGCTGGACGACCGCGAGAAGGACTTTGTGTGGCGGATGAAGGACGCGGAGTTGGTTGGGTATCCGGTGTGCGTGCTGCTGGGCCGCGGGTGGAAGGACGGCCGGGTCGAGGTGCAGGTCAGGAACGGGCGGAGGAAGCTGGAGGTCGGCGTGGGTGAGCTGCGGGAGACGGTGCTGAGTGCGCTGGGGGAGGCATAGCTTTTTGGTGTCTCTGAATCTGTCTGTCTCCTCTTCTTCTGTCTCTGTATCTTTCTCTGTATCTTCTTGCATCTCTCTCTGTCTGTCTCTCGTGGGGGTTAGTCCGCAAAGTGGGCTTCACAGCATGTAAATACATATTCATTTCACAGCAATCGACTACTCCAGTCATGAGTCCGCCATCACCAATAACTACTCCAGGCAGCAATGCCAATAACCCGGGGGCATAAAAAAGCACTCCAATTGATTCCCGCCCTTAGTCTACAATAACCACAGCCCAAGCAATGTCCTACTAAAGGCCCCCTCCCCTTGCCCCCCCCCCCCCTCAGTTCTCCATCAACACCTCCTTCACGCCCACCACATCCTCCTCCCCCGCCACCTCCACCACCCTCCCCACCTCCGCCGTGTTCCTCATCAGCTCCTTGGCCCCCGCATACAGCATGCGCAGCTCATTGTTGGCCGTCGGCGGCATGTAGTACAGCAGCACGTACGGGGCCGCCCTGCGCCCGCTCTTGAGGTCCAGCGGGTACGAGAGCAGCACGAAGCGCGGCGTGTTGTCGGGGAGCTCCTCGGCGAGCGTCTCCAGGGTGGTGTATATCTCGCCGTCGTCGTCGGGGAGGATCTCGAGGCTTTTGCGGTCGATTTTGTCTGTGAGGGGGTGTTAGTGGGGTGTGGTTTTGGGGGGAGGGGGGGGAGAGAGAAGGGACAGGGTGGGGATGGTACAGATGATGGCTTGTGGGTCCTTGTGGCGGGAGGTTTGGAGACGGAACTTTCGCAGGGCGTCGCGGGTTTCGGGGGAGAAGGTGTAGAGGCGGGCTTCGGAGGCCTGGTGGGCGGGGTTAGCTATAGGTGTATAGATAGTGGTGGGCCCGGGAATGGGGGTTACCATCTGGGGTTTTGCTAATACTAGTTAACGGGGTACGGGCTTAGCCAACAGCAGTAGTGATAGCAGTAGCAGTAAGAGCAGTAGCAGTGGTGGTGGTAGTGGGGCTTGAAGCAAGAGCAGCAGTGATAGCAGTGATAGCAGTAATAGCAGTCTACGTGATAAACATCGGCATCAGCAGTGGTCTCACTCTCGGTAGCACAGACAGCTCCCACTGCGGCTCGGATCAGTGACAGCAGCCAGCCAGCCAGCCAGCCAGCCAGCCAGCCAAGTACAATCCGAATCCCCACACCTGCCAACCCTCGAGTCTCGACCCAAGTCAAGTCAAGTCAACCAACCCTCCCTCCATCCAGGTGCTGCCCACTCTACATACAACAACAACAACTCCCCCCCACACACACACATACAACCCATCCATACTTCCATTCCATACCCCCACAATGACAAACGACCCCCCAAAGCCCGACACCGCCAACACCACCACCCTGGGCGACACCTCCGCCGTAAGGCCCCTCTGCCCTCTGCCCTCTGCCCCCTCCCTCCATCCACACAAAACACAAATACTAACTACCAACAGCTAAGCGAAGACGCCCCCGGCGAGCTCACAGCAGTGGTCGACGAGCTGCTCGACAGCCTCAGCACAAAGTTCGCCAGCGTGTCGAGCGAGATCTTTGAGAAGATCGAGGCCATGTCGAAGCGCCTGGACGCGATGGAGGCGTCGCTGCAGCAGTCGGGCGCCGGCACGCCGAAGTAAGTCTAGACGGTAGACCTAGGACTGGAGGGTAGATTAGTTGGGAGTTGGGGGGGGGGATTTGTTTTAAGTTTTAAGCGGACTTGGTTGGGTTGGAGTGGGTTAATTCTAGCGGTTTTGAAGCCCTTTTTATCTTTTATCTTTTTTCTCTTTTCTTTTTTTTGGCCGTGGGGCTACTCTTGTGTTGGTATGGTATTTGGGGGCCCCGGGGAGGGAGGGGTTTATTAATGTGAGAGGGAGTGAGAGGGGGAGGGGGTGGAAGTAATGGGGGGTGTCGGTCTAGGCAACTATCTACGTAGTGAGTGGTGATTCTCATCTGGGTATACGGCGTATCAGTAACACGACTAGCTACAACACCCCACTCCTTCTTTTTTTCTTTTTTTTTTCCAAAATTCCTTTGTTCCATTGCTTCTAGGTACCAGAAAGCTGCATTGCGGCATTCTTGCGCATAGAATCAATACAGCACTGGTGTTTTGGAAAAAAAGGGAAAAAAAGAGAGAATGGGGTGTTATACCCAGGTGAGAATCGCTCACTACGCAGTTTGCTTGGGTGCTAGACCAAGACACAGGTTATCACTCGGGTTGCCAAAGTCTCAAGTTATCAAAGTCATTCGGTGTTTAGCATTAGACAGCAGCTTATTATTGTTTGTTTCTATGATAGCGACATGATTTACTTGATTTTTTTGGAATTCCTTTTGTTTTCTCTTGCAATCTTATGATCCTTTCCCATGTTTCACGTAAGATATCTCAGATATCTACGTTATTGAATGCCTGCGCATTCTTCCTGAATATAGCTTTTTTTTTCCCCCAGCTAGTTAGCTTCCCTCATCCTCCTCCTCCTCCCTAAAGATTCTCAATAATAGTCCACAGCCCCCTCTTCCCCAACGCCTTAAACTCCTCCCAACCCTCCACCGCCTCCCTCGGCAGCCCCAAAACCCTCTCCCACGCCCTCTCCGCATGCGGCTTCACCGCCCCCAGCAACCTCTTCAACCTCGGCGGCCTCCTCCCCTTAAACCCCACCATCAGCTCATAGTTAATCACCCTCTTGACCTCCTTCGGCTTCATCAGGTACTGCACCAGCCTCAGCTCAATCCTCTGCGCACACGACAAATACTCGACCGGGAAGCCGACATTCTCAAACTTGGTCGCCACACAGTACACCCACACGCGATAAAACATCCTCCTCGGCAGCACGCCATTGCGCGGGCACCCCGGCGTGTTGCGCAGCGAGATCTGCATCGGCGCGGCGCCATCCGGCATCACCCGGAAGGCAAACGGCGCATCGAGGAACGACGGCGCCGTGGTGGTCGCGGCGGCGAGCTGCTGCGAGCAGGTGCGGTAGACGCGCTCGTTGGACGCCATGTGCGGGATGTCGGCGCGCGTGAAGGTGAACTGGTTCATGAGGTCCCTGATGAGGCGGGCGGGCTCGGCGACGGGGCAGCGATGGCGCTGGCAGATGAGCACCACGACGTTGTCGTGCCAGGCCTCGGGCCCGATGATGTTGCGCGAGAGGCGGTTGAGGATGGTGGTGGTGTAGGTGTTGAAGATGCGGAGGGTGTGTGGGGAGGCGCTGATCAGGGCGTTGAGGTCGCCGAAGCTGGGGAGGCTGAGGATGAGCTCGAGGATGAGCTCGGGGGGGAGGGTCTCGAAGAAGGTGGGGGAGAGCTTGCTGGTGGGGCTGGAGGGCTTGAAGAGACGGTTTTTGAGAGGCATTGTGGGTGAGTGTTGGGTGGGAAAGTGACAGGTATTATTTGATGATGGTTTGAAGATAACGAGAGTGAGGGGTGATATTTGATGATGGACGGAAGATAACGAGAGTGGTGGTGATTGGTCAAGGTGGAGGAGATGGGAGGAATGTAGCAGTTTCGAGTGCCATTTTATGCCAAATCCCATGTGCAAGTGGGCTGATTGTGGGATTGAAACGACACGTACTCAAATTAGGTGGGGGGCCTAAGACCATGGTGCGTCAGTATACCGTCCTGTAGGCAGCAAGAGGGTAGATATAGGAACATACAATTGTCCGGCCCGCGGCTTAGCCTCGTGCCTATGCTCTCAAAGCAAGGGACATCGTTGAGCCTTCCTGCAGCTCTCTGTCAATTGCAACTAACCCCCGATGTACCATCTAATTCCAATCTCTTGCCCGTCTTTATATACAAGATTTTAGTATGGAATAGAACGGAGCCTACTTTAAGTCCAAATTAGCTCAAGTACGTCTCTCCGTGGATTCTGGAAACTTCCCTTCTGCCATCTAAACTTAAGGATACTGCAAAACCGCAACGACTTTGATGTGATAATTCTTCATAATTCATAATCTATTGGTATATATAATACCGAAAATGCATCTAAAAACAACAAGAAAAGACTAAAGAAAAGAAAAGACAGAAGAAAAAAAACTCCAAGGGAAAAAAAAACAACGGAAAGTGCCATCTAGATATCACCCATTCTAATATGCCGTCTATACACTCACAACCTGTACGGGTATCTAGGAATACAGAAGCAAAGAAAATATAGTTACCTCTGAAGCCAAAGAAAAGCGCTCATTCATCTAATAATCATAGTGGTTCACTCACCCGTCAGAGGGTCACACTCGACCGCCTCTCCTCATGCATCCATCTCCAGACTTTTTTATGCTGCTCCAGCGCAATAAACGTCAAAATTGTCTGCGGCCCAAGCCTCATAAAGCTCGGCACCCAGCCCCTAAAAATCCACCTCAAGCCTTCCGCCTTGGTGATCTCTCTCACCAAAGTCCACACTCCATCTGTCCTCGTTCCTGCCATAACCCTCGTCTTGATTACATCAACCGGCGAGCATATTGTGGTCGCCACCAACCCACTCAACAAGCTCGCCGTGAAATGGGTCGCCATCCCATCGTTGAATATTGGCAACAGCAGCAGGTATGACTTGAACTGGTCATACGTCGCCAGCTGTGCGGCCGTCATCAGCGCAGCTCGGACAGTGTTCGGCCATACTCCCCTGAACAGCGAGCTCGGCCCCTCGTTGCGACCCATGCTGACAAGGCCGTCGATTGCATGCTTATAATTCCGCCTGAGGTGCGGAGGCGAGGCGAGATCTGATTGCATGCGAACATTTATCACATCTGCCGGGTTACCAGCGGCTCCACCGACCCTGGGATGTGTTATTATGACGTGAAGACGGGGATAAAGTGGTGGGGGGGCTGGATTTACCAGCCAGAGATTGAGGCTATCAGGACAAGCTTGGGGAATGAAAGCTTCTCGCCATTGGACGTAAAGTGAGTCTTGAGTTTTTCATAGACGCCAAAGCGGGTTGTTGAGTATGTTGCTGTAGGGACATCAAGGTTAGTATATAACGCGCGCTATGTTGCGGAGTAGAAATGGCATCTAACCTTGTCGCAGTAGACTTGCTGAGAGCTGTTTATAACACGTAACGTTAGGACAGATATAATATATGCCGGGGGCTGAACCGTTCCAGGACTTATGTACTAACCCCACTATATAGCGCCAGAAATCCTACAGAAAGTTAGGATCGTATGCATATTACTCATTCAAAGAGATCTCATATATACCTTCATGTCGCGCAACATTCATAAATGTCCCAAACATAGTTGGTTTTATACCGGGCGCCTTTGCAGCTGTCTGCAATCTGACCTGTGGCGCGGATAAATATATGCATCAGCTCTGCAACGGTTTGCGATTAAACTTTATAGAAAAGTACCTTTACTAGATCTCTATCTCATTAATAATAATATATGTTAGCGTCCAATTCTTCCCACTTCATTATATAGGGGAACATTCGTATATACATACAAAGGGTGTGTAAGAATTGCAGCCATGCAACTGGAACTGCCCCCGAGCCAAAAAGGATACACCAGCGGTTGTTTTGGTCTCTTGTCCATTGCTATTTTGGTTTGTTTATCGTGATGTTGGATAGTTGTATAGTAGCGACCACCTACGTAATTCCCAGAACAACCTGATATGTTAGTGTCGTCTGGTGTGGAATTGGTGCGAGGCGCACGTGAGCTTTGTCCGTAGTTAGTTTGCGGGACAGGGACTCGATTCCGGAACGGACCGAAAAGATAGGGCTTAGGGTTTATCTGATAAAGGCCCCCCTTTTCGAGGGCGAGTGAGGGATGGTGATCGATCCTATCGTAAAGTGTTGCGGTAATACGGTATGCATGCGATTCGACGTAATAATTGTTAGGAAATAAGCTGCCAATTGCTGGTGATGTCTTCATGCCAAAGACATTTAACCGGTCCAATGTGCAACCAAGGAAATCTAATAATCCAACAACGCATTCTTGATTTGACGACTCTCATTGTCAGGGAACAAAATTGTGGCCTTCTCTTAAAGACAAGTATTCTTAGTCATTGTATATTAGCAATCCTCATCATCCTCGATGATGAGGGACACACATAATCATAATACCTTTAAAACCGTTTATCGGATCAGATAGCGTGACTTAGTGTTGTTGGGAACCAGGTCAAATTATCGTCAATCACACTCATAATGGCAAATAAGTATTGCGGCATTTAGATGTTCTCGCTAATTGCAACTTATCTTTTACTAGTACTTTTATTGGGTCTCTAAATATATGTTGGAAAATATTGTCTTCCTCTAGATCTAGTACATGAAGCTGGGCAGAGAAGACTTGATATTCATTTGGAAATCAACAAACCCAAATGACCCATATATACAAACACGGCGCGGCGCAATGAGTCCCAACACCCGCAGCTCCCGCCGCCATCATCACCAGCAGTCACATTACCAATTCTGTAAGTTCTTCCTCCAGACTCATCAACTTAGGAAGGTTATATAGCTTCATCACTAAACCCATTATGGATTGATTATAGCGGCTTGGTTACCGCCATCACCGCCACTATAGCTATCGGTAGCAATATAAGTACATACATGTAGTTCTCGAGTTTTCTAAAGCTTATGCTCGATCCCACCTCCTGCTGATTCTGTAACCTACTCGTAGGGGATGAGCACTAGACTAATTCGACTCGAGCGTAGATAGATCTACAATATGCCAGTACTATACTGCTCTAGATCTTTGTCGCTTATCGCTCTTTTCATAAAACTTGGCCGGGGGAACTTTCACACATATATAGTGCTATATGAGGAACCTTAAAGTGATTAACTACTTGGGCAATCCGGATGGCCTTGTTAGGGAACCCTTTGGAAGGTTTAATTTCAGATACTTGTGCAATGTGATTTGCCTGACTAGGTAATCGGTTTGAGGTCTATATAATGTGTGTGAAAGTTGACGCGACCCAGTTTTATGAAAACGGCTGTAACTGTCATCACCAACGATACTTGGTAAAGGTTTACCCTTTACAGAAAGATAAGCTGGAGTGGAAATTTTTCAAGAGAAAAGACGCACGTACTCCAGTAATCGACTCACTAATTCTCTGGCTGTCGGAAGTTTCGCTCTGATCTCAGCGCGTATGGGCGCCCAGGCTTTTTAATGGACCGCCAGATATATGGGCCGGACCGGTCCAAATATATAGGCGGTGGGCCGGTCTTTGATTTTTCTTTGCTGGGCTGGGCCGGTCCTGACGGTTTTTTGGACCGGTCAATCAGAGTAATATATGGACCGGTTTATGACTATATTTCTTCACCGATTGTGAGAAAAACAGGGTTCAAACTAACTTTTAGCTCTTTCGACTTGAATAAATATCTTTGGAGGGACCATATATTTATTTCTCTGTGACCGGTCCTGGCTCTATATGGGCCAGTCGGTCCGGGCCCACTCTTTGGTGGGGTGGGCTAGGCCAGTCCAAGATGAAATACAGACCGGTCCAGCCCATTAAAAAGCCTGTGGGCGCCCGACCAACTAGGAAGGTTTACATGTAGCAAATAATTTCGTTTTTGGTGGGCGTTTATAGTGCTTGTTCTTTCTTGCGATTGAGCCGGTTACTGCATGATCTCAGCTACTGCGACAGCATTCGCTCACGAAATATCACTCGATCTTGGCGGCCAACATGCATGTACTCTACATGCACTTACATGCATCATCAAGCTCGATTATTACATGCATGTAGAGGGTTATTACATGATGTAGTAATGCGAACTCCGAGCGACCTTGTATCACTCAAGTTATAAGATCGCACGTGATATATCCTTTGGTTAGCAGATATTGCAAGCACCACCATCAAAATTATTCGCATGTATCACCCTTTAGTTTGCTCAAGGTTCCCGCTGATAAACTTACTCGCTATACTAGGAACCCCAATACACGTATCTTCAGATATATGGGTTCTGGCCCTATACGTATACTGACTTAATCTCTAAGCGCCAGGTCTTAGCCGCTGCCGCTGATCACCCCTTTCCGTGAATCAGTGAATCATTGAAACATGTATCCTCCACTGGCTGGGCTCATGTCCAGGCCCAGGTCTAGGCCCAACCCCTAGGCCTGGGCGATCCTGTTAAGTCAAGATCTTCTTGCTTTTAAGGACGAGATGAGCACGCAAGGTGGCTTCTCGAGCAGACAACACTTCTCGCGCTCACATACTCCTAAATACCTCTTAGCCGCATAAAAACGCTTCTACATTCTCTTACCATATATATACACCATCATGGAAGCCTACTCAAGGGAATCATGCAATAATGGCCAGGCAGTCAAGATTCCCCGAGTCCACGATTCAATGGAAGACGTTCAACTCAGCTCAGGCATGGAAAACATGTGTATGCTGTACCCCGTCATTGGGAAATTATTTTTTCTGACCTTAGCTACCAGACGTATTTGCATCGCCTACAGAATACGGCCAATACCTCGCTCAGAGTTCTAAGAGCGAGTTCGAGAGGCTTACGCATACCGACAAATACGACAAATATTTTATAAATCTCGGCATTACCAAGAGTAGTATCCAGGGTGGTACGCAGGAAGAAAACCGAATGGTTAGGCAACGTTTTATGCATGCTTTGGTGGGGCAGCTCTGGATGGAAGGTCGCATCAAAATAGGTCGATATCAGTGTATGCAGGATACAAAATATTGAACATGGCAGCTACATGTAGTCGATTTAAAGTGTAAGATACATGTATACATATGTCCTCCGTCACGTCAACGTACTTGCTGGGTTATATGTTTCCATCGATGTCTATATTTTGTAGCTCTAGATCTACCCATGGTCAGTTAGGGAGCTCACACTTTCAACTAATCACTTACAACAACGTCACATTATACGGTAAACCTCATGATTCATCTCGCAGCCCGTTTTCTGGAGAAATTTGAGGCGATATATGTACTATATATACGTGATGTTTACGTACATACGTGTAGCTAGATATCTATCAGTATTGGGAGGCTTGGTTGCATCCACACACGCCCTGGCCTGTAAGGTAATCTTATGTCACTACCCATAAAAGGGTCCACCAAATAATTGGACGAGAATATATGATGCGCATTGTTATGCTCACATGCACGTGCACAACCTTGCATTTAGGGTCCAGTCCTAGGACCGATTACCCTGCTTTCCCCGGCTGATGCCCCTCATCCCTTCTGAGGGGCTCTGATTCACTAGGATCTTGTCTTGGCAAACTCATCATATCACGTGGAGATTAGTAGTTAGCACAGAAAAAATACCCCAAAGAAAGAAAAAAAAATTTCCCGTTCAACCATGAGCGACCGATTCTTGCACAGCGAGATCCCCCAAATGCGCAATTGATGTTTTCGCGTTGTCCATTCCTCTCTAAATATATTACAAATCACTCTCTTCTCATATAAATCCTCCCATCTCTCCCTCTTCCTCCCACCTCGCCCTCCCAATATCAAATAGTGGCGATTTAGTTGCCCTTCTCATTGATACAGAAAACAATGCTTGTGTGGGCAGCCACCAAAAGAGTCCCCCGTGACGTTATACGACACCACAATTCACTACCATCATCTGGACCAGGCTCATTATTCTCTTCTCGCCTCTCACCTTCGCCATTGGGAGGTGATTTTCAAAGTCGTCGGCCATCGTCAAATTCGAGGGCGCTGAAGACTCTCAACGCCATTGTCCAGGGTCGATCCCAGAGCATTCGCGGTTATTCCACTGCTACACCTCCATTCGCTGCTCCACATGCTGAAGCCTATGCGCCCAGCCGTTCTATAAACCCTAGATCTAATAACCGTTTATCCCACGAAATCCAACCACTCGATACTAACAAAGTAATCATCCTTGGCACCCCCGATGACCCGGCAGACATAGAGTCTCAGGTAAGAGGCAGAGACAAGAATGAATATATCGCACTTTTCTCAGTATGTCTGGAAAGCGGACACATTGCACGGGCGAGCAAAATGCTTATGCACATGAGCTCACTTTTAGCAAAAGATGCGCCGATACTTCTAAACGCGCACAATCTTTTCCTCAAAGCTCTTCTTGAAAGGTCCAGCAAGTCCGATGATCTGAAGGTATTCTTCATGTGGTACGACAAAATGAAGATGGAATATGAAATAGCGGGGGATTCGAATACGTTTGCCTTGATTCTCAAGGCGAGTTTAAAGTATGAGCCCGAGGCCGGACAGACTTACATCAACAAGTATGTGCAGCAGTGGAAGGCCACGGGCAACTCAATTGGAGACGTACTGGTTGACCCAGTACTGACTGATGAAGAAGTCGTCAAGATTGCAAAGGTGCCACCTTCTTGAAGCATCCTCTCCAACTTGTTTTGTCTTGTCTAACTGGTTCGCAGATTGCTTTCCTCCGTGTCTCCGAACTCCATGAAAGTCACCGCCACCTATTCGAGACTGTTCCCCAAAGAGAGTTGCCAGAGATCAAATCTGTTCCCTCCAGCGGTCATGGTCTTGCAGCTGTCCAGCAATCCATTCGGTCTCTAGTCGATCCTAAATACATGCCTGAATCGTTCTCAATCTCCGGCCAGGAAAATCTTGCGTTACAAATCGAGCGCCAGCGTCTTCTGGAAGAAGATGCATGGGAGTCCGCCCAAGATCGTTGGAAAAAGGATCACGAAACCATGCGTGCCCGTGGGGTGCTAGCTGTTAACTCATCGCTCAACTCGCTACTTTGGGAATGGCACCAATCTTTTGTCCCGCTTATTATTGAAGAGTTGAACAAGGTCCGAATTGCTGAGCAAGAACCACGGGCCATGGGCGCGGTGGATCGGTGTTTATACGGGCCTTTCCTACGGATGCTTCCTCCAAATAAAGTCGCAGCCATCGTGATGGTAGAATTGCTAAAGGTGCATAACAGCTCTGCTGGGGCGTTGAAGACGAGCAAAGCTGTTATGCATGTGGGGAACATGTTGGAGGCTGAGTATCTGGCGCAGGAGATACAAAGGAAAGAAAATAAGGAGATCTTCGCTAATGTGAGAAATAAAGAGAACATTGGAGAGATTTTTCAGAACGATAAACTATTATGGGCCAAATTAATCAGAGAGGCTAGGGAAGCAGTTCCTCTAGATATGCAGTCTGGTGGTCACTTGCTACCGGAATGGCCAGTCAAGATTAAGGCAAAGGTATCCATTGAAAAGCCTCTTTAGAGGTAAAAGCGTCCCTGTAAAACTCGTGCTAACTATATTTATAGCTAGGTGCGGTCCTGTTGACCATGCTGCTTCACTGCGCAAAGGCCCCCGTTAGAAAAATAAATAAAGATGGCGAGAGTGTCGAACTTCCCATTCCAGCATTTTATCACACATACAAATATATCAAGGGAAAGAAGCTTGGCCTTATTACCCTCGATTCAACTCTTCTAAAACGTCTGGGTACTGAAGATCTTAGGCAAGGATTCTTGGGCCGAAATCTTCCTATGGTCGTCCCTCCGCGGGAGTGGAAATCCTGGGAAAGAGGAGGTTATTATTACACTCAATCTAAAGCTGTTCGTACAAAGGGCGCTCGCGAGCAAACAGATTATGTCAAAACTGCATCAGAGAGGGGTGATTTGAACGAGCTATTTGCGTCGCTTGATGTCCTAGGAAAAACAGCATGGAGGATCAATAGGAAAGTTTTCGATGTAGTTATCAAGGTTTGGAATTCCGAGGAGGAGTTTGGTGATATTCCCCCAGCAGCCAAAGAGCTGGTATTGCCGCCAGAACCGGCGGCAAATCTAGATCCAAAGGTCAGATACGAGTGGATACAATCTGTACGAGCGATGCAAGTCGAGGCGATGAACAATCATTCAAAGAGATGTAGTGTGAACTTCAAAGTCGAGATCGCGAGAGCTGTGAGCTTTCCCCATTTCATTCCTATACTCTGTCGGGACAACCGCTGACTTGGAATAGTTCTTATATGACAAATTCTACTTTCCTCATAACGTTGATTTTCGAGGCCGTGCTTATCCGATTCCGCCAAATTTGAACCACATTGGAGACGATCTTTCTAGGGGGCTCCTGCAGTTTGATACAGGGAAACCATTGGGTGAAAACGGACTCAAGTGGTTGAAGATTCATCTTGCGAATCTTTGCGGTTTCGACAAAGCCAGTTTCGAGGAGCGAGCAGCGTATGCCGATGAGCACAGGGAAGATATCATAGACTCGGCCACCGACCCTCTGGGGGTAAGAGACTCCGATTCCTCACAAACACTGAATTACGAAACTAACAATTAATAGGGGAAAAGATGGTGGCTCAAGGTCGAAGATCCTTGGCAGTGTCTTGCGACGTGCTTCACATTGAAAGAGATTTATGAATGTGAGGATCCCAGTCAATACATTTGCAATATTCCCGTCGCCCAAGACGGTACCTGCAATGGTCTACAGCATTATGCCGCGTTGGGAGGAGACATGATGGGAGCAGCTCAAGTGAATCTCATACCCGCGGAAAGGCCTTCCGATGTCTACACTGGTGTGTCCGAGCTAGTTACAGCAGCCGTCAAGCGTGATGCTGAAAATGGCGACGAAATGGCCAAAATTCTGCAGGACAAGATTTCCAGAAAGGTTGTCAAGCAGACAGTCATGACAAACGTCTACGGTGTTACATTCATCGGAGCAAAGGATCAGATTATGGGCCAGCTCAAAGATTTACCCTCGTTGGCTGAGTACAAACAAGGGAACCCAAAGTTTTCATTTCCTCAAATGGCTCTTTATCTCACGAATAAGGTTTTTGACTCTATTTCCACCATGTTTTACGGGGCAAGTCGAATCCAGGAATGGTTAGGGTCTTCTGCAAAACGAATTTCATTGTCAGTTTCCCCTAGCCAAATAGACCAGAGTATTTCGAATGAGGATACTCCCACGCCGGAGAAACCAAAAAAGAAGTCGAAAAAGGGTAAGGATGAGGGTGGCGATGTAGAGTTACCCCCAAGCCGAAAGAAGAAGGATATACACTTCATGACGAGTGTGGTCTGGACAACTCCCCTGAGACTTCCAGTCGTGCAGCCATATAGACATGACAAAGTACAGCTTGTCATTACCAACCTTCAGAACGTTTACATCACCGATCCCTCTGTCATTGACGAGATCAACTCAAGGAAACAGATGATGGCGTTCCCGCCGAACTTCATTCACTCTCTTGACGCGACCCATATGCTCATGAGTGCAAAGAGATGTCACGACGAGAACCTTACATTCGCGAGTGTTCACGACTCCTTCTGGACTCATCCGTCAGATGTTGATACGCTAAATCGAATCTTGCGAGAAGCTTTCATTGATCTGCACTCAAGTGAGGTCATGAACAATCTCAAGGCCGAATTTGAGGTTCGTTACAAAGGTCACATGTATCTCGCCTCACTCGACGCTGCGCATCCTATCTCGGCTGCTGTCAAGGTGCTCCGGGACACCTACAGCAGAGACGTTCTTAAGAAGAGAGTCAGCAGCAGAGGAGTAGCGACTCTTACTTTGATAGAGGATCTCCACTGGGAGAGACAGAGAGCCCTTCTCCTCGAAAGTGAGAACGAAGAGGAGAGGAAGATGGGAGAGGAAATGATCACACCTAGTGTTCTAGTAGAGAGAATGGGCGGGCTCGGAAGCCTTGGGGAGGAGACGCCTGAAGAGACCGAATCGGAGCACCCAGAAGGGGAAGACCATGATCTTGAGCTTCATACACTCAACCCTGTGTTGGCCGACAGTGAAACGGCTGTTGATGAAACTATGAGTCCCAACTTGGCGGGTGACGAAGAACTTGAGCAAGGAAAGACAAAGACAGAGAGCGCGTCGAAACAAAAGCCTCAAGTGACTCGTATCTGGATGCCTCTGAAGTTTCCAGACCTACCACCAAAGGTAAGCCCTTCAAAAATAGTCCCCATCATTGAGACGAGATAGAATGCTAATTTATTTCATCAATTTAAGGGCGAATTCAAAGTCGAGGATCTCAAGAGTAGTAAATATTTCTTCTCGTAAGAGTGGGTGTTTTCGGGGCGTTTTTTTTTTTTTTTTTTTCCTTCTGCATTTTGATTTATTCAAAGGACGTTTTTTTTTTTTTGGGGGGGGGGAGGTCTCCAATCAACCCCATTCTTTTCTTCTTTCTTTTCCCTTCGTCTCATGGGATAGAGCATTAAAAAAAACTGTTCCTGGTTCTGTTTCTGTTTCCTTTCCTCTGCGGTTGCATGGTAGTTCTTTGCCATTACATGTATTTGGTGTATTTCGGGCGGCCATATTTCTTTCCTCCTCTTCTTCTTTTGATGTATGATATGTTATCTCGGTGTGTATATGGGTGGAAGTACTACAAAATTTCTTGTTTATCTTTTTTTTGTGCGGGGGATGTAGTGCATTCCTATACGGAACCATAGAGGCAGGCATTGGCATGACAATTTCAAAAAGCTGGTGTTTAACTAAAAAAAAACTGAGCACATGTGCCACTTCCCTTGAAGCGTCTCAGTGAAATTATTCTACTGGGCCCGTATCTGGCTGTAGTCATATTGATACCGTCGCCAGAATAGACCTTCTTTCTCTCCGTGACGATGCCTTCTCGCCAATAGAAGACCCGCCCTTTCCAGTACTCTACGCAGATGTACGTCCGGACACCTATACTTACAAGGTATTGCTACTGTTGCGGCAATAAGCACAAGCATTTTATGATCTCGAGCGTTAGGTCTGTAGTTGAGCTTGGTATTGCCCGTTTGAGCTGTGGGTTCTGTACTGGGGTATTGTGAGTGGTCTCTCAATCTCATGGTGTGCCTGTGTGTGTTTTCTAGGGATGGGCGTGGTGCAAGACTTCAGCTACATGGTCTAATATGGTGGCTTGTCGTACTACTACGGGGTTAGGGGAATTATCTTTGAACTTGCACCAAATATCACTTCCGGCCGCTAACACACATGGGCGAGTGGTGGTCTAATGGTTATCACTCGCCCCCCGGAACACCGCGAGGTTGTGCCTTGCCTTCGATCACAGGAGGTCCACGGTTCAACCCAGGGGTGGGAGTAGCAGATATGGCTAGACCATCAATGCAGTACTTTTTGTAATTTTTGTGTAGGAAACCCCCTAACCTTAGTTTTCCAACCATGGAAGCTCTTCCTGACTGATGTGGGAAACTAAAAGGTGGAGAATTCTTTTTTCTTTTTTCTTTCTTTTTTTTCATCTGTCATGTCTTCTTACCATATTTTTTTATTATATAAAATTAAAAGAAGCTACATTGTAGCGGCGGTGAGATGCGTTTACAATATACTAAAAGTTGCCAAGGCAGATTTTGGGCGTGACCAACCCATGTGAGTGGAGAGAACATACCAGCCATTGCCGTTGAGCGTCGGTTTAACGTCTTCTACGTACTCGATATATTTACCATATGGGGGTAACGTTAAATATGGGATGCTCTTTTTTTTTTTTCTCTTCATACTGATACCCGCCCGCGGTCATACACAAAAAGAAAAAAATTACAAAAAGTACTGCATTGATGGTCTAGCCATATCTGCTACTCCCACCCCTGGGTTGAACCGTGGACCTCCTGTGATCGAAGGCAAGGCACAACCTCGCGGTGTTCCGGGGGGCGAGTGATAACCATTAGACCACCACTCGCCCATGTGTGTTAGCGGCCGGAAGTGGTATTTGGCTGATTGGGTGCTGGGGGGGGAGTGAGTCAGGTGACCAGCCCTACACTGTCATGTAGTAGGCGGGCTCTCGCTGTTTCTTGCCCACGGGGACGGACGCCTTCACAGATCCCGTGGAAAACGTACTGCAGATGGTTAGGGACTACATGTGTGTATCTGTTTCTTTCTATTTTACTGAGGTGGCGGATCAGGGTTGTCTTTGGGACTGGAAACCAAAGTTTGGGTTTCTTCGATAACCCGGTGTCTTCTCAAAAAAAACAATACGGACAGAAAAAGCGACAGTAGGGTCATAACGCATACACCGAGAGGCATACCTGTAATTCCCCATACCGATGGAACTTGGATGTTCCGCTAACAAGCCATAATGAGGCTATTGTGCTAATATCACAAACTCGAACCAACACCAACCTCCAAACACCATCCCGCAGCGCCAGCATCACAACCCATCACTCGCCCCCAGGCCAAGCATTTCCAACACAACCAACCATCAACGATCCATCCTAAGATTCCAACATTCCAACATCCCACCATATTCCACCCCCACCTCTCACATCACCACCCACGCCGCCAATACACACACGCACAATGGCGCCGTCATCCCGCCTCCACATCACGCTCAACAGATCCCCCGACAAGACCATCCACACGCACACCTACAACCACCGCGTCGACCTCGTCCTCCCCACCGACCTCTACACCCTCATCGCCGCCGACCTCGCGGCCACGCTCGCGCAGCCGCTGCGGTGCTGGCGCTTTAAGGCGCCGCTGTCGGCGCTGCTGGAGTCGGGGTTTCTGAATAAGTATATCAAGTCGGGTTCGTTCGGGCGCTGGCAATTGGTGGTGAGGTGGGGGTTAACGGCGTGTGAATAAATGTAGGAGACGTGATTATGCTATCCCAGGGAAGGGTCGATACGGATAACATCTATACCCTCACCTCTGGGACCCTACGGCTCTCGCTGCGGCATGAGACTTATGAGACCGCGGGTCTGGTCGGGAAGCCTGCGCGCTTTGGTAACACCGCCGGTAGCAAGCGGCCACGGCGATACCGTACGCCCCTCCCTCCCTCCCCGCTCCCCCACTCCCCCATCCCTCCCTCAAAAACTGAAGATTAGGAAAACAGTGGTCGAACACAACCTCCGCGACCCAAGCATGTTCCCCGGTAAAAAGAACTTCGACCGCCTCGTCTGGAGCTTCACAAACGTCCTCAAGGACCCCGTGACATGGCTGTTCTGCGACCTCAACCAGGCCAAGATGCCAGACACCGTGTCGTGCCCCGTGCTGTCGGCACTGTCAGCGCTGCCGCGCGAGATACAGGTACCAGTTGTTGCGGCCACGACGGATGTGCTGGTTCCCGGTTTGATGGTGCCGGAGGGCTCGCGGATCGCCGGTGGGGGGAAGTCGGTGAAGGCGGAGTTCCACCGCGAGGTGTGGCGCGAGTGGGCGCTGGGCGTGTATGAGTGGCTTGCGCTGGTGATGGTGGGGTCGGATGCGGCGGCGGATCGGCTGAGGGTGGGGGACAGCGTGGATCCGCTGCTGTCGACGTATGAGGTTGAGGACGGGGTGGCGGGGAGTGTGACGAGGTTGACGTGGCGGGGGATGGTGCCTGCTGCGTGGATTGGGCGGCTGTGGAGGGCTGTGAAGTAAGTCGTTCTTCCAAGTGTGGTGTTTGCGAGTATACTGATGAGAGGTTATACAGTGCTTCAATGGACGGGAAGGACGGCTGGGCGGCCATCACAGTGCATGGCTTTGAGAATTCCCCGATCAGTTGGGGTGCGAATGCGCATGGTTCACTCAATGGCGGCGAGAACGGGTATACGGTACTCAGACTACCGGGCGAGGGCTGTGCGGGGGATAAGAGCGGTAGATGTATAATCTACGAGGCCCTGGGCAGCCAGGACGAATACTCGTGAACTTCTAGCTCCACTGTGCGCTGTATATATAACTGTAATTGTAGATGCAAGTTGTTGGCTGCTCGGGATGGTATAAGCCCTGTATATATCCTAGGGTCATCAGCAGGTAAGCTGTGGGTTTGAACTCTTGGCCGATTGAGAAGACGGCCACCATCCCCCGCCGAATGATTGACCCTGTCATGGTCAACAAGACTTTGGCCATACCCCAATCCCAAGAGAAACTGGAGTGGGACGCTCGACGTTTCAAACGCCCGTTCTACTAGGAACAAGCAGGTCAAATGCCTCATGTGGTAGCCAATCGACACCCAAAACTGTTGGCGCCGCGAAGAGGACTGCATGCTCAAAGGAAAGAGAAACCCCGTGTCCTCGCGGAAGGACCAAGTATACTTCCCACAGCCACGTCGAGGTTGCCAGCTTGGAGCACACGTACGCTAGCTGTGAAACGTGGTCTATACATCCCACATTCTCTCTCTATCGGGGCGGGTGAAGGAGTGTTGCGGAGTCGTGGGATCTCACTCGTTCATGTAGAGCATTTAGATTTCTGTTTGGTTCATTTAATTGATTTCTGCGCACATTTTTCATATTTATGTTACCACTGTCACAGCTTTGAGCATATGCAAGTGTTTGGTCTTTTTACTGTCTAGATATAGATGTTTCTAAAGCCAATTAGTATCTTGATAATTGTTGATCATGAAGCCTCAGATGCTGCCGTATTTGGTCCGTTCGCGAACAGCATCTATATAAATACGAGATGTCAGTCCCTCTGTAATATCCGGTATATTTAGGGCTTGATATGTAGATGAATCTGTCAGATCACTATTGTTTCAATGAAAGCCTTTAGAGTTCCATATCGTCAGTAGATAGGCATCCCAATACCCAACACCAAAAGAGAACGCACATCTCCTGATTTCACAACTTCCCCGCATAGCCAGCATCCACCCACAACTAATTCGCAAGCCCACGCCCCGGCCCCAAGCGAGTGATATCTCGTGTATATGCATATCCACTCCAACAAGAACAACAAGGATACCACAGAGCCTCACCACGTCTCCAAAGGTCAAACCCCAAGCTCCCACAACCCAATCCCACCACCGCAACACACAATGGTCTCCCTCCTCTGCAACCCCCTCGCCACCGCCGAGCAGCTCGCCTCCTCCCCCAGCCGGTCCGACGGCGTCCCCGCCGACCTCGAAACCACCCTCCGCTGGGCCGGCTGCACGCTCATCCAGTCCGCCGGAATCCTCCTGCAACTGTCAGACCCCCCCCCCCCCCTCCCCTCTCCTCTCCCCCATAGACAGCCATACTAACCCCCCCCCCGAATCTCACAGACCGCAAAAGACAATCGCCACAGCCTCAATCCTCTTCCAGCGCTTCTACCTCCTCTCCAGCCTGCGCGCCTACCCCCTCCTCCCCACCGTCCACGGCGCCCTCTACCTGTCCACAAAGCTCACCGAGCACCCCACCAAGCCGCGCGACATCATCAACGTCACGTCCTACCTCCTCTCGTGCCCGTCGCCCTCCCCCATCTCCCCGCCCCCCTCAAAATCCCACCCCGCCGCGGTAACCCCCGAGCAGTACTACGTCTCCGAGTCGACCTACTACACCGCGCGCACCGCGCTCCTCGCCGCCGAGACACAGATACTCAGGGCAACGGGCTTCCAGACGGCCGTCAGCCTGCCGTATGCGCTGGCCATCAACTATCTGCAGGCGCTGGACGCGCTGGACGGCGGCGTGGTGAGGCGGGCGTTTGGGTATCTGACGGATGCGCTGGTGAGCCCCGGGTTGCTGTATCTGACGCATCAGCCGAACTCGCTGGCGGTTGCGGCGGCGTATTTGGCGGCGAGGGAGGAGGGCGTGAAGTTGCCGGGGGGGTGGTGGGAGGTGTTTGATGTGGAGAGGGAGGAGTTGGGGTTTTTGGTGGTGGGTATGAAGGGCGTGACGGAGTTTGTGGAGAAGCAGGTGAAGGTGTGGAGGAGGGAGGGAGGGTTATGGGGGGTTGATGAATTGGAAATGGCATTGGAGAGGAGAAGGGTCTTGGATGAGGCTATGGAAGAGTAGCTGTAGTTAATCTTGATTTCATAGAGGCAATTGGCGTTATGTTTTTTTAGTCGACTAATTTATAAAGTTACGCATTACTATCCATAATCAAGCACATCTTATAATGTAGTTTAGTGACTTTTGAAAGATCCAATGCCATACATTTCTGACAACTATCTCTACTGGCCCTCATGATAGCTAAATAGCTTTACAAAATCCATGGAATCATAACCTTCTTCTTCTTGTAGGCACTCCCAAACTCCTTCCTGTATCTCCTCTCCTTCTTCATTGCCCATTTGGCCATAGTAAACCCACCCACGGCGATAAAGAGACCCACTGACCAGTTTCCTCCCGAAATAAGCCATACCGCCAACCAGCCCAAAACCTCGAAGCTATAGTTCGGGCACGTGACCGTGTTGAACCCATAGCCCGTTGGGATAGCTCTCTTGGTCGATCCCTCAGGGCGGAGTGAGCGCAATGTCATGTGGGTCGCAAGATTTGAAAGCTGCGCAAACACCCACAGCGCAATGCCACCGTAAAGAACCGCGGGGTTATTCTCAGCGCGGAGGGAACTTGGCCACCAAGAGCCAGCAGTGGTGGGTTCAGGCGTGTAAAAGAACAGCGCCATCAAAATACCGCTCAGGATCCAGTAATGCGCGGAATTGCGGAATACATAATTAAACGGCATGGTGTTTGCCGAGAAGCGGTGGACAAACGTGGTTTCAAGCTCGCGTTTGACAAAGTGCAGGGTTGTAAGTATGCACAGTACCTTCTGGACTGTTGTTGCTGGTGGTATAACATCTGCTGTAGGGAAGTATGGGATGTGGGAGAGGGGGTTAAGAGGTGAGCTGGAGTATAGGTAAGGGCGGAGATAAAGCAATGTCAAAGGGTGCATGATAATAGGCCCGATGTATTCGATCTGAAAGACTGTGCGCCAGCCTATCTGAGGACCTTTGGGCAAAGATTAGTACTCTACGTCATGCGAGCAGGGGGTATGGTATGAGAAGACCTACCTAAATCTTTGACGAAGATCACGCTGTCTTTCAGGAGTCCGAGCTCCTCTACCATAACATCTTTCCCGGAATCCTTCTTTACGGCAATAACGCTACCATCACTACCCTTTGTGAGTCTCAGACGGTCACAGGAAAGGCCAGTTGTTGCAGAAAGGCGCGTGTAGAGCGATTCCGTAGTGCAGGTTGCCAGATCAATCTCAATTGATGATGGGAGTTTCCTAATGGGACGACCTAGTGGATATCCGGGAGTGTCAGCAGAAGCCTCTCTCTCTCTAGCAATCAACTAGGGAAAAAAAAAGCATACCCCTAGGTTTAATCTGAAGGGAAATCATTGCAATTGATAATGGTTGATAGGATGGGCCGACGATGTGGGATAAGGAGTTGAATTCACAGAACTAGATCTGGGACAGTCTTATGTGAAGAATCGAGACTGGAAAGAGTCCCGAGCTGGCTCTTTTTTTTTTTCATTTTCTTGGCGCGTAGATACCGTGTCCAGTTTTGTTGTTGGGGCCTCGGCTGACGTATGTGGAAAGGCATGGATCACTCAACAGTTGTGTTTTGATACGAGAGCGACGAGAGCCAGAGATACGAAGTTGCATGTCACATGTCGGCGGATAGACAGAAAGATCTGGGTTTAGTTATTACTATAGTATTCTGTCGTGGTAGCTGTGTTAGTTGTGTTAGACCTCGAGATTGACAAAGAGCTCATTCACGCAGTAGAAGCACGTGTCCATTGTCTGGGATCACGGCTTGACCCTCGATTATTCTATCTTTGGGACAGGTATTCTGGACAAATCCACGGAAACAAACATGTCCCTGGTCACAAAGGGTTGGCCGGCGGCTGTACCGTATTCGCGGTACGTCAACCGCCCGACGGTAGATCACACTCGACGCGCCGCGCCGTCAGGTGATACTGCATGGTTGTGACTTGGAACAGCAGTATGCACTCCGCAACTGTCTGTAGATGGCAAGCTTAGCCTGGTAAACCAATCTTATGTAATGGCGCTCTTCTAATCTCATCTGCCTGTGGTCGTTGTAGTAGACTTTATGGAAATATTTTGCCAATAGACCAACACACGTGTGTTTTTAAGTGTTTTGAGAGTGGTCGTGGTCAAGGCACATCATCGCGGTGATTGTTAATAGGATTGGGCTGTCCGCGATGTCGACAGTGTGGGGGACGGAGAGATCCGATTGATAGGAACAAGTCTTCTCAAGCTTAAGCGTTGTGTGAGATATGGAGGCTGGGGAAAAGGTATGCACGGAATGACAACATCTTCTTGAGAGACAGGTGCAGACTGACCGCGACAACCGTTGTCCCCAGGGTTTGATACCTAGAACCAGAACACAATCGATGTATCGGTTCAGACTTGAGCTTCGGAGGAGAGAGAGGCATGTGTGATGTGCACACAACTGTCTGTAAAACAGAGCACTCCTGTAAAGCAGAGCACTCTACTCTAGAGCATGTTTGAACTAAATCTAAAGCTCCAGCCAGGTTCTTCCCCCACCACATGCCAAGCGTCGCAAGAGGTCTATCCGTCTCCCGAGTCCAGTTAGCCAAATTCGTTCGCTTCTTTGCATTTCGCCATCCGATGATGGATGGTTCGGTAATCCTGGTACGCACAGGAACCCCTCGCCGCCAAACTGCTCAAACTCCATCGATCATCGAGCTCTCGTCATAATATGGCCTTGACCTTGACCTTCTAATGCTCTCCTCTTCATCACCCCTCCTCATCTCTCAATCCCATCCTCCCTTCCTTTTTTCCTTCATCTACCTTCTCAACTATCTCTTATTCAGAAGGCACATCTTTGTCACTCTCTAGTACGGCGTGCCCTACTGTACTACACACATTATACTCTATTGTCAAAGGTATGCGAGAGACCAGATTGATACATCGCGCCCTTAGTTCTTCTAGCGTGCTTGTTCATTCCCGCTTTGCCAATTCTGAACACGCAGCCCATTCCGTCACGTTGCCAGTGATGCTCCACACCCTAAAACGTTCAATACCCAACGGGAGTCCGTGCCTGCCAACTCCCCTCCTCGTACACCCTTGCCATTGCTCAGCTTTTGCCTTATCCTACCTTCCTTCAGTAAACCAGTCAATCGGTCAACCCTCGCCGCCCCCAGTCATCCCTTGTCCCGTCCCTCCTCCCACCCTCCGATTATCTGTTCCATAAAACCTTCCCCCCGTTCGAATCTCAATCCCTCAATCCAACCCTTTTCTTTTTCGTCCATTTGGACACATACATGTCTCTGTCCTAGTCAAGTCTCTCTCTAACAAGTGTATCTGATTAGCCCACCCCTCTCCTTAGCCCGGAGAGCCAAACCCTGCCCCTCCAACCAATCGACATTGCGCACAATATTGTGGTATCAAATAAAACCCACAGACATCCCCCCCGTCTATCCCACCAAAGGGAAAAAAAAACCTCTCACCCTCCCTAATAACGATCTCTTACTCTCTTCCATTCCTACCTCTCGTTGTGACCCTTCCTTTCTTTCCCATCATCCATCGACTCTCCCTTCTTCTTCTACTACTACTACTACCCGCCTCTCCCTTGACTACCATCGCCTATTACTCCAATAACTGCGCGCTCCGACGCAACTTCAATATAGACATCGCTTGCAGTCGCTTGCTCCACAAGACTGAAACGGTGATCTCACAAAAGCTGGCAAGCAGAGCTAGCAGTCAATATACATTACAACTCATCACAGTCCCTCCTTGAGATTCGTATTTCGTTGATTCCATTAATCAACCGTCTCCAGATACAAGGGAAAAAGAGGAAAAGAAAAGGAAAAAAGAGGATCCAATCCAATTTTCTTCTTTACTTTTCAACTTGCTACTGCGTTTTTTTTTTTTTTTTTGGATAACGTTTCAAATCAATCAATCCAACCTCTCTCTCTTCTAACTACTACCAACTGCTTGAATTTCTACTTCTTACGACTGCATTTGAAAACGTACTTGCAACGAATTGAAAAAAATATTGAAACAAAGCTATTCGACATTTGGTATGCTACATGAGTTGTTTTGTTGCTTCGCCTCACGTATTACATTGTAATTGTTTTCTGATAAGGAGGTACTTGAAATTTGGTTTCTCGTCTAGATTTCTCAGGTATAATCGGCATTGATCTCCGGTTTTGCCCTGGTCAAATATTCCGCCATAGTTTAAATCAACTGAACGGTCTCTTTTATTAAGGTAATTCCCCGTCGATTCATTATTAATCTACTGTACTGTTACATAGAAAGCCCAGACCATCCCATCCTGAATTAGTAACCCAAATAAAGACTACCGCCAACTGAGCTTTTGTCTGTTCAGATTGTATTTTGAAAAGAATGTTTGGCTAACTCGAAAACATTTTACACCCCCCCATTAGTAACGAGAAAATGGAGCAACAACAGCAGCAGAACAACAATCTGCAGCCTACTGGACCGGGAGGTCGCAGGCTGCATATTGCACATAGGAGGTCGCCTTCGGAGCTGACCCCGCTCATGAGTATGTCTATTTCTCTTCATCATCAGGCAGAGGCCAACAAAGCTACCCAAAACCCGTTCCGTCCCCAAGGATCCAGAGGAGGTGGAATAGACCCTGCCTATCATGAAGCATGCTTACAGAGGAGCGCAGTGGAGCAATTGGCTCTTCAGCAACAGATCGAGATGCTGCAAGCACAGCAACAACAGATGATCTCAGCGCATCAACAGTACGCAAACATGGGACTGATCCCGCCTGGACAGGCTCATCTACAGCAACAGGGTTTCAACATCCAACATCAAATCCCAAATATTTCACCCCAACAACAGCAGGGAAGCTTCCAGTTCCCTCAGCATCAGCAAGGTTCCGCGCCACAGGGTGCTCCTACTCAGCCTTCTGCCCATAGGCGCAACCAATCTGCTATGCCAGGCATGAGTGCTGCTGCTGGCGGACCTCCCCCAGCCCCTTCATCGGGTGCTGCCGGAGCTTTTGGTGAATTCTCCCTAGGACACTCTAACTCAACAGGAAGCGGTGGTGCTGCACCTCAGCGCCGACCAGCCGGTGGACCAGCCGGACAAGGCGGTGCTGCCCCCAGTGGCCATCAACGTAGACACTCACTTGCTCTCCCCGAAGCGATTCAAGCTGCTCAATTGGCACAAGCACAGAGGGGACAGGGCAATTTTCAATTCCCTCCTCCTGGAGCAGCAGCGACCAGCGGTGCTAGCCCAACATCTACTCCGGCGCCTGCTGGAGAAAGCTCCAGCCCTGCAACTACTAACAGCTCAGTACCTGCTACAACGACCACTCCCCCAATCAACAAACCTGCTTCACTTGCGCCTCCTAGACCCGGGGGAAGAGGTGGGCACGGAAGAAGCCAGAGTCTTGCGGTTATGAACGGCAGGAACAACAACCCTGTAGGTGGTAATCGCATTGGAGGTTTTCAGTTCCCCCCACCTATGGCTACGAATGATGCCGGTGCAGGAGCAGCCTCTTCAGGACAAGGTGGAAATCAACAGGGCGGGAATGTGGAGCGTCGTGGCAGTAACTCTGGGTTCCAAGGTCATAACCGCCAGGGCTCAAGAAATTATGAGGGTAACTGGCGCAACCAGAACCAGAACCAGAATCAACAGCAGGGTCATCAGCCAGTTGCTTCGGTCGACCTTCAGAACCTTCAAGGCATGGGATTTCAACCGGGACACCGGGCGAGGGCTTCGATTGGGGCTTTCTCTTTCCCTGCCCAACAGGGACTGATGCTTCCTGGACCTGGGCAAAATATATTTATGGGACAGCCCATTCTCAACCCGGGATTGTTGCAGCAACAAACACTCAACCAGCTTCAGATGCAACAGGCAGCATTGAACGCCCAAAGCATGACACTCGGACAGATGGGCCAGGTTGGAGGACCGAATATGTCTAATCAGCAGCAGCAACAGCAGAGGAAGACTTTGTTCACTCCCTATCTTCCGCAAGCTAACTTGCCGGCGCTCTTGGCAGATGGTCAATTGGTGTCTGGTATCTTGAGGGTCAATAAGAAGAACAGAAGTGACGCGTATGTTTCTACTCAGGATGGACTCTTGGATGCCGACATCTTCATTTGTGGAAGTAAGGACCGAAACAGGGCCTTGGAAGGTGATTTGGTTGCCGTCGAGCTTCTCGATGTCGATGAAGTTTGGGGTCAGAAGCGCGAGAAAGAGGAAAAGAAAAAGCGCAAAGACATTAGTGACACTAGAGGGGGCCCTTCAAATGCACCTACTAGTACTTCCGCCGACACCGGTGCTAATACAGACGGTGTTCAAGAGCAAACAGGAGGTATCAAGAGGAGAGGAAGTCTCCGTCAACGACCTACCCAGAAGAAGAACGATGATGTTGAGGTGGAGGGGCAGAGCTTGCTTTTGGTCGAAGAGGAGGAGGTTAGTGATGAGCAGAAGCCGTTATTTGCTGGACACATTGTCGCCGTTATTGAGCGAGTCGCCGGGCAGATGTTTTCTGGGTATGTTATGACCAGTTATATACACGGTTCCGTTCGTATCTAACGTGACTTTCTTTTAGTACTCTTGGTCTATTGCGTCCTAGTAGTCAAGCTACCAAGGAGAAGCAGGAAGCCGAGCGCGCAGCCCGTGAAGGTCACTCTGGAAGACCGTCTCAGCCTGAAAGAGTGCAGGATAAGCCTAAGATTGTTTGGTTTAAGCCCACAGATAAGAGGGTTCCTCTGATTGCCATTCCTACGGAACAGGCGCCACGTGACTTTGTTGAGAACCACCAGGCTTATGCAAACCGTATTTTTGTTGCTTGTATTAAGCGTTGGCCAATTACCTCTCTCCATCCCTTCGGTACTCTTTTTGAGCAACTTGGGGAAATGGGAGATATGAAGGTTGAAACTGATGCTCTCCTCCGTGATAACAACTTTGGGCCAGACGATTTCTCGGACGCGGTAATTCGCAACGTGGGCTTCGACAACTGGACCGTTGAATCAGAGGCTGAAGAAGTCGTTTCTGCACGTAAAGATTTCAGGGACCTCAAGACTTTCAGTATTAATGCCAAGGATACCGATGCTATCGGCCATGCTTTCCACACCAAGAAGGTTTCTGAGACAGTTTGGGAAATTGGTGTTCATATCACAGATGTGTCATTTTTCGTCAAGCCCAACTCTTTGGTAGATAGGGAAGCAAAGAAGAGAGGTACTGGAGTGGAGCTGATCAACCGATCGGTTCCATTGCTCCCTGCCAAGCTGGCCGATGAACTCATCTCCCTCAAGCCTGGTCAGGATAGGTTTACATACAGTGTTGTTTTCCAAGTCAATGCCAAGGATGGGAAGGTCATTGAGGAGGAGACGTGGGTGGGAAAGGCCATTGTAAAGAATGATGCCAATTTTATGTTTGGCGATGTTGATGCTATAATTTCGAACGCCGGGGGGGAAACTACCGCCGCAGAGTACAAGGAGGAAATTGGCCTCTTGCACGTAAGTGTTGAACGATCCATTTTTGCATGAATTAAAGCTGACTTTTGCCAGGATATTACACGTAAACTCCGCAAGGAAAGATACAACGCTGACAATGACGAGATACCTGCCATGCGCTTGGTTTCTCTACTCGATGACGAGAATATTCCTATCGAAGACAATATCTTCCACTCCCGCCCTGCGTACGAGGTCCTTGAGGAATTGTTTGTCAAGACCAATGCAGTTGTTGCTCAAAAGATTGCTGCTGCCCTTCCCGAAAAGGCTTTGCTGCGCCGCCATGCCCGCCCTAACCAGCGTCGCCTAGACAACTTTGGTGAACGGATGAACCGTCTTGGTCATACTATTGATATCTCTAATAGTGCAGCTCTTCAAACGAGCTTGTTCCGCCTTGAGGATCCTGTTGTGCGAATGGTATGTTTACTTAACTGACATATGATGACCATGAAATACTAACCCGAGCACAGGGCATGGAAACCCTCCTTATCAAGGGAATGCAACGCGCCAAGTACTTCGTTGGTGGTAAATTACCAGCTGAAATACACGGCCACTATCTTTACAATCTTCCTTTATACACCCATTTCACCAGTCCCATCCGCCGTTACACCGACATCATCGTGCAGCGCCAGTTGGAGGCCGTTCTATCCGAGGGTGCTATCGAATTCACCGAGGATATTGAGTCCTTGGCCAAGACTGCCGAGCAGTGTAATGTCAAGAAAGATTCAGCGAAGAACGCGCAGGAGCAAAGTATTCACATCGAGCTTTGCCGTGCCGTCGACAAACGCCGACAGGAGCAGGGTGGTGAGTTAATTTGTGAGGCCATTGTTATCAACGTTTACGAATCCGCGTTCGACGTTCTAATCCCCGAATACGGCTTCGAGAAACGTGTGCATTGTGACCAGCTTCCGTTGAAGAAGGCAGAATTTGACAAGACCAACCGAGTTTTGGAGCTGTACTGGGAGAAAGGAGTCCAATCAAATGTATACATTCCCGAGGATGAACGTCCGAAGGGCGGTGCTGCTCTCCGTGCGGCAAATGCTGCAGCTGCTGCGAAGGCCGAGGCCGCGGCACAGAAGGCTGCTCACGAGGCGGAAGAGAAACAACGCAAAATGATGGAAATATCTTCTCTGTCCATCAACGATCAGGATGCATTGTTCGATGATGACGACGAAGAAGAAGACGAGGAGGAGGAGGAGGAGGAGGAGCAAGCACCTGTCCCTGAGCAATCATCTTTGGCACCGCCACAGTCAAATACTCGACCAACCCAGAGCATGCCTGGATCACCGACGAAACCTTCCAGCGCACAAACCCCTCACCGAACTCGCTCGGACCCTAAGATGTCTGTCACTACAATTGGCGAGAAGGCAGACAGCACGGAGGTTTCTAACAAGGAAAAATACTTGCATATGTTCACCTTGCGCGAGGAAAAGAGCGATTATATTCAGGAGGTTAGGGAACTGACCAGGGTTCCAGTCTTCCTCAAGACCGAGCTGAGCAAGAGTCCTCCGTATGCCCCCCCCCCCCCCCCCCCAATCTCTATCTATAATGAAAATTCGATTGCTAATAGGCTCTTTGTATAGTTGCTTGACTATCCGGTCACTAAACCCTTATGCCCTGTAAGGACCCTCGCATTTATGGCAACAACGCGAACAAGAGATGTGCTCGGATATTATTTATAGTTGTCCTTAAACATATTTGGGTAGCTGTACGAATGGATGTGGGTGGTATTGAATAGTGCTATTTGAATGAATTGGTGTTTTATTTTCTTCATAACATATTAACTTGGGTGATTGATTTTTGCCATGTTTTCTTGATGGAGGCTGGCCAGCTAATTCCGTATTCTTCTCATCTGGCTTGTCTTCGGAGAGGAGGTCTTGGTGACACTTTTTGTTTCTATATTTCTCAGCTTTTCTGTAATGTTTCGATGTGGATGAGATATGAAGTACGAAGGAATTAGTTCAACAAAGGATTCTTGGTTGGGGCGGGGGGGCTGTTTTATTTTATTTAGTCTGGTTGTTCAGGTTGAATGGTAAGGGGTTGTGCATTTGAGCTATTTAGGGATCCAACATCCTCAGGAGCTTGTATAGTGTATGTTAAGAAAGAAGAAAGTCCTATTGCATTCATTCTTTACTTCCCTTTTGCAGAGTTTGTAAATCCGCATTTGTGGGTATGTTTCTGCGCTCGCCGAACTTGCCAAAGAATTCGTGCGCGGAGAGCACTGTCCGAGAATTCAAAATTGATAACGTCTTTAGCTAACGTAGATCGAATCACTGACTGGCCGATTGTAATTGGGGTCCCGACAGACTGGAGTGTAACATTTTGTTATACCGTTCAGGTTTGAAAAAACACATCACATTCTAGATCAAGTAATACTAACATCGCATGCTTGGTCGATATTCGTGTGCATTGTGCCTGATTATTGACAGATAGCGTTCACTGCTTACGACAGTATGCTTCCAGCTTTATACCGATTCTTCTGTACTGAAAGCCAGAGCCAGATTCTACTATAATTAAGGCAGAGGACCATTATAGGCCTCAGACCGTACAACTACTTGATATCGCCAAAGTGAGTTCTTCCGAGGGGAATGAGGTGGGTGGGTTCGGAATAACTCATTGTTGCCCCAACTAGCTAGCTGGGGGGGTGAAGAAAAACGGAGATTGGAGGTCTATGGATCCCCCCTGACTTTCTTGCGTGTGTGACAAGTTTGCGTCGGATACCCTGGCAACCACTCTTTGTGAGTGCGGTCCTGGTACGTGCGTTGCGGGGCGAGTGAGGGGGTTGGGAGCAGTTTAAGTAGTAGATTGAGGTTTACCTGGGCCGTGGAGTTAGATGTAGCGTGGACAGGGTGGTGTAGCATGCGGTGGTGGATTTTTTGCGTGGCAGACAGATATTACATCGCATCTCATCGGAGAATTTAGGACCCGGCGGGGCGGGTATTGCGCCGTTGGCTGGGGGAGGAGTACCTATTTGGAATTAATCTATTTGAAGCTCGAGGGGCACGTGCTGTGGACGGAGAGATAAGCTTGTTTCGATTTACCAGCGGCTGTAGTTGAATGGGTGGGTGGCCGTTGGCTGTGTAGATATCATTACGAACAATCTGGGCACGAGACTTTATGGTTGTGAATTTTCTGCTCCCGACGATGAAGTTAAGATTATTGGGGCGTTCGAGCTACAAACATCTACCAGGAAGGCCGTTCGTTGGTGGAGTGTAGTGGTTTTAAAAGGCGAGTCATGGCGAATGATTGGATCTCTGTGTGTATAGCTAACATAAAGTTAGATATTTTAGCCATCAGGAAAGCGCTAGTTGCAAAGAAAACCGGCTTTTCTCGATCAGAGTTATAAAGCTGACCCAGCCTTCCCCTCTCTACTTGCGCTCTTCCTGAAAATAGACCACCACTTTAAGATTCAAGGTTTAACCAATTAACTGATTTCTCACATCTAGGAGCATCTGCTGACCAACCTCGCAATTGGCCAGGTAAAAATGCATCGACGGGTGAATCTGAGATATGTCACTAGTTTATCTGGTGTTGGGTTGTTCTTTCGTCTAAAATCGCTGGGGAGTCCTAGGGTTGGAAGTGCAAGTAAGAAACGAGGACAAACCCCGTTGCATGTCGTCTACTATTTCGAGCCAAATGCGGCCAAACCTTAGTTAGTTAACGCTGGGGCAGCCAGGGTCCGCGCGCCTATCATCGCCAAATAAGGCAACCAATAAGCTCAGGAAGTGAACGGCGGGATCCCTGCCAGGACCAGGCCCTGCATCAGATGCGAGGCTTACCTAGTTTCAAGAATGACGTCTACCCCGTGGTAGTCACAGCCATTGCTGCGTTCTCACGGAGCTGTCAAACACTATTCAGACGTTTTGTTGGACTCTGCGGAAAGTGTGATCTCATTCTCACTGGCTTTGACTACCACTTTCAACAATATCGACGGTAGGACCCATGGTCTTTTTCGAAATTCTCCTCCTGGTCCATCGCCCTTCCAGCCGAATAACGACCCCTAGATGCTTCCTGAAGCTGGTGGCTGGGGGGTGGGAGTGATGTTTCCAGCGTTACTGCGTATTTTCACGTTACCACCCTGCGTTTGCGCTTTGTTAGATTTCGCCCGATGCTCCTGAGTCCCGAGCCCTCAATGCTTAGCATAGCAGCCCCTAGATCACAGCCCTGTAATACCAGATTGTTGTAAATAGCAGTACAGGAGATTTATATATATCTCCCGAGTCCCCACCTTGAAATTCCCCTTTACCTCTCTTCCCTCGACTAGTTCAGCCCTATTCATTCTCCCTTCTCTTTTCACTCTTTTACTCTTGCTCTTATTTTATTTTCAGTACAATCATTTCTTGGACAGATTCCCCGGCGGAAATCCCTTCCTTCTTCTTTTCTTACGGGATCCATCTGTGATTGTGCACACAGTAATAATATTTAATACCCCCATCTTCACCAAAGGCTCCGCGAGCATTTTTTCAAACACAAACCAGAAATGACTATCTTCCGAAAAATCGTTACCGCTGCCGTTGTTGCGTTTGCTGCCTTCAGTAGCATAGCCGGCGCTCATCCAATTGTTAAGAGGCAGGCAGCACCGGCACTGACGGATCTGGATATTCTCCAATTGTAAGTCTACAGCAGTAGCGTATACTACTGAATAAAAGCTAACCACCAGCAGTGCATTGACCCTGGAACACCTCGAATCTGCATTCTACAAAGAAGGATTCGCCAAATTCCCCGCCGCAGACTTCCTTGCATTGGGCCTGACACAAGAAGATGTCGACGGACTGACGCAGATTGGAGTCACCGAGGCAACTCATGTAACTGCTCTCATGGCCGCCATTGCAGGTGCGGGGGCTACGCCAGTACAGCCTTGTACCTATAACTTTGGGCTCACAGATGCTGCGTCTATGGTTGCTGCTGCGAAGGTTCTCGAGGCAGTCGGTATCAGCGCGTAAGATAATCTCTGTTCCTATGTCCACATATTAAATGAAATACCAGCTCTCACACATCATTTAGCTACCTCGGTGCCGCTCCCCTCATTACAGACGGCAAGATTCTCTCTGCCGCAGCTTCAATCGTTACTGTTGAATCCCGCCATCAAACGTTCATCCGGACGGCCCTCAAGCAGTCGCCGGTCCCGCAAGCCTTCGACACCGCCGTCAGCGCGCGGCAGGTCTTCACGCTGGCCGCAGGATTTATCACAGAGTGCCCCGCAGGCTCTTCACTCGGCCTTCAGGCGTTCCCATCGCTGAATATTGTAAACGCTGCGACAGTCACTGCAGGGTCCACATTGACATTGTCGGACCCGACAGCGTTTGCGGATGGGAGTACGTTCTGTGCATTTACGTCCGGTGAGGCGGGGACCCAGTTTGCGCCGCTTGCATCGGGGAGTTGTGTAGTTCCCCAGGGATTGGGTGGGGAGGTGTATGTTGTGCTGACGAGTAGTGGGACTACGGTGACGGATGAAGTTGTGCTTGCTGGGTATGTTGCTTCATATGTGATCACTCGGAATATATTTACTGACATTTTTGATGTGTAGGCCTGCTGTTTTGTCGTTATCTTAGAACCGGAACCCTCCTCCTTGTCCCCTTGCCTCTCGTTTATGCTGCACCTTAGCGCTAATAATCATGGCGATTCTAAATAATGTTGAAAGATTATCCCCTTACCCAATCCCCTGATATGTATTTTTATGGTCAAAAAATTCGTTTATTTTCTTTCGTTTTTTCTTCCTCTTCAACTGGGCGCTTTCCCGCGCCCCAATTTAAGCCATTATTTGCACTTCTGCGCTCCCCCCATTTTCACATGATCTACGTCTGATCTGCTTGCATTACCGTCTCATCGAGTGAGACGGCATTGAAAGCTCAATTTTCCTTTTATTTCATTTTGAGTTATATTATTCCTATGTCAGTGACGAGGAAGGAAACCAGGAGGGGGGGGGGGGCAGGAGTGATAGGGGTTTTCTTAAGATAAACTATGAGCCAGCCAAGTGTGAGCTGGATTCGAACTGAAACTCACCCCAGTTTACGTGTGGATCTTAGGTGGCAATGGTGATGTGTGACAGTAATCCGAATACTCAACGCTGTGACGAGTTGTTACAAGTTTCACACCGACCATTGACCTCTTGGCATGCATATGTGAAGCAGGGTGTGTCTGACATGCATCGGGAGCTCTGGGCTTGGCAAATTAAGGCCTCCTGCTCACTCACCCCCGTGATATCCCAAGCTTGAGAAAAACAAATCTATAATATGCGCAGAACTAGCTGCTGGTCTTCAAGTTAAAAACAGGAAGCGAAGAAAACGAAGACAGAAAGAAAAAGAACACCGTGCTCGCCAATAGGAAAAGACATAAGTAAGATACAAGCACAAAAAAGGCGAAAATCGTAAAAATACCGATCGTGAAAAAAATCTGAAGCTTCTTGAAATACCTAGGAAAAAAAACACTTTTTAGAAGAAAACCCCTCACTCCACACATCCCTAGATGGAGGGTTTAGAATTCATTTCTTCGTTAAATTGCTTTTCAGAAAACCCATCAAGTTGCGCTCTTGTTTTTTCTTTCCCTTTCTTTTTTTTGCTGCTGTGGCCCGATCATAGCGTCACTTGCCTCCTATAGCCAAAGAATTGGATATATGACTGTACTTGATTGTAGTTTAAACGACGAATTTTGCTTTTGCCCTAGTGCTCCCAGAGTGCGCACTCTCGGTGTGGCCCGAGAACTCACAGTGCTCGTTCGTATTCAACCTCAGTACCTCCTTAAACTTCTTTCCAATCTCCATAAGAGACTCCCTGGAGGGGGCGGTCTTTCCGCCACCGGAAGACTTTGTCCACACACCGATCCTGAAGAAGGCCTTGCGAACGTTGACAACGACACCCATAATCTCCTTGTCGTCCTCGGCCTCGAGGGTCTCACCGATGGCGGCAAGCATTACGTGCAGCCAGAGCTCATCAATCGGGACGGCACGCTTCTCCTTGAACTGGTAGGACCATTTGCCACCGTTCTTGTTTTGGGGGTCTTCCCACTCTGGACGGACACCGGCTTTAAATAGGTGATAGTCGGATTTGAGGGCAAGCTCAGATGTTTTGGCAATGTTATTCTGAAGAGGGCATGTAAGTGGCAAGCTCATAACAAGATAATGAAGTCCGAATATGAGAGAGAAACATACGTAGATACCCCAAAATTCCTCCACAGAGTCAAAAGTGACTACCTCCTTCAGAAGATCATTCCAATTGTTCTCACCCTAAAGTTGGCGCTAGCATTAGTAGGTGTCGATCTTTCTTATTTTAATTTTTTTCTGAAAAAAAGAATCCAAAGAGCATATATGAGCAACGAACCTTTGGGCTCGGTGGCTTGGTGAACCAGAGAGTCCATTTATTCATCAAAGGATGCTTGACATTGAAGTTTTCGGGGGAATGGAATACTGTCAACTGCTCCTTGCTGTTGGCGTCAGAGGCGCCGGCTGCATCTGCATCATCATCGCTCGCGCCGTTGGGAGGAGAAACGGGGATTTCGTTGAGGGGGCGCTGTTCGTCGAGAACCTCAACCATGGTGGGAAGGTCTGATGATGCAGTAGTCATGACTTCTGGGTATGAAGGTTTGTTGTATGGGGATGAGTGGTCAGTTGAGATTCTACTGGAGGTCGAAGGGTTCACCGGAGGTAGAGAGGAAGAGTGTTAGATAAGGGCAGATAGAATACCCAGGTAGGTTGAAATTGCAGTGGTTGGGCCTGAGGGCGGGGCTTTACTTTCTGAAACCTATAAAACTACAGTTTTGGGCAAGATGACCACTAGCTTGATGTTTATGTAAGCCGCGGGGTGCGTGGTGCGTGCAGGCTAGCTAGCGACAACAATGCCTTTGATGATTTTTCAACACCCAGTCAATTATCACGAGAGAGGTGTTGCCCGGGAATTGTTTACCAGAACAAGATGTCTCTGCTCACGAATTTCACTCGCACCGTGAGAACGGCCATCGTCCGGCCATCTCCGTCACTTAAATTCCTTCTGCCTGGGCTGTTTTCGGGCCCAGTACAGCACCAGCAGAGTCGTTCAGCGTCGATTGTTTCGGATTTGCGAAATGTTGCGTCTTCGTACAATAAGCGCATTAGGAGAGGTCGTGGTCCTTCCTCAGGGAAGGGTAAGACGTCCGGAAGGGGTCATAAAGGTCAGAAACAGCACGGGAAGGTCCCGGCAGGATTTGAGGGTGGTCAAACGCCAATAGCAATTGTGCATGGACCAAGAGGATGGGACAATAAGTAAGTATTCCTGCGCCTAGTGCAATTATTAGTAAAAAATAATTTTGCTAATAAAATTGACTTTAGGTACTCCGAAACTATGTCGCCATTGAATCTCGACAGGCTACAGAGCTGGATCGACCAGGGCCGGATTGACCCCACGAAGCCAATTACTTTGAAAGAGTTGGTGGACTCCCGCTGTCTCCATGGAATCAAGGACGGCGTGAAGATCCTCGCAAGAGTATATATCCAGCTAGGTTTCATTGCAACGTGTGAGACCTGACGCTTTGATTAGGGAAAAGAAGAGTTGAAGACACCTATTGATATCACTGTATCCCGCGCCTCTAAAGAAGCTATCAAGGCCATTGAAGCGGCTGGTGGTAAGGTTGTTACCCGCTACTTCACCAAGGACGGCATCAAGTCTATTGTCTACCCGCACCTTTTCAAGACCCCACGCCGATTGGCCAACCCTACTGCCCGTAAAGATATCGAGTACTACAGAGATCCGGACCACAGAGGTTACCTCTCACATACTGTCACCGAGGGAGAATCGCCCAGTTTGTTCTGGAAGATTCCAGGGCCGAACAAGGTTGGCGCTGGTCCTCAGAACAAGGGAGCCGGAGCGGCACAGAAGAAAGCCAAGGAGGAGAACAGACTGTTCTAATGGTTTTAATCCATTAGGATTCTGTTGGTATAAGGGCCTCTTGGCAGTATTTTAGTTGCCATTGTATAGCTCAAATTTGTTGCCAGTACATTAGGTATATTTGTACAAAGTTCCATGAATTTATTCCAGCTTGTGGGAAGTATTTCCCACAGCACATTCAGGTATACGAGGCACAAGTAGATACAATGGCTAGCCTTCTACTATGAGATAAGGGAAATGGGAGGATGGTTGTAAGCTGGTGGAGCTTGGGTGAAACTCTTTATCTTTGAGTGGGCGTTGAACATTGTCCCTATTGCACCGAAAGCCAACAAGTGGAGCTAATACCGTCAAATCTCGAGTTATTCGGAGGGTTACCATGTGCCATTATGTAGGGCTTGGCTTATATCCTACCGTAATGGGCTCAACTCTTTTTCATCCCCTCTGATCGCTTTCTGCCCTGTATGGGTGAACATTTTCACCTTTTCTACAAGTAGATAAATTAGTAATTATAATCTCATGTGGGAAAGGAAGAAGACTATGGACCAAGGGATTGTAACTTGCCATACTTTCTCTTTACTACATGTATATACTAATCACCTGGCTTCATTTCCATTTTTACTCCCTTTGAATAATCAAATTCATCAATGTCCTAGATTACAGTTTATAATAAAACAAAACATCACCTGGTTTTAATTAGGTCAAAATAGCTAGTTGTATGCATGTAGTTACACAAGTACTTTTAATTCTTTAATTGCGGCAAATCCCGTTGCAACGTCACACAGGTACCGTCATTCACGGGGTATTGGCGGATACTGGGTGATGGCGGACAGGGCAAAAAAGAGACAGCCAAGCCAACTTTTACCTGCAATTCGCCAATACCCAGGATCCACCAATACCCCGTGAACGACAGTACGCCCCTCTGAGCTCTGTAGAATTACATGTATCCCCGCAATTCCCCGCACTTTGAAGTCAGATATGGTTGGGACACCTCGAGCCGGAATGTCAAAGTTGCCGAAGTTTGAAACTTAATGGCCAACCACCACAACACATTAAAATTAAAATAGATTTGTAGGGTGATAGAGGAAGAGGTAAATAACACTGTAACAGAGCCCAATTAATTTTATCTGTTGTGGTTGTTGCGCTATTGAATTTCTAAAAGTTGGGTTTTTGGTGAGAGGCTGACCAAATGTCGCACATTAATTACCTTCCAGGCCAATAACTACCCGATTAGGAAGTACGCTAGTATAAAATTACCCGATTGGGACGAGATCTCTAGTTCATGGCCAGTATCTTGGCATAAACCTACTCTCTTGGCACTTTTGGGTCGATTTCATGCCATGTAATTACTAGATTAGGAATATGATCTTCACTGGAGGCCAATGTCGCACCCCCCGTCTCTAGGTGTCCCCAACCATAACTTCTTTAACACATTGCATTGAGATATTGGTTCCTCGGCGTAAACATAATAATGGGTGGTAAGTCGTTGCCTCACTCTAAAGACTGCTTATCTCTACTGATACACTCCTGAGTTAGGTTGTAAGTTCAGAGACGGTTCCGTGATAACCAGGACACAAAAACGTACTAATGCCAGAATTCCATAGCTTCTATTTGGCTATGTCCTCCAGAGGGAACCCAAATTGAGGCTATATTGATTAAGCTTATCTCCAATACTGTTCCTGCCTATTTTGGGGATGAGAAAGTTCCAGATTTCCGCCCACATGCTACCATAACTTCTGAGATTCCTCCTAACTTGGACCCCCAAGAGGTCCTTGATAGTATTGATATCAAGGAGCTCCCTAACGTCATCTTTACTTCCATGGTGATCGGGTTTGTCCCTAAACTTGCACTGAGATTCTTTGTTTATCGGGTTACTGATGTAAACCACACAGAGAAACCTTCTTTACTCGCGGAACCCTTCATATAGAAAAGAATGATTCTATTGTGGCACTCGCAACTCATTGTCGAGAGAAATTCGCATTTGGTGGACAATCGAAGGAAGATGCGGAGAAGTGGGCGAGAGAGAAATTTACACCCCATGTTTCGCTTGTCTACTCCAATCTTTGGCCAGTTCCGGAAGATGTGTCGAAGGCTATAGAAAACGATGTTCTTAGCGCTGGCGTTGGACTTTCGGGGGTTTCTGGTTCCAATTCAGAGCCCGATATGAATGGCTGGAAGGGAGGAAAGCTTGTTTTAGTAGGTGCATGCATTCCTTAATTAAGGTGTTCCTGTGCCCCATATCGAGGAAAGCAGCATTAATTTTGTGAATAAACAATAGGTCCCGACTGGCAAGCCGCTTGATGAGTGGATTGTTTTAGCCGAGCGTAATCTGTAGATAGCTTTGTGCAATAGAGCTAAATGTGGTTATTACCCACCGTCATTGGATTCTTTGAATGAAGATAATATTGCTCTGATATAGTGTGGTTCATGGGGACGAGTACCCTTGTGCCCTTGCCTCGGGGACATAGCCTCGATGTATATAAGCTAAGTGGACTTTAAGAATAAGGTCTATTAAGGCTATTGTGTGTCTTTGCTTAGACGTATCTCGAAGGAAATAATAGACAGATAATATACGGATAAGTCCATATCTGCCAGATTATCTCATGTTTCTTTAATAATTAGCAGTCAATCATATTATATAGAAATAAATATGGTCAGCTTCGGGAATCTTGTAGTGACTCGAGACACCTCGAGGCCAAACTCCTAATACCCCGAGGCCAGACAAAGGCAAGGACCAACGAGAAAAAAGCATCTCGAGGACGCCTTGGAACCCTCGCCTTGAGTGTTCTCTTTGATTATATTGCCCTGATAATACAATAGAGACTTGAAACTTTGATATGGCACAGTCGTACGCGCAGTTTGGTCAGTTATTGTTGTCCAGCAACTACATGTACATACATGTAGGCCGGTGTGATTGTGTTTGGAGTCCCAGTGAGGTATGGGTTGGTAGGTAATGTAGAAATGGGTTTCTCTCGTACTTGTTTCTTCGTTAACAACCCTATTGCGAGCTGATAGTGAACACACTCAAGTGTGTGATTCCAAGATAGAACGTTAGGTGATCCGAATGATAGAATATGATGTAAATCGCTTACCATATGGAGCTTTATGTGGCTTAGCTAGCCGCCACCTTTTGTGTAGGGCAGCAACCACCTAGATCGCCAAGATCAAAAGACAGTCCCAACCACAAAGCACACACCAGTCAGGCAATCCCCACCAAAAATTTCCCTGGCCCTAGATCCAGATACTGACGGACGACCAACGAAGAATCCAAAGACAACCGATCACGACAACCACGAATCCTCTCCCCCGGCCTAAGGAAATTTTCAAACACGATGGTCAGTTTTCTACGTTTTTTTGCCAATTTCACGGTCGGAATTGGTCTGGCTGGGATTTGCAGAAAATCAAGCTAGAAGGGAATGGTGAATGATCAATTATGAAAGATGAAGCTGACGTGCAAGCATCTTTGATAATATCAGGTCCGCTACGCTGCCACCCCCAACAACGAGGCCAAGTCCGCGAAGTCCCGTGGATCTTTCCTCCGTGTTTCTTTCAAGAACACCCGTGAGACTGCTCAGGCCATCACCCGCATGAAGCTCTCTCGCGCCATCGCTTTCTTGGAGAACGTTAAGCAGCACAAGGAGGCTGTTCCCATGAGGAGGTACGCTGGAAGTACTGGACGTTGCGCTCAAGGTGGGTTTAGGTCTTTTTCTTTGGAGGTTCTGGTTTGCGGGGGGATTGGTATCTGGGATTTATGGGGCAGAGTATTGGGAAGCTCAAGGAATATCGGAAGAAGCTTGGGATATCAGGAGGATGAATGAAGGGCACATACCTAGAGGGGGAGCTTTCGTCTCGGTACCGACTACGGCCCGACGTATCGCTACTCCGATTGCACGCCATCAATTGTTTCTCCCTGGGATGGTAGATCTAACAGGTATTTCTTAATAGGCAAGCAGTTCGGTGTTTCCCGCGCCCGCTGGCCCGAGAAGTCTGCCGAGTTCCTTCTCGGTCTCCTCCGCAACGCTGAGGCCAACGCCGACACCAAGGGTCTCGACACCTCCAACCTCCAGATCTCCCACATCCAGGTCAACCAGGCCCCCAAGCAGAGGAGAAGAACTTACCGTGCCCACGGACGTGTACGTTGAGAAATTCCAATATCCCGGTAGGGATACGTTACTGATAGCATGTGTTAGATCAACCCCTACATGTCAAACCCCTGCCACATCGAGGTGATCGTCTCTGAGGCCGAAGAGGCCGTTGCGAAGGCTGAGGACAACGCTGTCCTCCACCTGAACTCCAGGCAGAGGGGTCGCGCTCTTGGCCAGCAGAGGAGGATCGCTGCTTAAATTGGTGAAGGGGCGTTGATTCGTGGCATAGAAAAATAATGAAACAAATTCGAAATTTTTCGTGAACTACTACAGTGAGAGGGTTTTCCTACGCAATGAGAATTTTCTGTTTGCGTGCGTATTGGGTTTTTTTTGTCTTTTTTTTTGCTTCTGGGGGGATCAATTAAAAGTACTGTGCAAAGTTGTATCTATACTTGGCGAATTTCGTGGGCCGGAAATGGCGATATTGTTGCCCGCAGACCATGAGTTATCCAAGGTTACCTAGAAACGACTCGGACAACTAGTCCAAGGTATTAAAATCGGAGTTTAGGTTCACCAGCTTATAATTATTTGGGATTCTGAATAGTTTTGATATACTCACGTGCTATCACTCGCCCCAATCGTTGCTCATGTTTCCTCGCATTTATAGTGACCCCATACCCAGTCTTATATTTTTGTAGTTATCGTTCCGACCAGTTTTATTAAGGAAAACCTTCGTAGAATCACCTCGATCTATTATTTATGCCAGAAACAGGTTCAGGGAGTCATGTTACTATCAGTACTGTGCGACGAGTGATATACTATGAAGCTGGCTGACAATCAAAAGCCTTGGTTGTTTCCCCGCGTTGGCTCGCGAGTCGTGGGGTGGGGCCGCCTTGAGAAAATCTCCCGGACACCTGCCTTCAAACCCAGAGGCCCATAGAGCCGGGCCCTGGGGTCATCGTATTGCCTGGCCTTGAGATACTTTGTGATCTTTATCGAGATCCGACGCCTACCGTCGACGCCTCATATAGCGGTACTTGGAGCCCCGCCGGGATAAAACGCACAGGTAGAAGCATAGCAGCAGCGTGAGTATTGTTAATATTATCGCTGGGTCCCCGTCCAGTCCCGGCATGCTGAGATTCGAGCACATTCCCCCTTGAGAGCACGTGCATGTACATTAGCAAGACGTCACTATAACGTCCGGGAAACCTTGTAATGGTCTCCTAAAGTTCCTCCCTTAGTATGATAGCCGGCTGGTAGTGTCTCTACCTCTTCATCCTAGGCGCCTAGAGTTCTCCCACTGACCGCTGGTGATCCGAAGGCCTATCTACGTGGGTGTGAGCCTTACAAAGCGCGGGAGCAATTGATTGATTGATAATTCTTTATGTAATTGTGTGAGGCACGGGAGCAATGACACTAGCCTAAAATCCTATTACCGTAAACTAATACATGTAATCATTTGTATACGTGTCTGTGAGATGTGCATGTAATGATGTTGTATTACAGCAGTTTTCATATTGTCTGCCGACTCCGAATCGCATACACATTAAGTGACAGCCCGTTTAGGCAATGCTTATTGCTAGTAACACTTAGATTACACCCAAACACACCCAAGAGAGTAACTGCGGTTTCCTAACTCGGAAATCACCCTGTGTGTTTTAATTTAGTGCGGACAGACAATACGAAAACTGCTGTAAGGAGTCCAGGCTAAACTAAACACTGTCGCGTATGCCAAGCCTTGGCGTGACAGTATTCCACCTCATCGTTAGTCACTACAAGTCAAGAGTGAGTTTGGTTTCCCTGGATGGCCAGGGTTTGGGCATTTTCTTGGCGCGCGAGTGACATTTCATGACGCCATAAAATCACGAGAACCTACATACACACACGTAAGTACCACATCAGGCTTGCTTTAGCCTTAACTTCTAAAAAAACCTGGCTATACGCACGTAGCTACATGTCCAAAAAGATAGCCAACTGAACATCCTCGTTGGGGGAAACCAGGAATGATTGATGATTATAGAGATATGCGGCATTCTTTCGTCGGGGACCAATATGAAGGTAGACACAGTGGAAACTGAGGGCCCGGGTAATTATGGCTCCGGAAGACTTGTACCTGGTGCTCCGGGAGGTGACGGGGACGGGGACGGGCATGTTATTTTGACAATAGAAAACCTATCCATCACGCCAAGACAGTCCTCGCCTACATCCTATGTCCCACGTCCCCTCCTGGAGGACTAGGTTTAAGAGTTCCGGAACTATAGCTTAGAGCGTCTGTTTTTAGATCTACCCAACACCTTGATGCGAGAATACCATCAACTGGCGGCGGGGTGTTTGGGTGTGTGCGCTTTATACGTGTGCCAGTCAATAAAGCCAGCGCAGACCTAGTCAGAAGCTTCGGATAATTTTTGGTGTTGATACGAGCGGTTTCGAACTACTTCTAGTTTCATACAGACTTTACAGTCAAGCTTCCTTAAAGGGTACGTACAAAAATACCGCGAGATAGCACCTTTGTATGGAAAATGAGGATGGGTCTAACATTTTGAAAGCCCCTGTTCTGACGCCCAAACTGTACAAAACACAATTCGTGGTGTCTTTAAAAGTTCTCTACACCAATAGGAATAACCATTGGCTGGTACAGTAAGTCGAAGTCTGGCTTGCGTTGAAAGTACATTTGTAACTAGACTACATTTATATAAAAGAAGAATATGAGATCTCTCATTTATAAATGATTATTGCTTTGATTCTAGCGACTCTAATGAGATAATTGAGGCATGGGTGGATTGAGGGATAGTGTATAATCTCCCCCCTAAACCTTACAGGGACAAACGCAGATGGCAAGACAGGAAATCTTCGTGGGGAACATCTTCAAAAGTTACTATATTCTATTGTATTTTCGTTTTTGTTTTCATTCTTGGTTCCACCTCTTATGTTGGCGAGAGGTGGAGGAGGTTGATGGGAAGTTCTGGGATCTTGGTGCGATATTGTCATAGTTTTAAGGCTGCATGCAATTAATGAGTTAAAAAAAAGATAATTGAGGCATTCGAGATTACGAGTGATGTTCTGTGAGCATAGCTCTTCCAAACAATCTTCGGAGTGACTTCAGGGTCTTTAGAGTATGCATAAGCAAATCTTATCATAGTAGGCCATCTACCCGCCGGCGTATCTCTCTAGATATCGATAGATACTCAGTGCCAGGGTGGTTACCTGTATGTAGTCCCCAATTCTTGGCGCCAAGGGCACCACAGCCAAGGCTTCGGGAGTCTCGCGTAGATGAAATTGACAACACGTTTTCCCCCAGAGCCGCCTCGATCTCACGACCTCCCTTCCCCAGCGCAGCAGACTCACATTAGATATTCCAACATGTTTACATCGGCGAAATCGGCCTCGATAGTCAGCATCTCAACCCTTCTCCTCATCCATTCGTACGTGCCCTCCCTCCCCCTCTCAATTAGTTGTAGCTATAGTACCTAGTAGAAGTGGGTAGTAGTCGTATGCTAGCCAGTAGCTAATTTGTTTGCTGTTTAGCTGTTATTCGGCATATGAACACTCTCTCATATCGATAGGCGCGAAAAATAGCCTTCCTCTGGATGTGACAATCGAAACTTTAGTCTCGGTCTTCCTGCTATGCGTCGGCATAGTCCTGAATAACAGCCAGGAGCTCAAGCCGATATCGTGGTCAGTCTGGAGTGGACAGTTGGAGCGGGAAAGAGGAAGCGGGCCATATGGGTACCTGGAAGAGCGATTGGGTTTCTTGGACATTCGGGTTGGTCCTCCATGATTGTTGCCAGTGTAGGAATAAGGCTGGTGCTAATACTCAATAGACCAAGCGGGCAGAGTTTGCAAAGTGGGCGAAGAGTAATGAATAGACTGGCAGAGGAAACCGCTGGGTTTCCCTATATTTTACGATACTGTAATGATAAGGAGAGGGTATCATTTACCGCTATGGAGCGATACTAGGGAGAGTGACGGCTCTAAATGATTGTGGAAATACCAATCAAGGATTTAATCACAAAGTTCCGGCAAATCACACTACAATAGAACATCTTTGAGTGCTTGTTTGATGTTTAACGAAGTAAACCCAGCGTGAAGATTCGTAAATTTTGATCTATTTAGGCCTTCAAAGAAATAAAGAGGCCATTCAATCCTGCTAGAACAAGCTCTAGGAAATCATAGATGTGTTACTTTTTTTTTCTTTCTTTAACCTGCACCCACTCTACAACTTCTGCATAGCGGCGATCTAAATCCCCCACAACGCGTTAGTAACATGGCCAGGAAGGGGGGGGGGGGGGGTTCGGAAACTTACGTCAGTGCTCTGGACATGGTCCTCGTCCTCCTCAATCTGTTGCTGCAGGTCGTCAAGACTAATCTTGTCATCCTCAATGACTAAGTTGATCTGAAGCTTCTTGATACCGAAACCAACAGCAACCAAAGTAGAGGCTCCCCAGACAAGACCGTCTGTAAAATCAAGGGTTAGCTATAGAGATTATTGAAAGAACAAGCAAAGAATTACCCTTCTCAATGGCCCTGACGTTTGCCTCCAGTTGTTTCTGTGCCAGTTAGTATAAATAGATGGAAATTGGAGCAGAAAAACAAACCATATCAGTCTCATCATCCCAAGGCTTGACATCCATGGTAACGACAGATTTGGCAGCTAAAGAAAAGTTTAGATCCTATTTGGAGGTATCAGTGTCACAAAGATTCCTCACCTGGCTTGACTTTTCCGGCCTATCAAACATGTTAGTTATACTTCTGCTATGTCGCTTGTAATAACATAATGATTACCTTCTTGGCGGCGTACTCAGCTAATCTCTTCTGGGTGAGGGCCTCCTTTTCTGGGTCCTCCTCCTCATCGTCCGAACCGAACAAGTCAACCTCGTCATCATCCTCGGCCTCAGTGGCCGGTGCGGCGGCAGGGTTCACGGCGGCAGCGGCGACCTCAGGGCCATATGTAGAGGATGGGGCCGAAGCGTCACCAGGAAGGGTAGTGAACTCATCCGCGAAGGAAGCAATGTGCTTGTACCAACGGGCAGCATGGGGGTACTTTCCGGCATCAGGGGACTTGGAGACGCCGTTGAAGACGGCAACATCAGCCTGGGAAGGAGAGGTTCTATTTAATTTAGAAAATACGGTTAGTACGAAGTATAAAGGAATTTTTGAAGAGTTTTTGCCAAGTTATTAGAGGTAGAGGGAGTGAATGTAAGCATAAAAGATAACACATGAATGCAATTAAGACCATCCGGCCAGCGGGGTCTTCATCACTTGGTGAAAATAGGCCGCAAATGAATTACAAGTAATAATATCAAGGGCCTAACGGAGGCAGCCCAATTGGTAACAGCAACCAGCTTTACGGTAGAGCAGAATTATCAAGAAGAAGAGGAAAGACGTCGAATATACCCGGTGATGTAACTCCTAGTCTCCAACCAAGAGTTAAGAACTGCGTGATTAAAATTGGTCAGTACTCGTGTTTAACAGCATCGCTCTACAGCCTAGAAGGAAAACACACCGGTCAAACCAGCATCGGCAGCGAGATCAGTGAAGCCCATTTTGAAGGATGATTATGAAGGTATTGAATATAAAAAAAAAGTAAATCGGGTAGTGGATATGTATTCTTTGGAGGAAATGGAGGCTTATAGATGAGGTGGGGTATTGACGACGCTTTATGGGAGAAAAGTGAAAGAGGAGGGGTAAAAAGATGGTGGGGGATTTTTTTTTTTGGAGGGGTCAACTTGGGCTGGTCGCTGCGGTCTCGACCAGGGAACAGCCTCACTTTCACAGATACACTCAAATCGCCGATTCTTCGGTGCAAAAGCAGTGTGACAGTGCAAAAGACACCTCCAAGGAAGTGGAGGGAGATTCCATGTATTTTTTACTACTCCTTACGATAGAGTAGCCCCTGCCAAGCCCTGGACAAATTTTATATAAAAAGGCCACTTCCCTCATGCTCCTCTTTCCTCCACCATCATCAGTAGAGGTTATGAAAATAACCATGGGAGCTCCGCCATTGTGCGGCTTGCTGAGCGTTATTCTATTCTATGCATTTCGTTCCGTTCCCGGCTCCTTTGATTAAACTCTTTCGCTCTTCTCCTAAAAGAACGCTTCGCTTTATTACGATAGTTCTGACTGGAGGAAGGCGGTACATCCACACATCCCTAGATTTTATAAAGATACATGTATTTATAAAATTCATAAATTGAAATGGCCATCTGTCCTTGAACACGTATGCTATACTTCTGTGACTTTTTACACGAAAAGACGTGTCCCTAACTTATTTAGCTGCCTTAAAAGATTCAATTCCATTCACGTTTCTTCCCAATCTCACCCATTATCCTTCGTTCTTCACAGCGCAGATATCTTGCTGCCCTTTTATCTTCCTAGTGGGCGTATAAATCATTAGCGGGGACCGACACCAACTCCTTCTCAGCGTAAGTCTATTTTGGAGTCAATAGGTTTATAAATGTCGTTTGGTTTTGTACTCTACTAATCATTTTTAAGAGATCTAGACGATCGAAATTCTACAGGCTGGTTCCTGCTCGATACGACGAGATACGACGAGATACAACGAGATGCCTTCTATTAACGGGATCACGGCCACCATAGAGACCCACGATGGTCCACTCCCAGAATTTGGTTGTAGTGAATTTAGAGGTGGTAAGGGCTGTTATATCCCAGCACAATCGGGACAGCAGTTCTGGTTACACTATACAATCCACAAACCGATTCCTTGCAAGGCTGCAAGTGTGGAATTTTATGTGGATGGACAAAGGGTCGATGCTCAGTTCCCTCTCCCACGAAAGAACACTGACAATTCTACTGTTGGTCCTATTGATTCGACCATCAAATCTCAATATGGTCGTGACATAAACGCTGATGGAGTAGAGGTTGCGTGGAGAAGGGAGATTTTTTTCGCTCTTATCAAGCCAGTTAAAGCAACCAAACCTCGTTGCAAAGTGAAAAGAACACCGACATCTGCCGAGGCAGAACAGTATGGTACTATTGACTGCAAGATCTTTCGATCCGAGAAGTCACCCGAATGGGCTGGCGCAGTAACACCTGAAGAGTTTCGCTCTCTTTCAGATGCCACGAAAACGCTGAAAAGCCGGCCCCTCAGTCACGTTTCGAGGCTAGGTGTCAAAATGGCTACTTCCACGTCAAAACGATATTGCGTAAAAAGCTTGGATCCGGACGATGCTCCCTTCGCATGGTTCAAGTTCTACTATCGCTCAAGGCAACGACTTATTGAGAAGTTCGGACTTGAGCAGCTTAGAGGACTTTCCCTGCAAGGCGAGGAGGGCGAGCCTGTTTCCCAATCCCCCACCAATGCCACCCCTAATGTACCCTCCCAAACACCCTCCCAGGCATCCTCTCAGGCTCCTCCTCGGATGCAGGCCCTTCCCCACGACCTTGGAGTAAGTCCCGACGGCGGAGCCGATAACATAGATAGGGAAACAGGCCTGGAGCATTCTGTTACTGAAGCTAATAAAGGAGCTGATTTATTGGACACCTTTATAGAAAAATTAGAGGAGGAGCTGGCCTTAGCAGAAAAGGGTGGGTCTGTGGAAAACGACAAAATTGCGGCTTGTCACGAGAAAATTAGCAGGCTCCGCCAAAATTCGGAGAAGTTGCGCCTTCGGGCTGTTGAGATCCAGAAAAAGGCCGATTTAGCCAAGCATAGTAGTTTGGCTAACCACGCCGAAGATACAAGTGTATCTGGGGAGGACACTGGCAGCGAGGAGGATGACGATGGCAACTAGCATGTTTTACGTCTCCTCAAAATGTTGTTTCGGGCACCCGGTGAACTTCAGAAGAATTTGTACTTTTTCTCTTTCGTCTGCTTGAGTGAATGAAATAAAAGTAACTTATAACTTATATTAGGTCTATGAGTTTTAACCGAGTGATATCATGTGATGTATAGAACAAGAGTTACCAACGACAACTGAAGACAACTGAAGAAAGTAGGAAAGAGAAGGAAAGAAACAGGTGATTTTTCTTCCATTATCAGTCAGCGTATATGGAATAACTTAAGATGGAGAAACCAAGGGCAGAGTGTAAGAAAAGCTGGTTTGTCCTAATGGATCTTACGAATCCTGCCGTGAGTGATCGCGATTTGATCATCGACTTTGTCGCTCTGCTTAAATCAGCCAGCTGTCAGGGCAAGACGGGAAGGGCTCATGTAATTTACCTTTCTCATGATGACATCAATTTGAGCATTCTGTCGATCGACCTCTTGGCCTGTGGCCATAGCCAGATTTCTCAACCTACCGGTAACAGCTCCTAGGGCGTCTAAGTTGTTCTCTATCTCTCTTTCTTTCTCGTCATCACTCTCGTCTGCTTCAAACTGGTACTTGCTCCTTTCAGCCAAGCTCATTTTACTACTTGGTTTACTGTATCCGCCATTCCCATTCAGTGCTCTGCCAACGCCATTTTTGCTCTCGAATCCAAACTCTCTGGTTCTTTCCCTCTCCTCGCGCTCTTCTTGATGGCGGGCAAGAATCCGTGCCTCTTCTTGTTTAGCACGGGAAGCTGATCGAAGTGGATTCTTCATGTGGATGGCGAACATGCTTCCATTAGCAACCTTGAGCTCCCTAGCCTTCTGGTCGGCCACACGGCTGTGACTAGAAGCAAGATCGAGATTCTTTTCGGTATTGTATAGGCGTTCACCTTGAGCTCCGAGCCTCGCAAGCGTGTTACGTCCGGTTTCTTCGGCCTGAGCAGCTACACGGAGAGCATTGCGACTGCTGGCCACCGATTCTTGCTTCGTGAAACGAATTTGTTGCTTGACAGCTTCAACGTCCTCCTCCTCCTCTTCTGCTTCGGTTAGATTACGGTCTGGGTTACTTTGTTGACCATAACCACCCTGCTGACCCTGTACACCCTGGTGGCCATATCCGCCATGCTGTCCAGAATACTCGTCTTTCCTTCCATAACCGCCTTGATTTGGAGGTGCATGGTATTGTTGCTGTTGCTGTTGCTGTTGCTGTTGCTGTTGCTGTTGTCTTTGTCCAGCACCGCCGAAGAGCTGTCCCCGTGGATCTTCATTTTTATTCATCACAGAACCACCATATACTCCGTTGACCCTAGACGCACTAGACCCAGCTCCGCTGGGAGCACTCGTTTGGGGAGAAGGTACTCTCGCTGGAGGAGGAGCTGGTGAGGTTTTGCGTTCGCCAAAAAAAGCTGCTTGTTGCTCTTCAGCAGTTTGAACTGGGGCTTTCTTGCTAAAGAAGCCTCTCATGATGAGTGGATATATGTAGATTTGTAGGTTGAATATAGTTTTTCGAATAGAGGTGTGAATATGCTAATATGAAGGCGAATATATATATATGTGTGTAGGTGTTTGTGGTAATTCTACAAAGAAATATATCTAGGAGAAAAAGGAGCTCCCTTAGCAGAGAGATATCTAGAGCTTCCAGGGGCTAGCTATTGAATTCTCAGTCTGAGCACATAGCATTGATGTCTTGGCAGCATCCGTGCCTCAGCTACATGTAGAGTAGAGGGTCCTTAGAACGAAATTGTTGTTCCAGAAAGGGGTGGTGGCATATGAATGCTGTATTAAAGGTACTTTACTTTATAATACATTTTAATATAGCCTACCTAAGTACATGTAGTAATACCTAACGCGTGTTGTATAAAAGGATACATTTAGTGGTAATTACACCCAGTTCCAAGTAATTGTTATGGGTTCGTTTGTGTCTAGAGTATTTCTCTCGCAGTTACCAGTTAGCATTGTCATGGTTCAACGTGCCAGTGATATACATTTTTGCGGTTGTTTTGTAAGTAATACCATCGGCCCAAGCGGGTAAGGTCGCTAAATAGTAACAAGTCGAGATAACCGTCGAGTCAACCCCACTTAACTAACACAACAACAACCTATCGCACTACTCCTGCACTCACGAATCGTCAATACTAGCATCAAATCACTCACCATCACTCGCCTCGTGTCTCTAACGGCCAGAACAGGGATACTCGCCAGAGATCTCTATTGTCTCTTTCGACTCACGTGATGACCGTCTTATCCGTTTTATCGAGCATCTCCCTCTCTCCTATAATCCTTATTTTAAGGATTCTATCGACTCTACTCCTTCCTGCCACTGTTATCGTTCGACATGTTTCGTACTTTTTATTGTTCTTCTTCTATTTGCCCTTTGCCTTACTTGCCCGACTTGAGGTTAACTCCCGGATGTATTCTCGTGCGCGATGGACTTGCTAACATGTGATTTGCTGGCAGCCCATTTACATATTTTGCGGAACAGCAGCCATTATTGGTAACTCGGTTTACATTTATTCCTCTGCCGCGCGCCATATAACTGACGGATTCGGACTTCAGGTATGATAGCCGGTGTTCTACTCGGGTTTACGTCGCACATCTTCTCCGGCGCTCTCGGCCTACACGACGAGACTGAGTCGACTGCGCCGTCCAATCTTGGTCGTTCAAAGAAAAGAGCCTCTTCCCAGGGTTACCAAAGCCCAATCCCAGTGAAACAGCAATCGCATACGCCCATGGCGCGCATGTTATTTCCTCCCTCAATCCCAACGATTCTTGAGGAGGAGGACGAAGATTCCCCAATTCTCCCGGGAAACCGGAGACGGCGGGGTAAGGCGGGTAACAACGTAGAAGCATGGTTTAATGGATCAGACGAATCGTCGGATTTGTGATTAATCCTGCCGTACGACCCTCATAATATCAAATCGCCTGTCATAGTTGGATATGTCTGGTCTTTGTAATCCCTATCTCTGGATCGGGATTTGAATGTGAATAGCAGATTTCGGCTGAGCAAAGGGATCGAAGGAGCGGATTTTCGTTAATCGAGATTTATTTTGTTCCGAGCCATCACATGTATTTATCTGATGTCTATATCACCGTATTGTCGTTGACTAGCGATTATGCCGATTATTCTTGGTGTAGATTTGATCGTTCCTAACTATAAGCAACAGGAATTTGTCGTTCGATGATGACGCGTTCATGAGCTTATATAGATACATGAGATAGGGCGATAGATAGGGAAGTGAGAAGGTGATTTGACCTCCCATCTGTAAGCTACAAGTACATGTATGTACTCGTTCGCCGAGCATGCCCAGATCCCCATATGTACTTATAACCAACCATGTTGTTGCACTCTATTAGAGAAAGCTGAGATATGCAGAAGGTATGGTGGGCAGAAACTTGCTTTTCGGATGTTACATACTGAGGACGTTGTGCGATGAGAAGCCGGGTGTGTGTGGGTGAAGCTTCCGTCCCGAAAGCCTTGTGGAACCAAGAAAAAGACTTCCTTTTTCACCCCGTCCCTGCTTTTGGTGCTTTCCTTGATTTGGTGATAGGCCACTACCCCACACGTTCCGAGCTTGCAGAAGCCAATCAGGAGGGATTGGCTGCCTAGCGATCCTTGCACCTGCGCTGTCTACCAAACCTTAAGCCAGGAGGATCCCTGCACATCGGTGCCACGAAGATGAGCGAAATCTCGCTCTTCGGCAGTGCTAGAGTATGTACCTACACGTCGGCCCGCAAAACGAATCGTCGGGGAAGTAACGATCCTACGGCTCTGGTTGGAACAGTCTTGGAGAACCGTTGGGGCCAGTCGGAATGACAGTATGCCCAACCTAGGGATTGCAGCAGTCCAATTGAGTAACCTCAACATGGGCTTGTGTGAACGGGTTGATAAGACGAAAGGATGTCAGCCCCGTTCACTTGCTACGAGTATGAGACGCACACCGCGTGTGTGGGTGCACCTACACATCCACTCTATATTTTGAGGAGGAAGAGGAGGAGGATCAGGAGGAGGCGAAGAGACAAGTGTCAAGCACTCAAATCCTTACGCACATTTTCCTCTTAGGTTTTAACAACATAGAACTCAGTGGGATGAGTGGCTCACTGGCGATTGCAGATACACATTCCTCGTGAATTTTATCACGGGTTCCCGTTTGCTTGGCCTTGGCGGCTGTCCCACACAGAGTTTGCTGTGTGGGGGCATGTTCTATGTTTCTAAGAGCTCTACTCAACCGTTTGCTTCTGGTCGCGCGAGTAAAGTACATGTATTATTTTAGGATACATTTGCATAGGGTCAGACATCGAGCGGGAAGAACACTAGGACAATATTAAGTTAGAGACAAGCACAGACAAAGGGGAGAGACAACTTGAAAAAAAAAGATAAAGATCATCATTCCCCATTCCACCCAGTTATCTACATGCGTGTAAGATATTCGTCATTTCTGCCAGATCGTGTGTCCATGCATTCCGTGAGGGCTGATGCTTTCGAAACCGGACAATAACAACACCAGAAACAGACATAAAAGGTCTAGAGTGAGTAATCCTGGAGCGGCCAAATCGTAGCCGGCCTCCATTATTTCACCCAATTTCCTCCTCCCACCCTCTCTCCCTTCATTTCAATGGAAACCATTCGAGCGATTTATTGCCCATGTGTTATTTACCAACCTTTACTTAATTGTTCAGCCTTACCCATAATATCCTGAGATATTCCCGTTGTTGTTGTTGTTGTCTTCCTCCCCCGCTCCGACTTCTCAACAAGTCCCTTAACACCCCCTCAACCCGCAATGTCAGACACAAATTGTGGCCGTCTGATATCGGTCCTGGCGTTTTACGTCTTCTCATGCTCGTGCTTCCGTGATGCACAGCCTAGAAAACCGAGTCGTGAAATACGACATGAAGCGCAAGTACTTTGGCGTGAGGAGATTGAATCAGGCCCAATACCGTCATTCATCAAGAACAACAATCACTGCCGGCAGGCTTCCAGAGGATCGTCCCGTGTCAACAGCAAAAACTCTCGGGCCAGTACTCCATCTTCTGCTAAAGCCACAAGCCGATCTTCACTGCCGTTAAAACCCGGAGCCGAACCCGAGCCTCTCGAAAACCTCGTTCCTCAAGCCGAAAAACGAAAGCCCCAAAGAATCACCACTGTGACGGTTTCGGAGTTACCGAAGATTCATCCGCCCATCAATGATCGACACCCGCCCGTTGTTTCAGCGCTACCAGAGTCGAAGAGTGCTACAGCATGGATGACACTTCCACCGCCGCCAGCGCGCGTCATGAGGGCCATCAATAGAGCTACACACTTGGGGAAGAGTAGTCAGCGAGATGGGAAGGATACGGTACTTTGGGGGAAACGGTTGGCAAACTTAGAAAACCGCTCAACGTCACCAAGTAGCTCAAAGGAAAAATCCGAGGTTACTTTAGTGGAAGACGTAGAGAAAAGTATTTGGGAAAGGCATCATGATGATCAAGACGAAAACTCGGAGGCCATGCATCAAACCTTGTCTCGGGAGATTGGATCAAGGACGCGGTCCGGAATGCCTTCTCCGACTTTCAGTGCACATTCTCGCGCTGAATATGAATGCCGATACCTAGACCCCAATTCTGGGGCCACTAAGTCTTACACATTGACCTACGATCAAGAGTTTCTGGGCCAGACTCCCCCGCCGTCTGCGACGACATTTGTCGAAATAGTTCGAAGGCCACCGCCAGCACTGAAGGCGCCTCTTGCAAAACCGCAAAGTCTTAATGGGTTTGAGGATATCTATAGTTGAGGAGAGAAGATTGAAATAGAGCAGGAGAGTATAAAACATTGGGGGATTCCGGACTTCCATACTGCTACTCATGATTCATGATACATTATTTGTCAAAGATTTGTCTTTCTTTACTGAACGTAAACTACACTGAACGCTTTTCAGCATATTCTTTTTTTGTTCTCTTCTCGACTTTCACCTTCCCTTTATTTATCTCTTACTTCTTTGGCGTTTTATTTGGTGTTTGGGTATCTGGTGGTTATCTTTTGGGTTTTTACTTTTTTTTTTAAGCAAAATTTCATGAATGGAGTTCAGTCTGGAAAAGGTGGGTTATCTGGAATTCAATGGACAATTGTTAGAAGGCTTTATATTGCATATTACATGCATTTGGGTTTCTTGTTGACAATTCAAAAGCTTTATGTATGTACATATGCCAAAAAAAAAGAGACAAAGCTGTGGTTGAACAGTTATCTCAATGTACTTTAAATTATGCATCTCGCTAAAACTCAATTATTCTAAAATCATCATGACCAGGTGAAACAAACAATCGTAGCGATGACTCCGTACACATGTGCACATCTTTATCTTATCCTCGGATAAGTGATGGTGTCCCATAGCGTCATTGGAGTATAAAGTGATACTGCAAGTTATCCAGAGGCCGGTGGTGTTCATCAGATATCACTCGCTGCGCATTAGTATACTTTTAGAGTGCAAGAGCTCCCTGGGCTAGTCAGAGTGCATACATGTATGTAGGACTGGCATATGAGCCATCTCACAAGCCGTTGAACTCGAATGCAAGATGGCCTATGCGCCCTGATGGTTGATATATATTATATATGTACTCCATAGCTTTATTAGCTTTGGACCATTGGCCAGGATAATCTCGATGTATCAGCTCTGGTACTATATACTTCGAGTAATTGAATATAATGTATCATTGTATGATCAATGAGGTTACGCTCAGCTCGAAAATACATGGTACGGGTTTACAGGTCCCCTTACCAGATATACATGTATGTATTCCAGACATGCTCAAGGATGTGCTCAATCGCAAGATACTTAGATTATTCTACCCCCTTTTACAGTAGAATTGCCCCTCATAATGATGGAACTACTCTAGAGTACATGCATCTGAGCCTATACCAGACCAGGTCGTAAAGTCGGACTCTACTCTGTCTGATTAACCTGTTATGTACATGTATCCAAATACTTTACTCTATGCATGCGAATCACAGCCTAGCCTCACTGAGGCGTCAGCCAAGATTGTGACAGTGACCCTGGCTGCAGCCCGGGTTGGGAGAGCCTGGCTACATGTAACCACCATATCGAAGAGCCTGATTCAGAGTCCTGGCATCTTGACAACGCATGCAAAAAGGTCAACCTGCAGGCCCATGACAGCTGGGGAACGTAGTAATATTAAGAGTGTGAGCGAGGGAGCGCAAACAGAACAGCACAACTCCTAAAACTACGGTCTCCTAGTTATGTGGCCCACTTCTGATCGCCGCCTACTATGAATACGGTTATATCAATGGTGTCATGCACGGGGGAGTTAAAAAAAGGGCCTGGAAAAGACGCAGACACCGCAGGTTATTCTCCCACTTTTTCTTCTTTATTCTTCAGTCTTCCTTGGACACATCGAAGAGGCACCTATTTGTCTGGTATCGCGCATAGGTCGTTAGTTGCGATAGTTGCCCAGATAGTCCCCTACTAGATATTGCAACTTGCTTTCGCGCCTCAGTCCGACATCAGGCTGGGCTACATACATCATACGACGCACTGCTGCATCGCATCTAATCGAACGCGAGGATCTCCCCAGGCATCTAATCTCTACACGTGGAACACCGTTTAGACTCAAATGGCCGCACGGGCATGAGAAGAAAGAGAGAGAGACATCCTCTTGTCGAGTAGTGTGATAGTGTTGAATAAATCTTGTCGACTACAACCCGCGATAGCATATCACCATCAGTAAGTTACATGTATCTACCTATCGCCTTGCCACATAAACATATCCCTTCCCCCGTCATGTCTTCCGAGAATTTCTCCCACCCCAATTCCCTTTCAATTGTTTTAGGCTCTCATAATGGCCTGCTACTCGCTCCATAAGTCACTCAATACCTTATCTCAAGACGATTGCTATTTTATTGATTGTCAGTACGCTTGCATGTCGGAGGGTTCGGAGTTTGGGTCTCAAAGCTTGCGCTTACTCGACACAAGGTCAATTAGGTTGTGTATATCAACCCCAAATCTCATATCTTCATCTTTAAAAAGCAACAGCAGCGATGGTCGGCCACGATGTGGACCAAAAGTACTTGGGAAAATACGCAAAGTCTACTGCAGAAGACAAAAACCCTATATCCGCGGGACTCTACAAACTACTGGGGCTTTCGACTCTCCTATCCCGAAAACTACTCCGCGCACGAAAGCAACGCAAGTTAGACCCAACCCGCACAACCAAATCTCTCGACCTCTATCGGCATATCATCTGGATGGCTCGTGAGGGTCTTGGGATTCTGCACAATGAAATCCAGCCCGAAATTGCAAATTACCCCTTGATGAACGAACTTCGGGTTCTTATCGCAAAACTCAATGCCTCATACCTCCATATCTTTGTCCTGTTCGATCACACATATGAAACAAGATCTACCATGTCTCCTAGTTCTACATTGAAGGCAACAACTGGTAATGGAACGGCATCTCGCACGAATGGCTCATTGGGTCCTAATGGTATCGCCTCTCTCAACATGAATTCTCAATATGCATACATCAAACCAACTATCGACGCTTTCCTTAAAGCTGAGAAAAACGCAAGGGACCTGTTACCAGGGTCACATCCTCTTAGATTGTCAGTGAAATTGGAATACAGTGCTTTTCTATACGACTGTACAAGGGACTATGAAAATGCTCGACGTGTTGCACAAAAGGCAGTTGATGAAGCATTTGCGTCTATGGATGCTATGGACGATGATGCCTTTGAGGATGCCATGGAACGTAAGATCTCATTTAATTGGTTGAAAAAAATCTTGTTGGAACCAGATCTAATTCATATTAGTGGTAGGAAGCTTAGGAGTTTTGGCGAAAAGAAGCGAGCCATCTCCCAAACCATCTCCAAGATTGGACGGCCAGGAGAATCGACCAAATAGGCATGCAGCCCAAGCAGCTGGACAGCATGTTATTTGAGGGCCATGTATGATATAGTGCAAGTGGTTTCAATGGGGATAAGAGAAACTTTTGGTTTATTGTCTGGTGTTAAAGAGTTATGGTATTCACGGTTGATATTTATGGTTCGGATTCATGGGATATGGTCTGCTGAAACTGCACGTGTTAAGCGGATTTCTTTCACAGCTTTTCTTTTGTCGCATGGTGTTTCACGCGATCCGTTGGTTGGTTGTACATTTGTTTTTCTTTTTACCTACACGCTCTACATACTTTCAAGTCGTTCAAACGTGCTATTTCGAACGAAGTCTTGCGAATTTTCCCTACACACTCTATCTTCAAACTCCAAAACTTACTATTTTACAACAAAGTCCTATGAATATCAATTTGATTATGAGGGTACATAGAGGAGCCAAGATTCGCTTTGCTTTGGGCAATCTCGTACTCAGCCGCACTGTTACTAAATACAGACCTGAATACCTGGAATAATACTTAAAGTCTACAGGTGCTCAGAGTAGATTTACGTTGTGGCGGCATGGTGGTATGTAATTAGAGCAAAACTGTCCTGTGGGGTGAGGCCAGCGCTTAATGCCAAGAGGGTTAGCTACAGGAGACAAGGGAGAGCTTATTGCTTATTTCCCCCCTATCCCCTTCCCAGACATGTAGAGAGGCCTTGACGCACTGCCCAGTCCTAGTACTCTACTTTAATCCTTAAAATCCTTATTTCTTCGTCCTTGCTCCCTCCGGCCTTCATTTCCAAAGTCTACCACTCATTGCAAACTCAAACCGCTCTCTCGCATTCATTACACCAATCACTCTTGGAACTGTTTGATATATTGCGCATTCTGTTGAGCAGTTCAGTATGCCTTCTATCATTTCTCTTGCAAAGGTTGCGCTTCTTGCGCTCCCAACACTTGCATCTGCGGCGGGACAGATGGGTTTTTCACTCGGTGCTCGAACCAATCCAGTAAGCCTTCTTGACCTTATCATATCACCCTCTTTGGGGATATGTTTTGTTGACATTCTGTCTCATTTAGGATGGGGCAGATAAAACGACAACGGATTTCGAAAACGATCTTGATATAATCAAGACGCAGAGCACGATAATCCGGACCTATTCAGTGAGCGATCACGGAACAATGGAGAATATCATGCCCGCTGTCATCGCAAAGAACTTCAAGATTGTCCTTGGTGTATGGTAAGCTCATGGCTTGGTAGCGTTGATGCGGTCGGAGGACATGATTAAGCTAATTATGTACGTAGGCCCACTGACGACGCGAAATTTGAGATTGAGAAGGAAACCCTCAAAGAGTAGGAACTATCCAATATATAAACTTTATATTATACTTACTGACCACCGTTTATAATAGGTTCATCCCAAAGTTTGGATTCGAAAATATCTATGCTATCACCGTTGGGTCAGAATCTTTATACCGAAAAGAACTCACTGGTGCAAAGCTCGCAACGAAGATAAAAGAGGTCAAGGATGTACTCAAGGAGCTCGGAGCCGATAGCATCCCCGTAGGATTTGCGGATTCATGGAATATGCTCGTCACTAGTGACGCAAAGCCTGCTATCGAGGCTAGTAATATTATCCTGGCCAATGCTTTCAGTTACTGGCAAGGGCAAAAGATGGATAATGCCACACATTCTTTCTTTGATGACATAATGCGTACGAATTCCATTCTAAAAAGAGCAAGTTATAACATGCTAATAATAGACAGAGGCTCTAAGCCATGTACAAGAAGTCAAGGGTTCGGACCTTGACTGGGACTTCTGGGTTGGTGAGACCAATTGGCCGACTGGTGGAAAGGATTATGAAAATGCTGTCCCTAGCACTGAAAATGCTGCCACGTTTTGGAAAGAAAGCGTCTGTGCGATGCTTGCCTGGGGAATCAACATTTTTGTTTTTGAAGCCTTTGATGAGGTTTTCAAACCTGTCGAAAAGGGCAACGATGTTGAGCACCATTGGGGTGTGTGGGATGAGAATTATAAGCCCAAGTACGATTTGAGCTGCCCAACTTAAGGAGATCGTATGAGAATTGGAGTCGCCTATCTTTTACAAATCAAACATGTTACAAATTTAGGAAAGCTTAGTTCTTGTGCTTTTATTGTGGGTCAACTTGTCGTTTGTAGCAGTACAGTATCTTTTGTAATCCCATCTTCCTGGGTGGCTCTGGCGTCCAATCATCAAAATAAAAAATATTTGTAAATCGCTACCCGGACGGGTATAGACCCATATTCATTCTGCTGATGGTTGAGAACTGTTAACTGCTCTTGGGCGAACGCTATTCACGCTGACGACTCGGAAATATTGTCCCACCCCTGTTCTCAGAACCACAAAGACGCTTATGATGCTTCGATCTCTCGAAAGTGCTTTGCCGTTGTGCTGTGGCCCACTTTGACTGTCTTGGATTTAGAAGTGGTAATAATTCTTATTCCTTGGGCTACTCATGTATGTTGCTTGGCAAGATTATAATTAGTGGGGATGTGTACCTGCATAAAGAGTATGCACGCGGACGTTCCCGGCCAGTGTTACCGATGATCCTATTTGCTTATCAGGAATACATTCATATATGACGGCCCCCAAAGCGCTACCGGGAACAAGTCAATGATTGACCAAGAATACATGTATTAATACATACATGTATACAAGTACATGTAGTGTAGTACTACAATACATGTACATACATACATGTACTCATGCAAAAATCGCTCTCGTCTTACCTCCTCCTTTCCCTCCTCCTCCGTCTCTGGCCCCAGCGATATATCCATCGAAGATTGGCTACATTGCATTGGTATCAACAGATATTAACGTTCGCCTGGAAATATTGCGGTTTACTATTCCGATAAGTTGATGCTTGTTCGCTCTTTGATTATCTAGACAGAAATGTAGTATGTACATGTACTTATCTTATCTGTGCAATACATATGTACATGTACCGTTAAAGATCTGGGATGTTTATGTATGAGTCAGTTGAAATACCACGGACCCATGAGCGGCACGTACGCATGCACGAGCAAAATTTAGTTGGCGAACTAAACTTACTTTCTACGCCACTGAAATTCTCTATCCACATTCTCCAAATTAGTAGATCCAAGCGGTATCCGTCTCTATCGAGGAATGGACATGTTCCTTATGAGTCTAGAGTCTAGACAGACCTCCTTCTCACTTAAGAAAACTCGTAAACATATGGAAGTATATAAGATGGAATCAGTCTAGATCAAGTCATGATTTGAATTGTTTACTATAGACAGATCATCAACAGTGGCTAAAATGTGCGAAAAAATGCAGCAAGAACAACGCGATATTGAAACAGCCATCGAGATACATGTAGAGAGAACACCAAAGCGTGGAACATGGAGAGAACCACGACGAAATATATTTCGCCTGTTCTCAACATATTTGGGATTTCTCATATACGGGATGAATGATAGCACTGTGGGGGTAAGTACTTACCATTCCTAAGGTTTAAAACCCATAGATAAACGAGATTATATGCATATTCGCTGCTTTCAAGTATTCAATCCTTTAAAGACTACGGGCTTAACTCACATATTTTCCAGGCACTTCTTCCTTCTGTAAGACCACACACAGGATGTCCTGCTAAACGATAAGCTTTCTGATACATATGGATATAACCCAGATTGAAATTTATTATGGACTCAACTACACAACTGTGTCTTTGATATTCTTGGCTCCAGCCATTGGATGTGTCCTTGCCGCCTTCTTGACAAACCGTCCTCATTCAAAAATCGGCAGGCACGGCGTGGGGCTTTTGTCATGTGGATCTTATACCATCGCATACGCAATTGTTTCGTTTCATCCGCCATTCCCAGTGATATTTCTATTGTACATCATTACTGGCTTCGGGAGCGGGCTGATAAACGGATTATGGAATTCATATGTCAGTGGATTAACTAACTCGAGTTCATTATTGGGGTTCCTTCACGGCTTTTTTGGAATAGGCGCAACAATCAGCCCAATTATCGTACGTTATAATGGTTTTGAGATATATTTTCATAAATTGCTAACTTTGATAAAATTTAGGCTTCAAAGTTAGTGGCGAGTGGGATCCCCTGGTACAAGTATTATTGTTAGTCAATTGTTATTTCTGAAAAGTGATCTGATGCATGCTAACATGTATTAGACATACTCGTAAGATATGCTCCTATTATTGGGCAATTGGACAGTTGGATGATCTACACGTACTTACTGATAGGATAGACTGGCCTCGGTGCTATGACAACTGCAATACTCGTAACAGCGTTTTGGGAAGAAACGGGCCCAGTGTACTGTCAACAGCACGCTGATTCATCCGGAATGACTGGAGGACGGACTTTGAAAGTTATCAAGAGCAAGGTGTTTAATATTATTCCTTGAAACGATTAAGTTCTTGGCTAATCGGAAAGGTGACTATACTACTATCAGCTTTTATGCTGTTATATTTGGGATGTGAGCTCTCAATTGGAGGATGGATCGTAACATTCATGATACGTGTGCGTGGCGGTGAAGAATTCGGGTCAGGACTGGTTACTTCGGGTTTTTGGATTGGGTAGGGGTTTAAAATTGTGCATAATACATGTACATGCAGTTATTTACTAATTAATCTAACTGTGTTATTCCTAGTTTAACTTTAGGTCGATTTGCGCTTGGGTGGGTCACTGGCCATTTTAGAGAGTTCCTCATGGTTACGATATATATAGTACTAGCTATTGGCTTACAGCTCTGTTTCTGGTTAATCCCACAATTCGTTGTATCTGCCGCGATGGTGGCTATGATCGGGTTTTTCATTGGAATGCCAATACCAGCAGTAGGGCATCTGTTATATATCAATCTTTCGTGGATTACATGCAACTGTGACTAATTATTCCTCAGGCGATTGTTGTCGTCACAAAGACTCTTCCACCAGAGCTTCATGTTGGTCCTTATCCTGAAATATATTTTTGATTCAAACTGATTGTACTATTGAGGTGATTGCTGTTGGATTCTCTACGGCATTTGCAGTATCTGGCTCAGCAGTGTAAGTTCATTTTCTTTTAAAATTTCTGGGATATGATGGAGTGCGCAGGTGTTGATTCATAGGATGCAGCGTACCGTTCGCTGTGGGAGCACTTGCACAAAGCAAAGGAGTTCAGGTCTTACAGCCAATAATTGTAGCTTTATTAGCTGCACAGCTTGGATTGTGGTTCTTCGTGCCAAGGGTTGCGGAAGGGAAACAAGGTGGGTAAATATGGAGAGGACCGAGCTCTCTTATAAATGGGAAATGTCTTCGGTTGAGTGGACGCGAAGGTTCGGTTATAAAGTTTAATCTAGAATCACTGATTTGATTTAATTTATGTGCTCAAAATCTCAATGAGATTAATAAAAGATTGATCATAAAAACACAGATGTTAGCGGTATCAATTTCCGTGAACTAATCTTTTTAAAAACAAAAATCGAAGATTTATGAAGACCATACCAGACCCGTGAAAGCTACGTGTAGTTTAAACCAAATCTTTTAGGCACTTGAGAAGAAAGTATACGTAGATGATGAAAAGATTGGATAACTTTATACCCCCATATTTCCTGATTGACACTTGAAGGATTGCGTATGTACGGTCTTGGTACCTTGGGATTAAAATCCCTGTTTTGTGCCGAAATATTTGGGCAAAGAGAAAAATGTGTCCACAAATGTAACATTGTAATTGGCTGTATCGAGTGATATTTTATGAAGTGCTCCAAACTTCCAGGCTTCACTATTTATCTAGTAACGTGGATGTCTAATAATCCGTGTGCCCTATTTACTCCCAGACAGCTCAAGCACTGCATTCTTGGCTTCTCCGACAACGTCGTATGACACCTGCTTGTCAATCTGTGACCACATTTCAATACTTGGAAGTTTACCCTCTCTCTGTTTAGGTCCTTGCTTTTGTTGCCGAGAGCGCTCTTGTATGGCAGTAACTCGGGGATAGCGAAATTCTTCGAAACGCTGTAGACGGTCTGCTAAACTCATATCTGGGGGAGTGTCAAGGAGGAAAATAGGTAACGAGGCCGCATCCTCAATAGCTTGAGCGCCACCTTGGCCTTGGTCTACATAAATATTAATAAGAAATAATATCTGGGGCGTATATAGGTGAACTATACGCGGAAGCATGGGATGTGCTGCATCGCCAATTAAAAGAGCATTGCCTTTGTGCCAGCCTTGTACAGGATTGCGATCCCTAATCTGCCATAATCCAGGACTGGAGTCTTTTCTATTTAGGGGTTTAGAACATGATTCGGGTGAAAAGACCAACGATGACTTACAAAAGAAGTTTCTGAAGGGGTTTCGGAAATTCTTTGAACTTTTCCGCAAGGTCAGAAGCTTTGCCGTTTGCGCGCCAGCTCTCAACTGATTGACTAGCCTCCCAGAACACAGGTGCAAAAAGGTTTAGAAGAGTATTATCTCTACAGGGATAGAGCAGCTACTACCACTGTCAGTGAGGCCTTAATTCTCTGATCTCAAGGGGGTATACACAGCGTCGCCCATCTCTCCCAACCCAATCCTCCATTTTGATTTCGTTCACAAATACTCTGAGCTCTGGATCGGCTTTAAGCTCTTCTATATTATACAGGGAACGAAATGCACTGTGACCACTGTAAACACTGGGCTCCTCCCTTCTTCCCCTTACTTCCTGCCTGATGACCGATTTCACTCCGTCTGCCCCAATAATAAGGTCACCTTGGAAGCTTTCACCTTTATCCGAGACGATGACCCCACTTCCACAGTCCACACGTATAATATTAACGCCGAGTCTCAGCATTGCTGGAGGACCCCAGCATTCATCCCGATCACTAGTTGCGATTCGGAGTAGCTCAAATTGCAAGTCTGCACGATGAAGAAACCACCAAGGTGCACCAACATCACGAACAATATCCCGAAGGTCGAGTGAATCAACAACAACACCATCCTTATTATATTCATATTGGGGCCCGGCGTCAGTGGCACGAGCGCGTTTTGGATCAAAACCGAAGGATAACAGGACCCGAGTAGAATTGGGCGCTACCGAGATCGCTGCGCCGACCTCACTGAGCTCAGGCGTTCTTTCAAAAATCTAGGATATTTAAAAGTTAACTTACATAGAACCTAAACCACGCATAAATAGTAGACTGACCTCAACCACTACACCACGTTTGCGAAGGGCGATTGCAAGAGAAAGACCGGCTATGCCTGCGCCAACAATCAACACTTTATTGATTTGACCCATGATACAATGTAGAGATACAGGAGAATCGAAGGGGAAAACGAGGGATGTGAAAAAATCTGGGGTCAATACTTTACACCATGTTGTGAAGAAATACACTTGTCTTCTCTGTGTGCCGATGTATCCAGCGGGGTAATGCAACTTGAGGATTGGGGACAGTTCCGAGAACCCGAAATTTAATCAATTTAAATGTAGATAAACCTACCGGGTAGACAGGTTTCGTCTTCTCAAGTTATCAAGTAATGATTACGTCAACAGGAGGTCGAGTGATAGGCTGTGTTGCGGAGTGATACAGAGAATAACTTAACGGTAAAGGACTACAATGCCACGGAAAACAGGGATAAATGTCTACAATGCCATAACACCCAGCGTGTGCACGCAAATTCTCACATATTTCCAAAAAAAAAATAAAAATAAATAAAATTAATATAGGCGTACAGCCACTCTGCAAAAGTGTTCGTGATTCCGATTTCGGAGTGTGACATTTCTCCATAGGTAACCGTGGCGGACCATCAAAAAAAAACCCAAGAGAAGACTTTCCCAGTGATCAATGGCGCCCAATCAATGAAGAATAAGATCAATGACCTATCTTCTTTTATATATATTCACGAACTATATTATATATTTTTCGTTGTTTTAAATCTCAACATTAATTAATAACATCAACGTTACGGGTGCGCCACACTGCGCACTGACACTAAAACTAAATCACGAACACTTTTGATGAGTGGCTGTATGTATTATTAATTATGTGCCCAGAGGGCTTTACAAAGTTTTTGAACAATTTTGGTGGCCTGCGGCAGTCAACTTCCTTCCTCCCTAACAACCCTCGAAAGTCAACTACAATAGAGAGTATTTACCAACCGTCAATTGTAGCAATTGACATTTTGCTGATCTCAAAAGTGGAACCCGCAACTATCAATTTTGGATCGCTAGCCCCACACTCCGGGGGCTTCTCCACGCCTGTGAAAATTCCTGTGAGAATGATATGACGCTGTTGTAATATTATCTGAAAATAAAATACTTATAGCTTTCTTCAAATAATTGAGATTTCTTTTGCCAAATTTGACAACCCGCTGTGCTTTTCCCAACCATGGATCATGATGAAGCAGAAACCCATTCCTACGGCGGATTTGTTCAAGATGAGGCTGAAATGAACACCTTATCCGATGCAGATTTCCTTCATTTTACGAGGTAATAGCCTACTACAACTAATACGGTAGACTTTGGTTTTCTGATTGGTGTCACTATAGATTTGAATTTGACGATATTCAAAAACTCGGTAAGGTACTGGGTGTCCTTGATACTATTTATACACGTTCTGGATATGCATTCGATACGCTACATGCCATGTTCCTATTGTGTGCCCGATTGGCCTGGCCTTCAAGGCAAAAAACCTTCGCTGTCTTTTTTGGCTGGTCCCAAAGCTCTATATCAAATGTATTATATGGATGCTGGATTTTATTGATGGTCGATGGGGTCATCTACTACGAGATTTTGATTCAGGATTGATACCTGAGTCAAAGATTTCAACCTTCGCATCTGCGGTACAATCAAAAGATGTCCCTCTTAACAGTTGCTGGGGATTTTTGGATTGTACTATCCGACCAATCTGCCGATCTACACAGTTCCAAAAGCAGGCATACAATGGACACAAAAAGCAACATGCACTCAAATATTCCGCAGCTATATGTCCTGACAGAATTATATATCATCCGTTGTAACGGAGCCATTTCAACTGTCTAGTGTATGAGTACACACAGGGCCCGGTTATATGCTGAGAGTTATTGTTAGAAGCCAGTTGCACGGTGATATGCAAGTACCGGCAATGTGGCTAGCTACCAGCTGTTAGAGCAACTACATTCTGGGCGCTAGGAAGGGGATTTATTCATGGGAGTAATGACTGACGAGCCTATACCTCGCCAGTGACTAGTAGGCCAGCTAGAGTGAAGCTTTGTGTAATGGGGGTCCCTTCTAAGAGAAATAGAATAAGATAGAATAGAGACAGCCGTGCAAGATAGACAATCAGGTTGTATAACGTGGGTCTATGGACAAGAGACTATAGTGCCAAGGAATACAACCGAGGCAGGAACGTAGTAGAAGATATTCGTAACTTTGGACTATGGAGCAGCTCTATTTGATCTGATACTCAAACTGAACCCTATGAAGTAGCGTAGCACAGAAATAATATTCGTGGAGTAGAATACAGAAGAAGAAGAAGAATCTTATATTGCTTTGAAGTACAAGACTTATCGCACGCCAAACCAACCGCCTAAAACGAAACCGAACAGAAAAGAAGAGAAAAGAAAAAGAAAAGGAAAAAACAGCGAACAAGAACAAACAAGAACAAACAAGAACAAAACGAACACGAACAACGGCAAGGAAATTCAAGAACGATAAACGACCTGAAAACCCAACGGCAAGGAGAAATAACATATCTGTAACGGCAGCCATACGTTTCGGTTATGCGAAGTGTCAGAGTATGTAAAGGAAGGATTGTGTAGTGTGTGTGTGATTTGTTAAAGCGAGTTTCTATTATGTTTTTTCTGTTTCTGTTACGCGAGAAGATGAGTCATCGTGGGTTGAGGTCTGGATATATAAAGGGGCGTTGTCTCGGCTTTCTTCTGTTTTCTTTTCTTTCCTTTTCTCTTTACGCAACCTCTGTATTTACTCCACGAATACTATTCTTTGTCCGCACTACGTCATAGGGCTTCAACTGGTTTATCATACCAGGTAGAGCCAACCCATAGTCCATAGTCAAAGTATACCTTTACGTCTACGTCCACGTCTACGTCACCACCTAGGTTGTATTCCTTGGCACCACAGTCTATCGCCTACGGTCCCCGTGATATATATCGCACCAAATACTCAAATCTTCCTCTTCGTTTCCTCGAATCCAAAATATCTTCGACTTCCCATTCTTCCTCCCCTTCGATTTCAACCGGAGGTGGTGGTAATTGTTGTTGTCCTGGTAAGGGATCATTCGCTTCGGGTGACAATAACGAAACATGAAATACTGGATGAATTTTCATTGACTGGGGAAGTTCCAACTCATAAGCATAGGGATTGACAATGCGCTTAACGCTATAAGGTCCAATACGTTTCCAGTCGAATTTCTTGGAAGGTCGCTTTGTTAGAATATGAGAGCTTGATAGGAAAACCTTGTCTCCTAAATGGTAACGAGGAGCCGGAGTTCGATTTCTGTTGGCTGATTCTTCTTGTATTCTTTGTGCCCGGAACATCTCTTCTCTTAGAAAATCCACTACATCCTTCATTTCTCTTGCAATACGGTTCGCTTGATCCTCCGCCGTCGTTTGACCATGTTCCAAGGGGCCAAAAGTCATTCTTGGATTTCTTCCCGAATTGGCATAGAACGGGGAGACCTTTGTTGTTTCGGAGGCATGATTGTTTGTCGCAAATTCAGCCATTGGTAGCATTCGAGCCCAATCATCCTGTTGATAGGAAACATAACTTCGGAGGTACTGTTCCATTACGGCATTGATTCTTTCCGTTTGTCCATCTGTTTGGGGGTGAAATGCGGTAGAGAATTTTGGTGATATTTCTGTTACGGGCATGCCAAGCATTTACGGGAGTGAGAGAAAGGCTAGTAGATGCCCCAATACCCTCTGATACTAATGGCAACATTACTATCAACTCCGGTTCGCACCCACGAGGTGCGGTGCGATCAATATGCGACCAAATGCGGAGTTGCGGTTTCCCTAGTTAAAAAACACGTTTTCGACCCCAATAATAACCCCCGGAGCGTCAAACCGCCGGGGGGGAGTGTTTTGGTACCGGTGGATATATGAGGGACAGCTGGAATCAATCGGATTGAAGATCGGACCGCTCGGAGTGAATCGGCGCAAGCTGCCAGCCGACCGAGTACCTATCGGCGGTACCTGTGGGCATGAGAGGACTCTGCTATGTGGGGAAGCGATGTGGGAAGAGGCCTGAGTAGGTAGCCTTGCCGTCCGAGACCTCTGAACAGCCGACGCTGACGATTATCCACCAGATAGCCGATGGAGAAGAAACATCGACAGGGAAACGTGCATTAGAGTGAATAAATAGGTTGAGGGGTTTCAGCGGGTTTAGGAGTTTGGGTTACGGACTTAGGAGTTAAATGTTCTTGGTTGTTTTTCAGGGTCTCAGGCATGCCCCGAGTGTATTCTGTATTATTAGTAGACGGGGTCCTCGAGACATAAGCGAGGGATATAAATACTGTGTCATTCACTGACTAGCCAAACCATCATCGGCGAAATCAGAGTCTTAACAATATAAATCGTTGATACGCGAGTTACAACTTTATTTGACTATACTTTTGGAATTACTTTACTCTATCGTGGCTGTGAGGGATGCGTACCAGACCACAAGAGTACACTACGCAGAGCTCAGAGTTCGGCTAACAGCTACAAAGGTAGAAGTCTCCAAGGTCTCTTCAGTCAACGTCGAGTATGATTCTCCTTGATCCGATACGGGCCCCGCGAGCTACGTTATCAACAAAGATTCACTAGAGTTTAGCGTTTGATGTTCGACCGTCTTCGACGTAATAGTTCAGGTAGAGTTCGAAGTCACGATAGAGTAAAGTAATTCCAAAAGTATAGTCAAATAAAGTTGTAACTCGCGTATCAACGATTTATATTGTTAAGACTCTGATTTCGCCGATGATGGTTTGGCTAGTCAGTGAATGACACAGTATTTATATCCCTCGCTTATGTCTCGAGGACCCAGTCTTCTAATAATACAGCATACACTCGGGGCCTGCCCGAGACCCTGAAAAACAACCAAGAACATTTAACTCCTAAGTCCGTAACCCAAACTCCTAAACCCGCTGAAACCCCTCAACCTATTTATCCACTCTAATGCACGTTTCCCTGTCGATGTTTCTTCCCCATCGGCCGTCTGGTGGATAATAGTCAGTGTCGGCTATTCGGAGGTCTCGGATGGCAAGGCTACCTACTCAGGCCTCTTCCCACATCGCTTTCCCACATAGCAGAGTCCTCTCATGCCCACAGGTACCGCCGATAGGTACTCGGTCGGCTGGCAGCTTGCGCCGATTCGCTCCGAGCGGTCCGATCTTCGATCCGATTGATTCCAGCTGTCCCTCATATATCCATCGGTACCAAAACACTCCCCTCCGGCGGTTTGACGCTCCGGGGGTTATTATTGGGGTCGAAAACGTGTTTTTTAACTAGGAAAACCGCAATTCCGCATTTGGTCGCATATTGATCGCACCGTACCTCGTAGGTGCGAACCGGAGTTGATAGTGGTGGTGCCATTACTATTAAAGGGTATAGGGGTATCTACTAGCTTTTCTCTCACTCCGTAAATGCTTGGCATGCCCGTAACAGCTTACCCCCCTTCCAGGGTGTCACGTCTCGGGACATCTTCTGACAGACTATGGTTCCAGTAAACCTACTCCACATATCACCCGTGGTGTCTGTGGAGGGGAAGGACTTAGCCCCGTGGGGTACCTCTATAGTCTCAGGCGTTGGTCCTTCACAGCCTTGGGGTTCCTTCGATGAAAGTCGCGGACTAGATCAAGTATGTCTTCGTTCATAACGTCCATGACTTGGTAAGTACAGTCGCTCATCGAATAGCCCCGCCATTTCACCAGGTATTCTACTAATCCTTTTCTGCTCTTCCGGCTTCCCACAATACTTTCCACTTCGTATAAAACCTCTCCTTCCTTATCGACCTCTTCGGGAGTTGGGGGGCGTTGTTCGCGGCCTGGTATACCGCTCTGTCGGTAACGTTCCAAGAGTTCAATATGGAACACGTTATGGATTTTGACTTGCGGTGGCAGTTCCAGTTCGCAGGCTCGTTTACCGGCTAGTCGGACAATTTTGAACGGGCCGAGTTTCTTATGATCGAGTTTCTTGGTAGAGCGACGAGTCTTGATGTTGGTCGCATTGAGCATAACCATGTCTCCTACCTTGAAGTTAGGCGGTTCGTCCCTTTTCCGATCGTAGTATTTCCCCATCTTCTCCCTGGTATCTGTTAAGCGAGCCAGAGCGGAATCATGAACTCCTCGGATAAAGTGAGCATACAGGTCACTGGTTGGGTTGACCACTTCAGCTTCCGTCGGCCAGTTGGTTCTTGGGTTGTAACCGTAATTGGTATAGAACGGAGATTGGTCCGTGGCGGTGGTAACCGAGTTGTTATAAGCATACTCCGCCAACGGGAGTAGCTCTGCCCAATCATCTTGCTCGTAGTTACAAAATGCTCGTAAGTAGTGCTCGAGGATTTGGTTGACTCGCTCTGTTTGCCCATCGGTCTGAGGGTGGAAAGCCGTACTCATTCTTATCCTCACATCCAACAATTCCATAAGGGATGCCCAAAAACTTGAAGTAAACTTGGCGTCCCTGTCGGAAACTATGTCGAGAGGCAGCCCATGGAGTCGTCAGATTTGACCGAGGAATATCTTTGCTAAATCCTGCGCGGTCGTTTCTGCTACTAAGGGAATGAAGTGCGACATCTTCGAGAACCTATCGACTACTACCCAGATTTGATTGTATCCCTTTGATTCCGGTAACTGTACGACGAAGTCCATTGATATCGATTGCCAGACAGAATGTGGCGTGGACAGTGGTAGAAGCGCACCGTATTTTTTATGGCGGCTGGGTTTGTTGCGCTGGCACTCGTCACATGACCGAACGTAGTCATCAATCCACTCGTTCATTTTTGGCCAATAGAAGTTACACGTAATGAGTTCCAGTGTCTTATCTTGTCCAAAGTGTCCTGCCACTTTCGAGTCGTGTTCTGCCTGTGCGATTCGGATCTTGATACGGTCGTCTGCCGGGATGTAGAGTCGGTTCTTATAGAAGAGTAGCCCGTCTTTCTCGGCAATATCCTTCAATTCCCCCAGCTTCTCCCCTTGCTCAACTCTCTCTCTCATTCCTACCCATATCGGGTCTCCCGATGCCGCCTGCCTGACATGATCCAGAAAATTCTTAGACCAGTCGATCACTCCCTTGGAGGCAAGCGACACCGCTGATACCACAAATTCTTCCTCCGCCAACTGCCCGGGCTTAAAGAACCTGTCTATCGGCTGTTTCCCAAGCGTGCCACCCCCTTCAGGACGGTACTCCGGCCGTCGCGATAGTGCATCTGCCTTCCCATTTTTGGTTCCCGGGCGGTAAATAATCTTGAAGTCAAATTCCGCCAAAGATTCAGCCCACTTTGCCTGTCGTCGGTTAAGAACCTTGGTTGTTGAAAAATATTCCAAGTTCTTGTGATCCGTATATACGAGAACCGTTCGGCTAGGTCCTTCAAGGTAGTGACGCCATTGCTTGAAGGCTGACACAATTCCCAACATCTCCTTTACCCAGACGTCGTAGTTGAGTTCCGCTGGGTTAAGCTTTCGAGAATAAAAGGCAACAGGGTGAGTCTTTCCGTCAATAACCTGGGATAGAATTGCGGCGATAGCAAAATCACTCGCGTCCGTTTCCACGATAGTCTGGCGATCTGGAGAGAAGTGTACCAAGATCGGCGCAGACGTAAACAGGGTTTTGAGTTTTTCGAAGGCTGCTTGGGCCGTCATAGACCAGACAAAGTTCTTAGCATCACCCCTGAGACAATCGGTAATGGGTTTACAGACCCCGGAGAAATTGTGGATAAACCTTCTGTAGAAATTGGCAAAGCCCATGAAGATCTGTACTTCTTTAACGCTGCGCGGGGCTTGCCAATTCGTAACAGACATGACCTTATCCAGTGCCATTGTTACGGGCATGCCAAGCATTTACGGGAGTGAGAGAAAGGCTAGTAGATACCCCTATACCCTTTAATAACTAATGGTAACACCACTATCAACTCCGGCTCGCACCTACGAGGTACGGTGCGATCAATATGCGACCAAATGCGGAGTTGCGGTTTTCCTAGTTAAAAAACACGTTTTCGACCCCAATAATAACCCCCGGAGCGTCAAACCGCCGGAGGGGAGTGTTTTGGTACCGGTGGATATATAAGGGACAGCTGGAATCAATCGGATCGAAGATCGGACCACCCGGAGCGAATCGGCGCAAGCTGCCAGCCGACCGAGTACATATCGGCGGTACCTGTGGGCATGAGAGGACTCTGCTATGTGGGAAAGCGATGTGGGAAGAGGCTTGAGTAGGTAGCCTTGCCGTCCGTGACCTCCGAATAGCCGACGCTGACGATTATCCACCAGACGGCCGATGGAGAAGAAACATCGACAGGGAAACGTGCATTAGAATGGGTAAATAGGTTGAGGGGTTTCTGCGGGTTTAGGAGTTTGGGTTACGGACTTAGGAGTTAAATGTTCTTGGTTGTTTTTCATGGTCTCGGGCATGCCCCGAGTGTATTCTGTATTATTAGTAGACTGGGTCCTCGAGACATAAGCGAGGGATATAAATACTGTGTCATTCACTGACTAGCCAAACCATCATCGGCGAAATCAGAGTCCTAACAATATAAATCGTTGATACGCGAGTTACAACTTTATTTGACTATATCTTCTGAAATAGTTTACTCTATCGTGACTTCGAACTCTACCTGAACTATTACGTCGAAGACGGTCGAACATCACACGCTAACTCTAGTGAATCTTTGTTGATAACGTAGCTCGCGGGGCCCGTATCGGATCAAGGAGAATCATACTCGACGTTGACTGAAGAGACCTTGGAGACTTCTACCTTTGTAGCTGTTAGCCGAACTCTGAGCTCTGCGTAGTGTACTCTTGTGGTCTGGTACGCATCCCTCACAGTATATTGTTACTCACAAGTTCACTTGGAGTAACGAAGTCACCTCAAAAAAGAACTATCATCATTATCCCTTACCACAATGGCTGGCCGAAGGGATTATTTCGTAGACACCTCGGCCGTAACGGACGAGGCCGCAGAGGACGCTATGGTACTATCTGGGGCTGTTAGCCCCGATCCCCTACTCCAGGGAGGACCCTCTACACAAACTAGGTCAACGAGTAAACGCTCTGCTCAAGCCCAGTTTACGAGGTCCATGCAGGAGTTTTTGGATACCCATGAGGCGCAAATGAGGTATCTTGGTACAGCTGGACAGGCCGTTTGGCAGCAGCTACAAAACCTCCAGGAACAAGTGCAGGGGAGTGGGCAGATTCTGGATAAGAAAGTACGGCAAGAAGCCATCGCCCAGAAGCAACATCTCGAATCGCTCTTTGAGCTCGTCGAAAATGTTCGACAAGTACACGAAGCCGCACGAGCCGCCGACCACGAGGTTCTGGACCGTAACCATCGAATTACTCAGAACCAACTGTTGGAGGCGGAACGACAGCTGAGAGTTGTAAGAGAAGAGCGAGAGCAGGAGGAAAAGGAACAGCGGGAACTGTTGGCACAATTCAAGCAATCCGATGACGTAAGAAACCAACAAATAGCCGAGATGGAGGAACGTCTACGACAACATTTGTCGGTAGCACCCTCCATGGTGAGCATTCCCCTGGACCCTAATGCACCCCAAACGGTTCCTGTTGGTAATGGCAAGAACCCCGAAAACGCTGGCCCAGTAGGAGGAAACGCTGGTCCTGTAGGAGGAAATGGAGGCAGGCAACCAGAGGAGGCCGGCCCAGTGCAGGGAAATAGTGGCAGGAAACCGGTGGGAGCTGCCCCCGTCGGCGGGAATGGTGGAAATCAACCTCCCCAAAACCCACCAAGAGGAAACGTTGGGGGAGATCCAGAACCTTCCGACGACGATGACGACGATAACAGTGAATGGTCGCACGGTCGGAAGAATTGGAGAATGAACCGAGGTGGAAACCGGAATTCGGCGCCGCCTGAAGACGATGATATGGTAGATTCGCTCGCCAAAATACCCTTTGAGTTCGATAATGCCAGGAAGCATAACTTGCGGCATTGGCTCATGGAGTGCGAGATCTACTTCGAACAGAAGCCCAAGAAGTTCCGAACGGACAGGAACAAGGTACTGTTCGCTGGGACGTATACATGTGGGTTGGCAAAAGTATGGTTTATGGAATATATCGAGACCAAAATGCTAGGACCAGCAGCCGCGGACTATGCTACTTGGACTCGTTTCCGTCAGGAGATTAGGAAACGCTTCTTAAGCACTCAGGAGGCTATGGAGAACGCGATGAAGATGCAGCAGTTTAAGTACTCTGCTAACATCGGAGACTACCTGACGAGAATGGAGATCATGAACCAGCATGCTCAGATGAAAGGAGCATCCTATCGCGCCGCCCTACTACAAGGGCTACCAAATGAAATCCGGGAGCGCCACTCACGCTTCGATCCAACCGATGACGACTCCGAGTACATCCAACAGTTGGAACGAGCCGGCAAGGCTCATGAGGCTTATCAAGAGCAGATGAAGATGTTGGGGAAAGCGGAGTCGAGAGGAAGGGAGTCGAATAATAGTGGGAACTCGTGGCAGAAGGAGAAGGGGTTTAAGATTAAGGGAAGGGCTCAGACCGAGGAGAAGGAAAAAGGGCAAGATAAGAAGAGCACCAGCAAGAGCAAGTCGGGGAATAAGCCAATATACCACGACTACGACGAAGCCACCAAAGGAGTTCCACAGCCGGTCCGAGAACAGCGAAAGACCGATGGAGCCTGTGTGCGATGTGGCCGAAAGGGTCATCTTTGGAAATGGTGTCGTTCAGATGCTAACAGCAGTGCATCTATCTCCTCTTTCTCCCGAAAGCGTACCCGCGATGACGATGGCGACCACGATATGGAACCACCGGAACCCCAACCTCAGAGAAAGCGTATGAGGCACCGCGCTAGAAAACCGGCTGCTACGGCTGCTGCGGAGTACACCAGTGGGCAAGCGTTTGTGCGAGAACGCGGATCGGAATCTGAGATGGATTTCGACGAGGATTTTTAAAAGGGGACTCTGATGAGTCAGGTCAGGAGTATCCCCAGATTGCTATATTATCACTGACGGAAAACAACAAAAAAAATATGAAAAGAAAAAGGCAGGAAGGGAGAGCGTCCCATCCGGAGAAAAAACAGAAAATTTTGGAGGAACCTATTCATGGTCCTCGACCTATCGTTAATCAGTTCCTTTGTTTTGCGGAAAAATGTTTACCTTGTAAGGTGTTGTTGGATACTGGTGCAACTGGTCCTGTTTTGTCTGCTGTTTTTGTTGATAGTTTTGAGGTCCCGAAGGTGAAACGAGACGTCCCGGCCCGGGTATTTGGATTTACGGGAGAAGTTATGAAGGGCACGGGACACGCCTTTACACAACCATTAATTATAATGTCAAGGGGGCATCAAACGCAACTATCATTCGAGATCGCCCCTCTCCCACCTGGCATCGATGCGATACTACCAAACTGGTGGTTGAAAGAACACAAGCCGGTTATAGGGGCAAATGGGGAAGTTTCCTACGATGGTGAGAACTGCAAGAGTCGATGCTTCACTGACAAGGAACCTCAAATAGAGATAGACGAGGGAGTATTGGATGATCCGGAGGCCCAATTCATCGGTAGCATTTGTCTCTTCCAAGATGAATCGGTTAACCTCCATGAGACTCTTCCCTCTTGGCTCCATGGGTTCCTTAAAGTCTTCCTACCATCGGAAGCAGATAAATTACCACCGCATCGATCTTATGACCATGCGATAGATCTCGAACCAGAGAAGCAGCCACCATGGGGACCCGTCTACTCCTTATCCGAAGTTGAACTAAAAGTGCTTCGGGAGTACCTGGACATAATGTTGCGATTGGGAAAGATTAGGCCAAGCAAATCTCCAGCGGGAGCCCCAATCCTGTTTGTGAAGAAGAAGGACGGTAGTCTGCGACTTTGCGTTGACTACCGTGGACTTAACCGTGTGTCCATTAAGAACAGGTATCCTCTACCGCTTATGGACGAACTGCGAGATCGAGTAGCAGGCGCGGTTATCTTCTCGAAGATTGACCTGAAGGAAGGTTACAACCTCATCAGGATCAAAGACGGCGACGAGTGGAAGACAGCCTTCCGTACGCGGTATGGACACTTTGAGTACCTCGTCATGCCTTTTGGGCTGGCAAACGCGCCGGCGACCTTCCAGAACATGATGAATGATGCGCTGAGGGAATTTTTGGATCAAGGTGTAGTAGTATACCTCGATGATATCCTAATATATAGCAAGTCTCGAGAAGAACACAGGGAGCTGGTCGGCAAAGTACTTAGCAGACTACAAGAATACAATCTAGTCGCCAACCCGAAGAAATCATTCTTCGAGCTCACCGAAATCGAGTTCCTCGGATACATCCTTGCCCCAGCAGGCATCACCATGGCACTGGATAAGGTTATGTCTGTTACGAATTGGCAAGCCCCGCGCAGCGTTAAGGAAGTACTGATCTTTATGGGCTTTGCCAACTTCTACAGAAGATTTATCCATAATTTCTCCGGGGTCTGTAAACCCATTACCGATTGTCTCAGGGGTGATGCTAAGAACTTTGTCTGGTCTATGACGGCCCAAGCAGCCTTCGAAAAACTCAAAACCCTGTTTACGTCTGCGCCGATCTTGGTACACTTCTCTCCAGATCGCCAGACTATCGTGGAAACGGACGCAAGCGATTTTGCTATCGCCGCAATTCTATCCCAGGTTATTGACGGAAAGACTCACCCTGTTGCCTTTTATTCTCGAAAGCTTAACCCAGCGGAACTCAACTACGACGTTTGGGATAAGGAGATGCTAGGAATTGTGTCAGCCTTCAAGCAATGGCGTCACTACCTCGAAGGACCTAGCCAAACGGTTCTCGTCTATACGGATCACATGTAACGGGGGTCCT